CCACAAAGTTTCAATAGGTGACAGATCTGGACTGCTAGAGACCCATTTCAAAAGTGGCACATTATTTTATTCCATCCATTTTATAGCCTTTTTTGAGGTATGGCACGCTGCACCATCTTGCTGAAACACAAAATCTTGGCCGGATGTCAAACATTCTTCCATCACTGGTAAAAGCGATTCTTCTAAAATTGCCAGATATTTGTTTGTATCCACATTTCCATCAATAAAATGAAGTTTTCCTACTCCTGTTGATGACATTCTGCCCCTGACCATAATGGATGCTGGAAATTTCACTTTTCTCTTCAGACAGTCATTATATTTTTGCGAATAACTCTACTGCGACTGACACCAACACAAACTTCGAATCGGGCGTCATCACTCCATTGTATTGCACACCATTGTTGAGGTGTCCATTGTCTATGTTCTTTATCCCATCTAACCCGATTTTTCTTTTGCAGTGGAGTTAATAGTGGCTTTTCTTTGGCCTATAAACAAGTTGTGCAACTTTAGGGTTTTTACTTCACTTTTTTTATAAGAAAACATACCTTGCAAGTGCTAAATCCCAGTTTGTGGGCCTCTCTATGAGTTGTGGACCTCGAAATTCTCCTTCCAACAGCGTCACTCCAGAGAGCACTTAATTGTAAATAATTGGCAAGCCTGTTTATCATGATTATTCTTCTTAATGCTCTTCGGTTGGCATGTGATATTACTTTTTTTCACATATCGTGGCTTAATATTAACTGAACCACTTATGTTATATCTTCTAACAATATTTCTCACACTGTACCGCGATAAGTCTAACAAAGTTGCAATTTCTGAGTTTGATTTCCCAGAATTAAAAAATTTAATTATCAGTAACCGAATTTTCTCACTAATAACCCTCTACCCATTTTGAAAACCTTAACTACCCAAAACTATTTTAAACGTATTCTGACAGCTGTGATTAATAAAAACAATTGTCATGGCTTTTATTTTTCATAGACACCTATGCGTTTTAGACTTATTTTGCATTGAAATGAAAATAGGTTGATATGCTGTAAATGCAACATGTGTTATTTTTATGCTGCAAGTTTGATTAGGGAGTGACAAAGTTGGTGTTTTCTACTATATATTATCAAAATATTCATTGTTAATGTTTTAAACCTATAACACAATGCTACATTTTTATTATTTGTGTTTTATAAGAAAAAAACTAAGATTTCAATAGTTGGGCCAACTGATGTGAGAAGGGGCTCGTGTATGGTTTTTATTTTTGACCACTGGCAAATGTAAATACGATTCTGTTTTAGGAGATATGAGTAAATGCAAGTTTCGCACGAATATTGTTTGAAGAATAGCGGACAAACGATCTAGCAATGGGGAATGAGGGTGCACCGGATTTCTCGGAATTTGCATTATTATTAAAAGCCTCAATGGGCACAAATCTCGATACTAGGCAGCTTTCAAGATATGACAGATTCAATACAAAACTGGTTCCATTTCACCTTAGATGCTTCTTATCAAAGATAACACGTATCAGTAAATGTACCTCATTGAAGGTAGGAAACTTCGGATCAAAATTAATAATGTCTTGTCGACAGTACGGCCCATCAGAGCCGGCGTCCCTCAGGGTTCGGTTCTAGGGCCAATCCTTTACTCACTTTTCACGCATGATGTCCCTTGCCCTAGCGACTGTGAAGTCTATCTATATGCTGATGACACTGCACTGGTGGCCCAGTCGCGTACCGGGAATCTGGTTCATGACAGGTTACAAAGTGCGGTGGATGAGGTATTGGAATGGGCAGATCGGTGGCTAATTAGAATTAATTTCTCGAAAACGCAGGCTATCTATTGTACTAAAAAATGTACTAAAAAACGTAGTGGCGCCTCGCCTGAGGTTCCAGTGAATGGAGCTCGCATACCATGGGGAAGTTCTGCTAGGTATCTCGCTGTCACTCTTGACAGGGGCATGATCACACTGAAGCGTCAAAAAGTAAATTCCAAATTACGTTTCGGCAACTCTTCTGTTTGCTATGTAGAACCTCAAAATTAAGTTTGTTCAACAAAGTTCAGCTTTACAAGATGGTTATCAGACCAGCAATCACTTACGCATGTGCAGCATGGTGTTTTCTTGCCAGAATGCATATGCGTAATCTGCAGGTTTTGCAGAACAGAACCTTGCGAACCATCACTAACGCAGCATGATATGTCTCCAACGAGACTCTTCACAGAGACCTCGACATCCTTTATCTAAGGGACTACATTAAACATCAGGCGCAGTTACATTATAGTCAAGCGGAATCGCACAGCAACCCCCCGTTGCGTGAGTCAGTAGACTACACAGTCGAGCAAGTTCGCAAGGACACAAGATCGCGGCTCGCACTGTGATCAAAATCAAATCGTGCAATTCTAGGTTCAACAAAAATTACGATTTTGCCACACACCCATTCCTAAATTAATTTTTTAGTTAATTTAAAATAACCGAATACCAGTTAATAATAGCAAGGCATCTCTTTAACCGGCGCACTTCACCCTCTTTGCTCTTACCCCTTCCTTCCTTTCTTTCTTCTTCCATTCTTTCTCCCTGACTTCGACGAATAGAAAGTGAATGTACCTGTACTACATGTCAAATGTTTGCCCAAAGCTAATACAGCGGTTTTCCGGGAGACACCAATATTGTTGAACTTTTATCTTCGATAACTTAAAAACTGATCATTATTGAACTTTGTGCCTACGGAGAGTCAGATTCAGCTAATTCTGCTGTACCCATTTTCCGTACGGTTTGTTTATAGTTTGTGCCGTATTCTGCACTGCACTGCAGACAATTATTTATAAGCTGTTCACAATCAGTACAAAAAAAGTTTTATAAAACCCTAACGCCCTTCAAGGTGCAATTTCAGAAAGATTTTACAAGCCCCGTGAGTTTATCCGATCCGCATAAAATGAATGAGGCATTTATTTCAGCTTTTGAAAGCAGTGATTTGAGATGTGCTGATTAAATTGCATATTACCGGGCTAGTAAAAATGACTCAAAATCTGAATAGCAATTTAGTAAAGTTACTATTAACACCGTTATTGAAATTATTCATAAAATGAAATCAAATTGTAGTGGTTGAGGTGAAATAACTTTGCATATGGTACTACTATGTACATCTTAAAGTGATGTGTACTTAACACATATCATCAATTGCTGTTTAGAGAGGGGATAGTTGTTCCGCTGCCTAACTGTTCTGATCCTACTAACTATGGTCAACTGAGACCGCACAGTTTACTGTCTATTTTTCTCAAAAGTATTGGATCGTGTTGTTTACGAGCAGCTGTGCGCCTACTTATATTCTATCAAAATTATTCCATCTAAGCAATCTGACTTCCGACAAGGTCATAATACAGCCTTGGCCCTCTGGGATTTAACAGACAATATAACAAGGACGTCTGACAACCAATACTTCTTGACTAACCAAGAGCAAAGGTCCTACGGACCGATCTGACAGACAATGACGGATACAACTTCTTGACTTCACATTTGATACAAGAATTCATTTCTTGTGCATTTATTATGGATTTACTGAAAAACCTCTTTCGTTTATTCAAACCTATCTTGAAAATCGGTTGCAAAAAGTTCGTCTAAATCAACAGTACTCTACTGCACACAAAATTGTTCTGGTGTACCACAGGGATCTGTCTTCGGACCCCTGTTATTTCCATTATGGATCTCAGATTTAGAAACACAGGTAAAATTATGCAGCATACAATTTTCCGTCGACGATACTCAGATATTTTATTCATTTAGGCTAACGACTTGGAAACAGCGAATAATAACATTGATCAAGATCTTGCCCAAATTGAAAAAATTAGTAGTAGTCATAAACTACGTTTGAACCCTCTAAAGACAAGTATGTTAGTATACACAAATAACACAAAAAGGTATGCTTTAAAAATGACAAAACATAAATTTCAAAGGTAATAAAATAGGTACTGATGATGATTTAAAATTTGTTGAACACGTAAACTATATAATTTCCCAGTGATACGCTATTCTTAGAGTTTTATTTGCAATCTTTCTTATTTTTAAGAATATCGTGTTGCTTAGTGTTTTACTATCCCTATTTAGATGTTATGACCAAAACACGTATTCGTATTTTGAATACATTTTGCAGACTAGTGAATGACCTCAAAAAATATGATCATATATCGAAGGCCTTTAATGACCTTAACTGCATGAACATTGAGAAAATGTATAAATTCCAGCTTCTAAGTTTAACTTATAAGGTTCTTCATTCAAAAACACAGTCATATTTAGAAAGCAAATTCATCCGTAGAAGGCATGGTATTAATATTAGATATAGAGAGACTTCCCCAATCACACGCCACAACACATCTCTATTTCAGAGCACATACATGCTATCAAATTATATAATTCCGTAGACCTTAGTTTACCAGAAACTAATTGATTGCCCAAATTCAAGAAAAAAATTAAAGATATTCTACTTGATCAGCAGCGAAATCTTTTGTAACCAATAAGTGTTAATTGACCTCATGTTTTCCTTGTACCTTTACATTAATTTATTATGCTTTATTATTTTCGTTATTGTGTACAGGTATTAATTTTTAACACATTTTTAGTTTTTTTATATATGACGTATTGGTAAGGGGTTGGTTGGTAGAATGTATCTGGTATCTAAATCCCGCCTCATGTAATGTTATTGCATATAAAAAAACGTTAATTATTCTTATTAATTATTTGTAGTAGTCCTCTATTTAGGTATGTTGCTGACTGTAAATTATTTTGAATATAATCGCTTGGATATAGACGAACTTCTACGAAATACACGTTGAATGTTCAAGAAAACATTTCGATACGTATGGTGACGGTGTTTTAAAATGCCGAGATAGATATCGAATGTATACATCGAAGAGTGTTCTGTTATGTTAGCGATCGATCCAAATTTCCTACTCGTTTTGAAATCGAAGATCACATATGTTTCCTCGTGCTCAAAGTAAATCCCTTTATTCAATTTCAGGAAGGCAGCATAGGCTCTCACCTGGTGATCAAACCACTGCCAGATAGACTACGTGGCTCTGTAATACGTTCGAAGAACGGCAATGACACTGAATCCATCAACGACGATGAAATGTTCCTGGACCAGGACGGAGAGCTCAGTGCTGAGGTGGCTATCGATACCGGTTTGCCAATCAACAGGAACTCTACTGCAGCTGGTAGCGTGCAACACCACATCGTATACAGGCGGATGAACAAGGAAGAGGAAGATGCTTTCAGTGATTATGGTAAGTTCATGCAAATTTTGGATATCACCGTTCTGGTGCAGCTCTTCAGCATTAACATAAATTATATAGAGTATTCTGAATTTTTGATCTTATTTTTTAAACGTCTACGCTTCAGATAACAAAGCTAATGTACGGTAAGACGGCTGCGCAATAATGAAAAACTATGCTGGTAAATGCTGTCGCCAAACGATTTAAAAACAGATATTTGTTAACTTCTTACTCAATTTGCTGTACCACTAACATCAAATCGACATATAATAAACATTCACCTTTCAAGACTGTGAGAGTCTACAATCCTCCTTTCCCTTGCTTAACTGATGGATTATGCTTTCTTCATAAAGAAAAAAAAATCTTCAGATCGCCTTAAAATAGTGCATTTAACATGATCGGAAGGAATAAAAAACATATACTGATAATTTATCCAATGAGAATGATTCAAAACAGTTATGGAGGTGTCTCAAACGACTTGACATAAATTCATAGCAAATCAACTCCTCCAGCAAGTTTTAATGATCCGACCAAAATTAACGATTATTCTGTCTATAGTAACCATTCTAAAAATAAACTAAATTCAGAATTTTAAGTTTTCATCTAATACAATTGGCTTAAGTGAAATATTACAAGCAATAAATAGCCTGAAACCTGATGCAAAGAGAATTGATAATATATCTCTGTCAATAGTCCAGCTCTGCTTATCTGTAATTCTCTGTCACATCGTGCACATCGTTACACTTTATACATCCTAAGCTCACTGAATATATTGAATTTAATAATCTCCGACTTATCAGTTTGTTAACAAGATGATGTTAAAAAATGAATTCGATACTCTTCAGATCATAATCTACTTATTCATTCACAGAAATCTAAAATGTTTTCGCTCAAAGGAGATATTACTATAGACATATGATATTAACAGTTCTTTCAAATCCAATTAATAAACAAACAGCTCATTTTACCTGCACGACGCATGACGCCTGGTTATGGTATAACAGGACCAAATTTAATACGCAGTTTTTTCGGAAGCAAAATACTAGGTTATCAAGACCTTGATATATCTGATACTGAGAACATTTGCTTACTTTTGCAAGAACTAGACGATGTGCTAAGGACACTGCGAAAATTAAGAACTCTCTGAATTATTAGTGACATTCACTTCAGTGGGACAAGTGAAGAGATCTGTTTGAGTTGGTGATCACATATGAGAGATCTAACATAACATGTCAAATTAAAGAAAATACATTGGAGAAATTTGAGAAATTTTCATAATCATCATTCAGAAACATGCATTCGAATTAGTAAAGAATTAGTTTAAAAAGTGGATTCTCTTGTTAGATCTAACATCAACTTCACCAACGCAAATAATATAATAGTCGCAATTTCTTCACATTCGGGTAACTAACGATTTACATAGGGGCTAGGCTTATTCGGATATGAAATGAAAAATTGCATTTGTATAAAAATTACTAAGTAGAGAATGCAGTTATTATCACCATCACAGGAAATTGTAGCAGCAATATGTAATAACTGCCATATCCGTAATTTAATGATAGCAATGAGAACCCTTCACTTTTAAATTTTAATAATGATAGAACATGAAAGCGATACAGTTGCATTGAGTGAAAAAAGTCCCAAGAGGAAGGAAAAGGTAGGCAAATTTCATGGAAGCGGAAACGTATTTTTGATGAAAAAGTGCATATAATAAATTATGTAACGTATCAACATTCTCTAGTAATAGTAAAGTATGATAAGTTTAGCGAAAGTGAAAATGAAATATTCAGTTTGCAATAGTTTTCATAATTATAGTCAAAACGAGAAAGAATGGCAAAGTTAATGAAAAAATGCAATTAAAATTTATAGCCATATAGTAGACTGGGTTCAGTTCGTGGTAAGTCCACACAGTAACGGAGTGATGCAAATTTATATATTTGCTCTTCTGCATACATTCATGGCCCATTGCATCCAATCTGGGTCATTTTCAAGATCGACCTAGGACTTGAAGAAGGAGTTTTAGAACCTGTCAAATATAAAACTGGAAAATACAAATGTTGACCTAACTTGTTAGCTGTCACAGTAATTCTTTGAACTGTGTTAATATTTCTGCAAAACTATTTAATTAACAGAAGTCACAAAACCAAGATTGGATCTACATTATCAAGATAAAAAAATATTTATTTTGGTATACCACAAGGTCGTAAACTAGGTCCACTACTAGTTATTGTATGCATTAATGACATCGGTAATATTTTAGATTATTGTAAAATTCAGATATTTGCAGATGATACAATAATATACATATCATTCTGCCTTGTCCAAAAATCATAAATTGGTTAAATGTAACTAAAATTGAATACTTCTAATTCAAAATGTATGCTTAGAGGCAAATACCTAAATGAAAATGCTATCACAGTTGGTATAAATGGTGAAATAATTGAAAATGTTGAATCAATTAAATATTTAGGTATATATATATATATATATATATATACAGGGTGACTTTGAAGTTGAGTCATTAATTTTCAGATAATGATTGTAGAAGGAAGATAAACCAAAATATGTGTGTAAAAATAAAAAAAAAATAAAAATTGTTTTTACCTTGTTTTATAAAGTATCCTCCCGACAAGTATTTCAGTACGGACCTGTATTTGATCGTGAGGTCCCCTGTGAGGTCTTAAGTCACCTGATTCACGAGCCCGTTGTACTACATTAACAAAGGCACGAGGGGTTGGTTGCACTCGATTGGGAAACCGATCCGCATAAACATGTGCCATTTTTTATTTCGTTTGTGCCACGCAACAGACACTATTCACACGCGACTGACACTGACTGTATGTATAACTGAACTGAATGAAATAATTGTAAAAAACTCGTTCCAAATTCTTTCGCTTTTTTGTTTCCGATGCGATGAACCGATAAGGTGGATTATATCCGTTGTTGCCAAACACAAGCACATGATATTATTATTGAGACAGGGCGGTACTCAAACTTCCAAAGGGCTATAACTTTGTTACTTTAATTTTACCAGAAAAATGGTAAAGGAAAAAACATTTCTTTTGATCAGATCTACTCACTGTTAAAATAAATGACTCAACTTCGAAGTCACCCTGTATATATATATATACAGGGTGACTTTGAAGTTGAGTCATTAATTTTCAGATAATGATTGTAGAAGGAAGATAAACCAAAATATGTGTGTAAAAATAAAAAAAAAATAAAAAAAAAATGTTACCTTGTTTAATAAAGTATCCTCCCGACAAGTATTTCAGTGCGGACCTGTATTTGATCGTGCGGTCTTGGAGCAGCATGCCCTCACCTGTGAGGTCTTAAGTCACCTGATTCACGAGCCCTTTGTACTACATTAACAAAGGCACGAGGGGTTGGTTGCACTCGATTGGGAAATCGATTCGCATAAATCCGTGATGCATCCGGGAGCATTTTGTAAAGACTGCCCCCCGTAAATAAGAATCATGTCCACAAGTTCAGCATTTTCGTAAACATGTGCCATTTTTGATTTCGTTTGAGCCACGCAACACACTACTATTCACTTACGCGTTATCGACTGACGAAAAACATCGTGATAAACGTTTCAAATTCTTTCGCTTTTTTGTTTCCGATGCGATGAATCGGTCAGGCGGATTATATCCGTTGTCGCCAAACACGAGCATATAATAGGCAGGGCGGTACTCAAACTTCCAAAGGACTATAACTTTGTTACTTTAATTTTACCAGAAAAATGGTAAAGGAAAAAAACATTTCTTTTGATCAGATCTACTCACTGTTAAAATAAATGACTCAACTTCGAAGTCACCCTGTATACAGGGTTATCCAAATTAAGTGTCCACCATTAGTAACTTTGTTATTAGTGAAAATACAAAGTTGTTTGAATTAGCAAACTAGTAGCATTTTTAACGCTGGTAAAAATGAGAAATAAAGAAAAACAATTGAGAGTCGTTATTTTGATTTTTTTCAGTAAAATAACATTTTTTTAAATGGAAACCCCTGTATATTATATTTTTTTCTGTTAAAGCATCAAATTTTAAACAAAAAAGCTTACAATAACTTTTCTCCTAGGTTACAAATTGTTGAAGTTATGGCCTCCAATCTGAAACAATTAAATTGTATCGACAAACTTTATTTTCAACATCAACTTATAATCTTACAAAATACAATAACAATTTTTTTTAAAGAAGATGCTCGAAAACACCACCTTGTTCTTCAATACATTTTTGGGCACGTTTTTCAACTGCTCGAACTGTCTTAAGTATGGTCCTACCATCTATCTGGGTTATCTTTTCCCTAACTGCAGTCTTTAACGCGTCAAGGTTATCTTACCTTCGCTTGTAAATTTGGTTCTTTAAGTAACCCCACAAGAAGTAATCAAGTGGGTTTAGATCTGGTGATCTGGGAGGCCACTGTATTGGGCCATTTGTTCCTATCCACTGATCATTAAAAGTAGTACTTAGAAAATGATAAGTGCCTCTGGAGTTGTGGGCAGGTGCGCCATCTTGCTGAAAATGCAGATGATGTCTACTTATAAGATCCAATTCGTCTAAGAAATTAGTCAGAATTTCTGACATAAATTCCACATATCTTTCACCAGTTAGGGTAACCTCATAAAAGAACGGGCCAACAATTTTTGAACCAATTATACCGCACCAAACGTTGAAACTGAAACGGACTTGTGGGCCTCTTGGATGTACTAACAAAAGATTTTCTCTTGACCAATAATGGTGGTTTTTTCTATTAAACATTCCAGAATTTGAAAAATTTGATTCATCTGTCCATAAAAGGTAACGAAAGTTATTTACACTTTGGCGACAGAAGCTAAGATACCAATGGCAAAAAACAAGTCTTCTCTCTGGATCCCCTGCCAAAAGCGTTTGAACTGGTCGGTACTTATACGGAATAAATTTGTATTTTTTTAAAATCCTTTGAACAGTACCATAACTGAAATTAGAGTCCTTGAGAATATCTGCTATTGAATTCTCACGATAAGCTTCAAAATATCCAATAACTGCAATTTCCGTGGCCTCGCTTATTATGAATTCTTTTTTTGCCCTTGTTTTAGCAAAAACATTTTCGTTGCCCCTAAATTTTCGATAAAGTCTCAGAAAATATCGTTCATACGGTTGAATGCGAGCGGGATATAATTCACTGTAGTATTCTCTTGCTCTCAAGGAGGATTTTCTGCACACTAAATAGCATTCTAACATATCACACTTTTCTTCATGGGAGAACATTTTTCTTTAAATTAATGACACAATAAAGCTTATAAACAAGTATTTACACTAATGTTTGACATTATTTGATTTTATCGTTGTTTTCCAAAGCCTTCTAGTTGCGAGTATGTCCAGTTTAACAATTTGTCGCTTATCTTAATGCTGTCAAATCGCGAACGCCATGTTGTTTTCATAGCCGTCTTAATATTATAATACTGCAAATAATTAAAAATATTTATCGTTATTTTGACTTTATTTTTGACTTTAGCGGAAAAGTCATTATGAACTTTTTTGTTTAAAATTTGATGCTTTAACAGAAAAAAATATAATATACAGGGGTTTCCATTTAAAAAAATGTTATTTTACTGAAAAAAATCAAAATAACGACTCTCAATTGTTTTTTTTTTATTTCTCATTTTTACCAGCGTTAAAAATGCTACTAGTTTGCTAATTCAAACAACTTTGTATTTTCACTAATAACAAAGTTACTAATGGTGGACACTTAATTTGGATAACCCTGTATATATATATATATATATATATTTATAGTAAACTAAAGATTGAGGATCACTATGAATACATTATTTCAAAAATTGCCAAATAAAACAAATTACTTTTATAGGGGTTCTCAGTCTTGGTACGTATTCCAAGAAAATAGTTTATAGTACAATTATTCTACCACATTTACTACATTGTTCAACTATCTTCACTGCCAATGAAGCTGTATTTTCAAAATTACAAGTCCTGCAAGATAAAGCTATGAGAGTGATATTGAATAAACATAAGTACACCAAAATAAAATCTATTTTACAAGAATTGAAGTGGTTGAATATAAAAAATTTATATTTAAAATAGAAAATTCATGTTTAAAATAAATATTATCTTTTGGCACAACATTTAAAACACTACATAGAATTGAATAATCATTACCACAATTATTATATAAGAGGAAATATAGATTTTCATTTACAAAATTGCAATAGTAATATAACTAGCAAATCAATATTTCAGAAAGGAATACTTGAATTTAATAAACTGAATAATGATATAAAGTCTACTTGTAATTTTAAGATCTTTAAAAGAAAATTAAAGGAATATTTCATGGACAGTGAAAATTCTTAGAGATGCAAATTTTGTGTTTTTCTAAATATCTGTATGCTGCGTAATTGTCTAGTTCTTTAGAAGATTGTAATTAAGGCAATCATGCTAAATAAATCTTAAACAAACAAACAAACTGGGTTAAAGATAACTCCGCACTTATATTTCAACGAAACAGCCAATATAATATTGTAGAGACAATTTTTAATGAGGCTACAATATCTTTCAGCATTCATGGAGCCCGATCATCTTGGCAAGAGGTTCAAACGTAGCATATCAGCGTACAGTTCAAGGAAGAAGCGAGAAGCACCATACACCATCTACCCCGAAATTCTGGTGATAGTCGACTATGACGGATACCGACTGCACGGTGGTGATAATGTTCAGGTGAAGAGGTACTTTGTCTCATTCTGGAATGGAGTAGATCTGAGGTACAAGCTACTCAAGGGACCCAAGATTAGGATATCTATTGCTGGTATTATTATTAGCAGGGTAAGTAGAACACGCAACTAGCGATAATGTTGCTTCTAGTTTCGTCCCCAACGGTCCATTGAATGATATATCCCGATGGCGTGGTTTTTTACATTGGTTTAGCCATTGGGATAACAAGGGCTATATAGGAAAATGTTCATGGAAATTACATAAATAAGGTATTAAAGCACTGTGAATCACTACAATGTTATATACGTATGTTGTTTATGATTTCAATAAGCAGGAATTAAAAGTTGCTTGATAGGGAACATACTTTAATTCCAAAATCAGCATCAATGACGTCACTCCTGTTATGACAGCATATTTGAGATAGTGGTCAACAGTTAAATGGTCACCAGAGAGGAATAACATCAGCTTAATGCCAGGAGCGACTTCGGTATTGTCAGATAAATAACAGAGTGACGTTATGATAGCAGTAGCTATATATTCTCATAAAATCTAACTGTCGGCTCAACATACCTTCTTCAAGGGTCATATCGGCAGCCGTACCTACAATTATTGTAGGACGCCTTTATGGCCTCCTTGATTTTCATAGTATTTCCTCTCCATCCGAAAGACTGGGGTATTTTTGGATTTCTACTGGTCCGTGTCAGCGTCAGCGCTCTCCTAGTTATGTTTTCTTTTTGAATTTCACGAAATTTCATGCTGCTAAAGCAAATGATGAAAATCAAAAGCATGAACAATTTGTTGCAGAATTGTTATTTGTAACATAACCTCAAAATAGAGCGCCTTTCTGGAGGACAGGAAAAACTATGAAAATCAAGGAGACCATAAAGGCGTCCAACAATTATTGTAGGAACGGCTGACGATACGGCACTAAATAAATTGTTTTGTTATGACAAGAGCAAATAATTCAAACTAGATATCATAGGTAAAATATTTTTATTATGGAAAGATATGGGCGACCTCTTAAAACGGCATGAGTTGTAACGTTCCACGCTAACTTTAACATATCTTTTTAGCGCGAAGTGAGGTACATGATTTGGAATGCCTAGTTTATTACTATATCTATGAACTTTGGTTCACAATACAGTTAGCAGACGGTGTAAAATTCATATCAATTTATATAACTGACCAACCAAACTTAAGTGTATAAACATTCAATATAGATACACTTGCAGTGTATAATCGGTCGATAACTCCGTTATCATAAAAGATATCCGAAATATCCTTTTAAAAAATTATGGATATACGTTCTTTCTACAGGATGATCTATAACTACACAGCAAAGCAAAGGTATATTTTTTAATGGAATGCCTGCTTTTTTTACCACGTTCTGAAAGGCCTCTTCAAAAGAAATAGTTTGATATACTGAACAGTTTTGATCGCTACTTCTTGGGCTACGGGATATTTTATTCGAAATAACATTAATATTTGACAGCTTCACACATCATCCTGTAGAGAGGGGCGTATTTTCCAAAGAGTCAATAATTTTTCTGGATAACCTTTTTAAAAATCTTCACAAATAACGTAATTATTGACCGATTACACTACATTACATTCATAGTTTTTAAGCATAAAAAAATAAACACTTCGACCACTTCAAATATACATATTTGCAGCTGAGATTTCAAAAAACGCAAGCTCTCCGTTTATATTCTTAACTGACTCATTTTAAATCTAAGGAAAACCCTACATCTTCATCTGTTTCAATCCCCATGTCCTCAAGCAGCTGCTTTTTAGACTTTGGATAGTTCTCTAGAATCGCATTTACCACATCCATGCACATTCTTTTACGCTTTTTGTACTCGGTTAATGCCTTTGCATATAGTTTTTCAACTTCCTCCTTCCTCTTCGGAGAAATCGGATCCACATCAGCGTACTGGATTAAATCCTCCTTAACGATCTCCAACTGCTTTTCAATATCAACTTTTTTCTCAATAAGATCTGCTATACTCACTTTACCTTGTTTTTCTGTGAGTATATTCGACTTGGCTTTTAGTTTGTCATTTACTTCTTTTAGCTCGACAGAGATCTCATTAGTTCGTCGATCCATTTCCAGTAAGGTCTCCCTGAGTTGATTTCCTGTTGGTCCAACATTTTGGGCTATGTGATATACCTATAAAATAATGGAAAGCTTGCTACAGGCAACGTTGGACATACAGGGAAAACCAAATTTGTCCGACGGCTTGAGTTCAATGTGTACTAGAGAGTAGCGCGAGAAGTGTGTATCAACACATGTTACAAAGAGATAGAAGCCGGTGAAAAGCGAAGGTCATCACCACATTGCCTAGTGACGGTGACGCAGAAGGTCCTGCATTATTTCGCTTTGCCAATATGTTACACCAGAAAATGGTAGAACAGGCTTCTAGAATAGATTAGGTTACTGTCAAACCCAAGAAGGAGGTCTGTTCAAACATTTAAGTTATTATTTTGTTTTCATTTTGATTAGAATCATCTATTTCCATTATGATGCGACTTAGTGTTTTGATTTATTTTTTAATTGTCTTTGATTTCCACCGATGGTTATTGTTACACTTTGCGACAGCGAGCGGTCGGAAATGTAACAAATACCATTACGCAACACAAACTATCACTGCCTGCCTGAGACCACGTGAAAACCATTTCGAAGCAGGACTAACTTTCCAATGAGCGCTAGATGGGTACAGACTAAAATCGCACATCTACGATAATAGAAGTGGAAACCTTGCCTTGGAATGTACGAGATGCGATGTTGCCAAGGGAACCAATGATGCAATGTAGCAGAATTTGTGGCGATCCTGACCTTTTATTCCAACCTAAAGTGGAGCGCCGTTAGGACGATGCGGATCGATCCTAAACAGATTCGACACAACTCACAATTAAAAAGTGTGTACGCTCAAAAAAAATCTTTATTTGGGCGTAGATAATAAACTAGCGCATATTTTCAACATGCTTCTCAATTACATGAATTGGTATAACATATTGACAACGCGGTGATGAGCTTCTCTGTCCAGCTGGTTTTTATCTCTTTCTAACATATGTGTCTATACACACTTCTGTCTCATACACATTGAACTCAAGCCATCAGACAAATTTGGTTCTCAGTGTATATACGCCTTGCTTTGTCAATCCAATGATTGGATACCGCTTCATTACAAGAAAATAAACTCATTGTGATTTTGTTACAATTAACACCAACCTTTTGTTTTCCATATAGCTTTTCCTTAACTTTCCCCTTATTGACCAACGCATCTAGAGCTTTTTGGACGGCTGCCTTTCCGAATTCCCCTTTTCCCTTGACTCCACCTATTATATCGTGTATAGAGAAGGGGCGATTATGTTCTTCCAAAAAAGACAGTACCGCATCCTGAGCCATGATTGTTCATTCTGAAAATAATTAAAAAAATTATATAACCTTTGAGACTAATTCTGTTGTTCACCTATTTATTCTTATTTTCGTTGGCCAGTAGACTAGTTGATACTTTTTTAAGTAAGTCTCAAAAATATATCCTTCTTAGGCAGGCGAAAACGCTGCCCGTCATGTTTGGCTCATATTAATGTGCACTGACGACATACCATTAGTAAACAACATCTGATAACAGCAGAACACCCCTCAAAATTTCAAACATATAAACATAACCTCTACTAATTTACAAGGAAAATATCTGAATTGAAAACAAAAAAAATACCAACTATCAATGTGCCAATTTTCAGCAAATTTGATATTTCTGTTTTTACGTTAATTAGGGGTTTTATTCGAAATATTAAAGAAGACAACGTTAGTCCACGAGTGACATACGGATGGCGTTTCTTTGTTCAGAATTTGTATCATGGCCCGTGTTTTCACTGTTACATAGTAAAAATAAAAAATATTTTTTTTTAAATTAAATCAATATATATCGTTTTCCTAAGCAAAATACTGTAAGAAATGCTCATTTATTTCATAAACTTGGATATGAATCGAATACCCCAGTATAAAAATTATACTGGGAAAGATGAAATGTAAATATTTTTTCTGCATCGAAAATTTAATAAAACTCAAAATTGTTATTGATCTTTATTAACATGTGACATTTTCGCTCTTCTTTGCCCAAAAACACATTAACAATGTAATTATTCAAGTAGGCATAGTGTTGAACCTAAGGGAGGATTCAGTCAAAGAAACCAATACCGACAATTTTTAGAGAGCAAATGTTCTTCTTTTCTTTTCTGCATTCGTAATAATGAGGTGTCTACTAAAAAAATATTTTAATAGAATAACAATATTGAGCCTTCGATACCCGATATTTTGGATGTTTTCAATGTATTTATGTACACATACATATATACTAAGTGACATATAAATCCGAACACCCAGTTTAAATGGTTTTATCTTAATAAAATTTTGTATGAGTACTTAATGAAGCATAATAAGTAAATGATAAAAATTTCAAAATGATTGCACTGCTTTAAAGCCCTTTGACCTTTAATAATATGTCTATGCACCCTGATGTGCTACGCATTCTCCAACGCGCCTAGGCATGCTTCTGATCAGGTGGTCAATGTCCTCCTGTGGTATCTCATTCCAGGCAACCACCAACTCCTCTCGAAGTGCTTCTAGAGTCTGAGGAGGACGTTGCAAATCTCCTACCCATCATATCCCACACGTGCTCAATTGGCGATAAGTCGGGAGATCTTGGTGGCCATGGTAACAATGTGACATCATTATGTTGAAAGAAGTCTATTGTGACTCTTGCAACATGTGGTCGGGCATTATCTTGTTGGAAAGTTGGATCTGCCAGGGTGTCAAGATAGGGTAAAAGATGGGGTTCTAGAACTTCGTGGATATAACGCTGCGCGTTCATGTTACCTCTGATGAAGATTAAAGGTGACCTGGAACCATAAGCTATAGCACCCCAAACCATAACTCCAACAGTGTGATGAACATGTCTTTCAACAAAAAACTGTGGATTCCTCCTTTCACCACGTCGCCTTCTAACCCTGGCACGACCATCGTGCATGCCTAAACAAAATCGAGACTGGTCACTAAAGACAATACTGTTCCATTCCTGATCCCAGAGTGACCGTTGTCTGCACCTCTCAAGGCGATTACGTCGGTGTTCTCGAGTTAAAGGGAGGACCCAGTGTGGCCGGTATGAAAACAAGCCAAAACTTCTCATTCGTCGGTAAACACTTCGCATGCCAATAGGTCTTCCGTGTTCTGCAAACCATTCATTTGCAATGGACCTGGTAGTGGAGAAACGGTCCCTTAAAGCCAATAATCATAGGCGGCGATCTTCACGGTCTGTTGTTCTACGGCGGCGTCCAGTGCCCCTTGCTCTTTGCGTACGGCCTTCTCGAAGCCATGCCTGACAACACCTAACCACAGTGTCTACACTTCTTTGCACTCTAACTGCAATTGCCCGAAAAGAAAGTCCAGCTTCCCGAAGTCCCACTATACGGCCCCTATCAAACTCACTAAGTTGACGAAATCGTACAGGTCTCCGTACTCTAGGCATCGTAACCGATCGTAAAGGATGTCAAGAACCAAAATCCGCCAACGTTGATTCTTTACTGAGGCTGAAATATTCATTTTTAGAGCGTTAGTGAATTAAAAAAAGCAGTGTAAAAACCGGAATGTACAACTGATAAGGCTGAACATTTTTTCACTTGTTATTTACAGTAAGATAAATACATTCACCAACTTTTATTAAAATAAAACCATTTAAACTGGGTGTTCGGATTTATATGTCACTTAGTATACATTATTGATCTCTTGTTTACTTTCCACCATCTGCCTCAAAATGACCTACACCATATTGATGATTGCTAAAAAGCTTGAAACGTAGTTGTTTATGGTTGGTGATAGTCGCATAGTCAAAAAGCAAGCAGCATTCGTCCAATTTATTAAGTGCATTCCAACTGTCAAAAAATGCAGTTTGGTCCATGTAGAGAATACTCCATTCGTTATTTCTATTACAACTTTAATTAAATATTTCAGGGAAGGGATGCTACGCCGTACTTAGAAAGAAACAGGGTTGGCAGAGATGCTATAGACTCAGCAGCAGCACTGACAGACATGGGGAAATACTTATTTAGAGAGAGAAGGCTTCCAGTATATGACATTGCTGTAGCTATTACGAAGTAAGTTCATTGGTTGTGATTAAAATCTAGAGCTGTCCTAAGAACATTCGAATGGGTCGATTCATAAAAAATTATTCATTTTCCATATTGAGTATGGTTCAGATGCAAATTAACAAGTAACAGAGAATTAGAACGAAATTACATATTGGACACGATCATACCCAAACAAATAGAGACATTGCTTAGAATGGCCGCTGAAGCTTTAGCATCGCTTTCTTATATGAAGGACGATACTGCTTTCCACAGAGACTAGCCGAGCTCCAGCAGTCCAACATACCAGCACTTGTCAGATGTGAAGATTTGTAGGTTATGACTATCAACAGATTATTTATCAGTAAAGTCACTGCGTGAATCTTACAACTATGCAGTGCTAACGCGGCTAAAAGATTTTTGACAGTTGAGGTTAGAAACCCCCGTACTATGCCACTATGCCACTTTGCCACTCCTAGTGCTGCAAAAAATTAGCCAAAGCGTCTGAGGCTGAAACTGGGTTAGGCCACACACAATTTCGATTGAATCTTCCCTCCATTTTGTCAGGTTGCCAATTGTATTTTCCTCCATATAGAAATGCCATACTAGCACCCCAGCAGCCATTCTACCAGGTCAACACTATTAGTTCAAAGTAAGGTACAGAGATCTGACGTACTGAACGACATTTGTCAAGGTGAATCAAACGGTAAAAGGTTGCTTAAACTGGATCTTGGTATTGATGACAGCTCTAGACGTAGCTAGGTACTTAGTTTTTTTAGCCACAAGTATGGATAAATTGCAAGGGATGGAATATTGTAACGTGTGGCAAGTTTAATAATTTTCTCATTAATTTAGATATGACATGTGTCGTCGGCGGAAAGGAGGAAGATGCACAAAAGGAACGGCCGGTAATTTCCATGTTTATTTTGATACCTGTTTAATAGATTGAGCTTGGCTTTGGCTACAAGAGCAACAAAATAATGCTTGAAAAAATATTGCATCACTAGTTTTAATGATTGAGTCTTATCGCAACGTGTAGCATGTTGTCTCTCGTGACAGTTGATTCATGTAACAAATATTCCAAAAATAAAACTTTTTGTACTGAATAACGCTCTGAAAAAATAAAATGAGTATTGGATTCCAACTTATACGATATTGCATTAATACATTGACAGGAGAGGGCCAGAAAGTCCTAGGTTTTTAACCCTACTGTCCAAGTACTGTCATGATAATTGTTATGCAAGGATATACCCACAAAGTTTTTGAATTAGTCAGACGCATTTCCGGATGCACCTTCTCGAAGAAATTCCTTGGTACTCTATATTTTGATACCACGTATCACAACTTTCTTTGTTGCTGTGAAATGTCAAAAAATCGAGCTGTGACTCGGCTGCTTACAAGGTATTTGCAAAAATAACAATTACCAATCAACCTTGCTTTTGAAGTATACAAATTTTGAATCACATTTGGTGAAACTCAAAAAAAATCTGTATGTTCAGGATGAGATAACTAAACTAAAAAATATGTCTTTGTTAGCTTCTTGAATATGAATGAGGCGTGTATTGACGTGGGGTGTTATTGACGATATTCTGATCCCCCTCACCTCCTGATGAGATGTGAGATTTGGCTCAATCCCCTCTATCCGTGCCTATTCTCACGAGAGATTTTTCAAAATTTCTAGTTTTAGTGTACATACAGTCTCAAGTGTGACTATAGGATCCAATATATCCATGTGCTAGTTTTGCGGGAAAAAATTAGTGATTCTTGCCGAGTACCCACAGGTGAGATTGAGCGAGATTTAAGTCCCCCGAGCCCAGGCGATCCTGTGCAGGGTTGCCATATTGGGTGATTTTGCTCAAAAGTTGGGGAACTTTTGGGGGATAAAATGTTCTGGTTTTGTTTTTTTGGAGTAAAAATGAAACTTTCAACTGCTAAATACCAATTTTATCTTTCCGTAGATTTTTCTTTCCCCATGTCTCACAGATCTCCACAAAACATCTACACTGACCCATCTCTACGCCTTTATGCAAATTATTGTTGGTTCAGGCTGTTGCAACACATTGTATAAGTAGAGGAAAAATAAATGAACTGTCAGCTGGAATACAGTGCAATATAAGGTATATTTCCACTGTTATTTTAATGCGTTTTTAAAAAAGGCCACTGTGGTAATACAAATTCCAATTAGTATTTCCACGAAAAGACAAGGAAATTAAACTAGTTTTAATTGTTGCGATCAGCCAAAGCCAAGCTATGATAATAGCGTGTACATAGCAGATCGCTATAATAGGTTCTACTAACTAGGATGGAAGCAGGAAGCATTCACAGGCGATTGTGCGGAAATAACCACTTCCTTAACATACACAGTGAACACATTTAGGTTTGTCCAACAGGTTCCAAAAGGTTCTTATTTTGAACAACACTGTCAAATCGTTAACGGTTGCACAGATACGTTTCCACAAAATTTGACGAGATTTCTGATTTTTACAGACTAGACATGTGCCGAAGATCGTACCCGAATGACCAATGTAATCGTGGCACAGCAGGTACGACGAATGAAATCAGTTATAACGAAGCACGACATTCGTTTTCTGTATTCACTTTTCTATCAGCCACCAGTAGTTGTTCGAGTCATTTTGCGCACGAGTATTTTTTTCTATTTGTGAGATCTTCTTTTCAGGAGTCAGTGATTCGCTTCAGATCTTCTAGTCATTCAGTTTCACATACTAAAACATTGCGTATCAAGTAAAATGCATTTGGACAACTTGAACACGGAAGCAGCTGCGCAGGCAGAAAGAAGCCTAAATGCTAGGGCACCGCGGCTTATATGAGGAGCTCAAAAAAAATTTGATAAACCTATTTTTGAACAGCATTTAGTTAGTAGAACTGGGAAAAGCTTCATGTTTCACAATCTCGATACTATACGGACAAAAAAACGTATCGGCCAATCCTGGATTTGCGAAGTTCGACACGGTTCGATGGCTGGCCAAAGTCAGGCGGGTGTGTCTGGCGGGCACATCGCGCCGCGGCGTCATGGAGGAGAGCTCTGAGGACAAAGCCCATTGGCGTAGCAGTAAAAGAGAGACAGATCGCCGACAGCCCGGTTCGAAAGGGTGCCGAGACTGTCCGTTAGGAAAGAGCCGTCGATCAGTCCCGCAGCAGCCTTATCTGGGCATTGTACAGAGTGAGGAGGTCATGTTGAGGAAGTTACTTCTTAGGCCTAAACAAATAGTCTAGCTTTTTCCTAGCAACTGCCGCTATTGATGAGATGACCTCGTACCAGTTCTGGTCATCGGTGATCTGGACTCCTAGCCGAAATGAACGGCTCTATGTATAACTCGGCCATCCATCGAATCCGGATGAGCGCTAGGACGCTTTTTGTTCATCAAAGTACAGTACTGCGTTTTAGAAGCAGTCAACTGTACAAGATTGTTGCATCCCCAAGCAGTGATAACTTACAGGTATGTCGTCATATAGGAAGTCGCTGCTAGTCTTACTTTCTCCAGCTCACCGGCAGAGATCAGCTTGTCACTCTGAGTTCCTGCATGTAAAGGGCTGTCATCAGCAAGGCTGTGAATTGGATTGATCGTGCTGTTATGATTTCAGGCTAAACTTAAATGGATACTATCTCTATAATCGCTGACTTCTAAAAGTATATCTCCGAAATATCACTAGAAAAAAGCATGAATATTCTATCATATTTGATCTGTAAACTACATTGAAATTGCACGAGCACATGACATGTATTATACATCCAATTAGCATTGAAAAATTCATTTCGATGTCTCCTATCCTTTTCTATTAGTTGATTAGTTTTATTTACAAGTATTTCTCCACAATACACTTAGTTCTATTAGTTTGTCAGTACACATACACCCACTGCATGTATGGCATGACGCCACTAACACGAACTGCATTCTTGCTTTATCAATTTAACCTTTAAAAGACTAATGCGAAAGAAAAGCTTTATATAACCGAGAGTTCACTAAAAGGTCCATTTATACTGGGCAGAGTTTGACTACACTGTAACGAACTGTTTTGTTTAAGGTGGTCTGCGGTACGGCACCCGTATTACCTAACTTGAAGAGTGACATCGATTTTTGGTGACATGTAGGTTTTATTGACCTTACTAGCGGCTACAAGCTGACATTTTACCGATTTTTTTACATTACGAGGGTGGTCCCAGAACTACCCGACCCAACGAAGAAAACACAAAAATTTTGTAAAAAAATGTATTTATTTGTCAACATAATCTCCTTTGAGCTCTATACACTTTTCCCAGCGATGTTCAATAAGTTCGATACCCTTTTTATAATAAGAACTGTCTTGCTCCTCAAAATAGCCATTAACTTCCGGCATCACTTCTTCATCGTTGGAAAATCTTTGACCCTTGAGCCATTTCTTCAAGTTTGGAAACAGAAAATAATCCGAGGGGACTAAATCTGGTGATTAGGGTGCATGAGGTAGCAGTTCAAACTTTAATTCGTTAATTTTGGCCATTGCAGTAACGGATTTGTGAGCTGGTGCATTGTCTTGATGAAACAACACTTTCTTCTTAACCAAATGCGGCCATTTTTGCTTGATTTCATCGCTCAAACGTTGATATAAGTTCGCATAATACTCGCCGTTGATAGTTTTACCTTTTTCAAGATAGTCAATGAAAATTATCGCACGCGCATCCCAAAAAAACGGTCTTCTCCTTCTTTGGAGCCGGTTGTCCCTTTTGAGTCCATTGTTTTGATTGTTCTTTTGTCTACGGTGTGAAGTGATGGACCCATGTTTCATCCATGATTATGAAACGACGCAAAAATTCTGCTTTGTTGCTGTGAAACTTCGCTAAACACTCAATTGAAACATGTTCACGACACTGTTTTTGCTCGATTGTGAGCAATCGCGGTACCCATCTTGCACACAGCTTTTTCATGTCCAAATTTTCAGATAATATGCGATGAACCGCACTTTTTGAAATGCCTACTATGTCTGCTAGCTCGCGCACTTTCAGTCGACGATCATTCAGTACCGCTTTGAGAATTATCTTCGCCATTTCTGGAGTCGTCACCTCATTTGGTCGACCATTGCGATGCTCGTCTTGGCAGCTTATACGGCCTCGTTTAAACTCTGCTATCCAATATTCTACTGTTGTAAACGAAAGAGCAGACTCACCCAGAGTAGAATCCAGTTCAGCTTTTATATTGGTTGGGCTGAGGCCTTTGAAATAAAAGTATTGTACCACATAACGATGACCAATTTTCTCCATTCTGCCAAACAAATACTAAACAACGTGGCGTCTTCAAACTTGACACATATGCTTTATAGGTTGCATACTTTCTAATACAATGATATTTTTCAAACAACTATCGCCATCTCTAGGTCAGGCCGGATACTTCTGGGACCACCCTCGTATATAGGTTTGCGGATGTTATATTTGTAAAGCTGTGTAGAAATACAAAACCCACTACAAAATATGCAGGATATTTTTACAAACGATTCACACCAGGTTAATTGACTTTAAATAGGAAACATGTAATTTATTTTGTCATTGTTTCAACTTTCAATAGATTAAAACTTGTTATAACAAGAACTCCTCGAAACTAAGAATAAACAAAACTATTGAAGTCAAAAGTTACAATTTGTTTGGAATATCAAAAAAGGAAGCTCCGAACTATTTTGATTTATGATATGACAATTCTTAGAAATGGATTTGGTGGCTTCAGCTGATATACAGGGTGACTTTGAAGTTGAGTCATTAATTTTCAGATAATGATTGTAGAAGGAAGATAAACCAAAATATGTGTGTAAAAATAAAAAAAAATTAAAAAAAAAATTTTACCTTGTTTTATAAAGTATCCTCCCGACAAGTATTTCAGTGCGGACCTGTATTTGATCGTGAGGTCCCCTGTGAGGTCTTAAGTCACCTGATTCACGAGCCCGTTGTACTACATTAACAAAGGCACGAGGGGTTGGTTGCACTCGATTGGGAAACCGATCCGCATAGACATGTGCCATTTTTTATTTCGTTTGAGCCACGCAACAGACACTATTCACACGCGACACTGACTGTATGTATAACTGAACTGAATAAAATAATAAACTGTACACAAACATCGTTCCAAATTCTTTCGCTTTTTTGTTTCCTATGCGATGAACCGATAAGGTGGATTATATCCGTTGTTGCCAAACACGAGTACATGATATTATTGAGACAGGGCGGTACTCAAACTTCCAAAGGGCTATAACTTTGTTACTTTAATTTTACCAGAAAAATGGTAAAGGAAAAAAACATTTCGTTTGATCAGATCTATTCACTGTTAAAATAAATGACTCAACTTCGAAGTATAAGATATATAAAATAGGTCCTTTTGAATCTGGCTTCCATCGTGGAAGTTCGAAATTCTGAAAATAATTTTTTTAAAAAAGAAAACCGTTTATCAAAGAAAAGGAGACCTTATCGGTCCTGTTATAATGAAGTGGCAAAATGGAAAAAAGAAGCCTCACACGTCGTACGCCACTGCTAACGCAATGTGTCTTATTTGTGCACATGTGCGTGAATCTCATCATGATCAAGGGTATATCACGTAAGGTGCATTATCATTTTAGTATTTGTGTACTAACAACTTTCAGTTAATTAAATAAAACAATTGAATTATCACGCACTTCTTGAATAGTATTTTTATTGTCTTGACTCAAATGCCCAGTTTTGCGTAACTGCTAAAAAGTCACAAACATTGAAAAATCTCGAAAATTATGATTTTCGACCTGTCACGTCCTGGAAAGAATAAGGCAAATTAATTACAAGTTACTCTATATAACCTTGCGAACATTCTTGTACATCAAGGTGAGTGCTAAAATCACGTAGTACTTTATTTTATGTAACATCAATAGTTTTTGCAGCGTACCCCAAATAATTAGTTATTATATGCAATTTTTAGATATCTTTACGTAATAATTCCGTCATGTTTCGGTCAATTTACATAAAAATTTAATAAGTTATATACCTCCACCTTTCTCACGAATCTATCTATCCACTCGCGAAAACCGTGTGAAAATCCGTTGGGTAGTTTGTAAGTTTATCACGTTGAGACAGACGCGGTGGTAAACTTCATAATATTGTAACGAAAACACCGGTTTAACTATTTAAAGTCTAATTGGAAGTAGTCTAGATGGCAGCAGGTCTTAATTATTCTTAAATCTCGGACTAACCTTGTTCAGCCGCAAGCGCTCACACACGGTCAAGTAAGTGGTTGCCTAAGCGTCGACTCTGCAACGCGACATCTCGCCGCTCAAGATTCAAGCTATACGAATACACTTACCTGTATATAATGCTTTTCGTTGCACTGGACGCGGGCGAAGTTGAAATATTCTTATCATTTTAAATCTTAAGGCCAAATGTGCCAGAAAATCTACATGTGAAATATATCTAATAGGTCCGTAGAATTTCGGGGGGTTATAAGCGTATAAATATACTAACGTCAAAAAGTTGGAGCTTCCGAAACTTCAAAAAAATTTGTTTGTGAGATTTTTATTTTTTTCGCCTACATTTCCGCCGCCACTCGGCCGTTTTCGGAAACGATAAAAACGTACATTTTCGAAAAAAAAATCCAGTTGCCTAGGAAGTACAAGATGTCTCCACTTGGTTTGTGTATGCAGTATTGGTCTTAAGGTTTACAAACACTGCTTGTTGGCATTGAGCTTAACACCCATTTCACTTTTCTTTGTCCTCCAGCAGCAAAACTTGGTGAAGGGAGCTTTTAGTGGTGAAGGGCCAACTTGATTTGAATAAACAACAATACTTATCACCAATAACGTTATTAGGCTTCGCGTACGTAGGAGGCGCTTGCGTAGTCAACAAGCGTCTGGAGAAGGTCAATTCGGTGGCAATCATTGAGGATACCGGAGGATTCAGTGGAATCATCGTCGCAGCACACGAAGTAGGACACTTGTAAGTATCTATAAGTTTATCTACACTTCATTACGGCCCGATTTTACTAAGCAAAAAAGCGCGTCGAACACAAATTCAACCAATAAGAAGACGTCTTTGTGTTTTTTATAAAATGTCTCTTAAACTAGAGAAAAATGTGAGTAAGATGGGCCTCTAATTCCCATATTAAACCACTTTATTTAGAAAATAAAAAATTATTTTTTCACTAAATTAGCGCCCATAATCATATAATGCACCAATGAAAAATAAGCATTTACGCCATATTCTCAAATCTGATACAATATCTAGACTCATCGCTCATCACTAATTCAAGAAATAAAAATAAAGCTACGTGGTCATTAATCAATAAATTTCATTGCAAAGAAATATAGTAGGGACAAAAATACTACTGTACCTATCGATGGCAGTATCGTATACCAGGTAAACTTAACTCGTATTTCGACGAACCATGTACAGTTCCAGACATGTTCCAAACTCTTTTTACGATGAATTCGTTACAGCAAAGGAAATGAGCAAATTATTATAGCATTCCCGAGTAAAGATTCGAGTAGATTCGATCGATATAGGTTAGACATGTTCTCTACATTTCTTCATCTTTAGCTGATTTAGTTAACACTGCACTTTGTACCGTCACGTTTCCCAATGGTCTCAAAAAAGCCATAACTGTACCGATATTTAAAACAGACGAATAAGACATTGACAATTATAGACCAGTGTCATTACTGAGTATCTTCTCTAAAATTATTGAAAAAATCGTGTATGACCGAATATATAAATTTATCATCAAGTATAACAGACAACATGGATTTCGCCAATGCATGCATTGACCTAAATCAATACATATCCGACAATCTGGACAGAGGGGAACTTGTAATCACTATATCATTTGACTTGACACGTGCGTTTGCTACAGTTGACAAAACGTTTGTTACGAATAAAATGGAACATATGGGACTTAGGGGTAGTATTAATTATTTTATTTGTTCTTACTTATCAGGTCGTAGGTTTGCTCAAGATATCGGTACCCCACAGGGTAGTGTTCTCGGACCCCTGTTCTTTCTACTTTTCATCAACGATTTACCAGCCAACATCACTGAAGGTGGAATATTTTTATATGCGGATGATACTAATGCAGTAGTTTCAGCTACATATGAAACAGAAGGGCAACTTAAGGTGAATACAGAGCTCCGAGAGTATGCTTCCTGGTGTAATCTAAATAATCTAATAATTAATCACGATAAAACAGTAGCTATGAATATAAGATCTGTGAGGAAGCAATCTTGTAAGGTTAACTTGTCCCGTAATGGCCACAACTTCGAGCTCTCTCTGTCTACAATTTATTTTGGGTTAGTGTTAGAATGCCACCTTAACTGGGAAACTCATATCCACAGGGTTTAAAAAAAGTTAAATACAGATACGTCATAAATAGACTAAAAAAATGCGTAAGTCGTGAAACCTTAATTAGTTACTACTATGCGTTTATATACTCGGCCCTGTCATATAATATCGTTGTCTGGGAACAGGCCTCAACTATCGACAGAGCCTTCATCATGCAAAAGAGTCATTAGAACCATGTTACATTTATCGTTCAGAACATCCTGTGAGGACTATTTCAAGAAATATCAACTTTTGATCGCCCCCTTCAATTTATTTGCTAAAGCTACTATCCTATACTCATAAAAGCAAATGTACTTTACAAAAAACTCGCTTTTTGTGATTGTAACACAAGAAATAAGAACTAATTTTGCTTAGATAAACATAACTTAACTACTCACGAAAAGTCACCTAGATGTGCTGGTACACGAATGTACAATAAAATTATTTACCAGAATCTGTTAAACAAATAGATAACATTATGCAGCTCTTAATAAAGCACTTTAAGAGGATGCTCTTATCTAACACCTTCTATAGCATAGATGAGTTCCTTGACTTTTTGAAGGACCTGAAATAAGTTAATTTCCAGGAGGCCTACTTATTTGGCATTCACAAATTTTCTGTATTCAGTTTGTTTGTTGTTCTTATAGTTTGTTTGTTATTTCGTCTACATTTTAGAAATATTGAATGTTATACATATGACGTGTTCCTCTCTATACTTATGAGTGTTCGGACCTAATGAAGGACTTTGAATTTGAATGGATATGACAGCAATTAAATTTACGTTTTATTGAAAATAACAATGTCTCAGTGTTGCTGTAAAAAATTCTGCACGATAAATTCTTTGAGGACATAAATAAAATTACAGCGTGCTGATTATTTAGGAAACATCGAGTAAATATTCAATTACTTACTTGCCTACGTGTGAAAATCCCTGTTCCTTAAGCCAGCCCTGTTAATAGCAAGATCTCGCGCCCTCTACTGAGCAGTAGGACAACTTCTTCTAGCCTTGCCGCCATTGCCGCGGCACAGCGAAGTCTTGTAGTCGTCCTACCGTCCAATAGAGTGAGCGACATCTTCCTGTTAAGAATAAGTGAGTAAATTGATTATTTACTCAATGCTAGATGAAGAATTAGCATTCTGTATAATATCAGCATCTAATTTTTCCTAATAAAATAAAAAAAAAATACGTTGCTAAGTAATATTTTAACAAGAAGCATGGGTGTTGGTGGCAACAAAAATCCGAGTCGAAGACAGGAATTTTTGCACCTACATGAATGTTTTTAGTTAAAAAAATATGACTGCATTGTGTTTTTTGTCAACTTTTTTGTCCGGCCGCAAATGAAATTGTATAATTTTTCTGTAGTTTGAGAGAAATTTAGACCTAATTGTTAAGACCCATTAAATCAAAGACGCCTTCTTATTGATCCAAATTGTGCCCAAGGCGTAAATTTTGTTTCCCGCCGGTTAATAGTAAAATTGGGCCTAAAGGACAAATTAAAGGTTAAGTATTTTGCCAGAACAATTGATTCGACTTGGCCTATGTTTACATGTGAGGTTGTTCTCGAATCTCGCAGTCGATATTTGTCGCTCGAAAATAAGGAACGCTTTAGCAAATTGGTATACCCGTTTCGACATCGGTCTCGCATGCGACATATTCTCGTATGTGATTATTCATTGCTTGTCCATAAATAATTAAATAAAATCTATTTCATAATAAATATATTCATTATATCGATGTGCCTAGGCACAACACCACGTATCGAACACTTGGCTATTTTGCCAGCAAACACGAAAAAACATGTTTTTATATATCGCCTCATTCCACGAACTATTAAAAATAACAAACTTTAGATTGGTGTTTACGCGTTTACTCATAGTAATTAATCACAAATTTTGGTTTCAAAATATATTTAGAATAATCGTGAATTTCTTACCTGATTGTTCACTCAAGCAAAATGCTAAGTAGTCCAAGCGACTAGTAATAGTCTAATAGAAAAATATTAGATTTTCTGTTATCCTATTAGTGGTATTAATACGTGTTATTTCAGCTAGTCAAATAAAAGACGTTCTAGGAGCGTAAATTGTTAGTAATCGTTTAACTTTAAAGCTTAGTGCTAAATGGACCCAGTGATATCAAAAACGCAATTTTTTATGATATGTGGTATTTCCACTAGACTATCGATATGGAGTATTGAGGTTATGAATCGTTGTATTGTGTTGTGGCAATATACTAAATAAATTGAATCTTAAAACTGAAAGCCCCGTCGATATTAATTTAGGATCAAAATGTTCTAAGTTATATTTTACGAATCATCGATTTCGAAGTCACTTGTATCCAATGGTAATTGTATTAAAAAAACATAATTGTATATATGTACTGATGGAAGGGTTAACGACATTTTTCTATAGACTAGGTGCAGTGCACGATGGTAGCCCTCCTCCATCGTACTTGGGAGGTCCTGGAGCAGAAAAATGTCAATGGACTGACGGTTACATCATGTCAGATTTAAGGCACACTGAAAGAGGATTCAGGTGGTCACCTTGCAGTATTTCCAGTTTTCATCATTTCTTAAAGTAAGTAAATGAATATAATGTGTTAAACACAAACACAAAAAATGCCGTCAAGTAGGTTGACCCTGCACTTTCCAAGCAACACCGTCAGCAGTTCATAAATAATTATGTTCCGTACAAGTTAGTCCCTCTGAGAAAAAAGTTAGCTATGAAGAGGCAAAACAGAGAAAGTCAGTCAAATAGTCCCAAACAATTAGTGTATAGACATCCTTCACTACCGGTAATCCATCTGGCAACGTCGCATCTCCACGATACCTGGCCGCACAACGCGCGAGATCCGGCAACGCGGTATTAAAGACAGACGTCAAGGCCGGCGCGCTCGCCGGTGATCCCAGACAGCATAAGCAAGTACGCGTATCGAAAACAATTCTCTATCATTCCAAGTTTTCTCATGATGCGTACAATATGACTAATAGGTGCATAGAATTACCTGGGTTTGGAGCGTATCAATATATTAATATCAAAAACATAAGACAGACCGACGGAATTGTGTGGCATGAATCAAATCCAAGCGAATAACCAAAATTTCTGTGTTATGTGCCGCGGTTATAATATGGTTCAAGATGACACACGAATCGCTTGAACGCGTTTGTTTTAACCGCGTTTTTGTTGCAAGTTGTTTATTTTAGGAAAGTGTGTATATAATCTCTGATTATTTTTATTATCACTTAATAATCGGTGCTTTTTTGTCTACAACGGTGTAGGGAAAGTTTAAATAAGAAACCTTTCAAAATATTCATGGGAGAAATGTATTTTTTCAGATTTTTTTTTTAATGATGGAACCATGGTTTTGTACCTATGATAACTTTCGATTCTCAAAAGTTTTCCGCATGTCAAAGAAAACATTTATTGATTTAGCAGAAATGATGAAAAAAGATATTAGCAAAACCGTATACAGGTGGACATCATCCAGTGAGTTAAATGGCCATATTTTAATATTCTTGTGGTATATGGCTACACAAGATACTTTGTTAAACATAGGAACTAGATTGAAAGTAATGAGTATAACTAATAAGGTGCTCCATTTTATGCTAACACTGAAGTCAGCCTGTATCAAGTTTCCCAAAAATGAAGCTGAAGTACAATAACAATATCCAATACCCGGCAAAATTCTAACTTGTCACATTTCAAATAATAACCAGAAATATAAAACTACTCATGAGTTGGGTAAATACCACAATTTTGAGGTGATAACTGTGACATATAACAGCTGATTCATGACGTCACGGATCTTATAACCAAACTGATAACCACACTCGCTTGAACGGATCGGTAAATACCAACCCAAAATGGTAAATACCATTTTCATTTGGTTATCCGCTTGAATTTGATTATGGTTTTCCGGGTTGTGTATGTCATATATATCGCGAGTAGGCGTAGAAAGTAAAAATGTTTTGACCAAGACAACAAGCTTTCATAAACTTACTACAAAAATTATTTGCAAAGTTTAACTACCAATAACATCGATGTATTTTTTCAGTGGTGACACAGCAACGTGTCTGTACAACACACCACATGAAGATGAAAATCTGCCTAGGGTGCTACCTGGGAAATTACTGACATTAGATGCGCAATGCAGAAGAGACAGAGGCACGAGCGCATGCTTTGTAAGTACCTGGTTTCGGAAAGCACATTTTCAGTTTGCTTGGTCTACTTCAAATAGATAGTAGTTTATTTCTTCAACTCAATGAGCACAAAAAAGTGTTTTAGTTTCTTAACTGTACATCATTTTAACTACTTGTGGAATCGAACTGAGGTTAAATGTAAAGCGAGGTACCGCGTTCATAAGCAGAGTAAATGCTAAGATACAATTAAATGTATACCTACATTTCAGAGTCAACTTATTATTTTATTGCAGAAAGACGATAGGGTGTGCGCTCAGCTCTTCTGTTTCGACTCAAACAGCGGGTACTGCGTCGCATATCGACCTGCAGCTGAAGGTTCAACGTGTGGCGATGGCCAGGTACGTATTCTTTGACTCTACACTTCATACGCAACGCCGTTATCGGTTCATAAAGGATTATGTTCAACACAAACTAGTCCATAGACATCATTTCCTCGTAATCCATCTGGCAACGTCGCCTCTCCCGATACGATACCCCGATCAGATCTGGCACCGCGGCAGCAATACCAGAACGCTTAGCAGGACCGTCACGCCGCCGGGAGCAGAAGCAGACGCGGCCGTTGTGTACGCGATCCGTCTGCTAAGATTACTTTTCTAAGTTTTAAGGGTTAATGTACGGGGAAATCTAAGCCGGGTGAAATATGTCTAATATAGGCGTACCATCTCAAGGACCTGTAGCATTTACAGTGATACAACAAATGCCACAAATAAATGTGTTTGCCCAATATCTAAAGGATAGAATTACCTAGATTGGGGGTGTATAAATATACTAACAAACTGAGAGATACCCTCCCCAACACCAATTTTTTTATCCTTATATATTTGTTCAAAAATGACAACGATCCTCAAAAATGTTAAAAAACGAATATTTAATAATTTATTTATATTACTTTTTTTCTTTGTTTTTTAGCTTTTTCTCTTCCGTCACTGGACTGATTTTCATGAACTACAAAGCTTTTCGTCTTTGACTTAATAGTAACATTCTATAGAAATTTCATACCGGACGTACAGGCAGACGATTAGACAAACGAAAATAATGGACATGACGTCTAGTGATGTACATGTTATATAACATCAAAAAAACATAATATGTCATTTTCGAAAACTTTCGCGAGTACAATACATCCCCGCCTGTAGGCGAGGAAAGTAAAAACCGAAATATCGCCATAAAGGATTCAAAAATTATGAGGTCACGTAGATTCTTATTGTGATATTTTTATCACCACATGAATTGAATTCATCTATTTTTCAATTAAATTATTACATTACTCCTTCTACGTATTATCAACTACTTCAACAATGCTAATGCTTCTATTTTTCCAGTACTGCCTAAATGGAAGGTGTGTAGCAGAACATGAAAATATAATCCCTGATTATTCACAGAATGCAGCGTCCTACCTTCGAAATAGTCCATCAAGACCTTTGTAAGTATAACATGTTTATTTCTTTTTGAGTTAATCTGGTTGATTTTAACTTGAAAACAACTATAATAATAACGTAAAGGGAACAGAGTGAGTTATACTCTAATTGAGTCGTTTCGTGAATAACATTACTTGTAAAGGCCATCTATCACGATACAAAATTCTGTTCATAATTTTGTAGCAAATTTTGTGAGAAAATGCGTTACTGAATGTAGTTCCCAATTTGTTTACGTGTGATATATCATCATCCGTAGAAAAAATACCATAACTGTAAACTTCGAGCTGCCATTTATCCCGCCAAAGTCATAATAACCTCTTTCGTTGCGCATCGAAAACGAAACAGACGAATTTACTGGCAGCTCAGTTTTTTTTTGAAAAACGCTCAGACCCGTCGATTTTGTTTTCGATGGGGACACAAGTTTGGCAAAAAATCACGTTAACACGTGCAGCCCCCTGGGCGGGGGTGACACCAACCCTAAAATCTTAAATGGAAAGGGTGAGTGTGGGAAGAGTGATACCTTATTTTAAAGGTCTTTCAATTCCCTTTATAATTATGTAAAATGCATGAGCTTCAGTTCAGTAGTTTTGAAGATTTATTGATTTAAAGCTTAAAGTAGACTTTAATAGGTACATCAGATTAGTTTGTACTAGTTTCAGAAGAAATTTGACTAAAAGAATTTACTTAATAAGAGAATGCTTTTCTTCACTACGCCCATGGTTTGTTTATCATTTTGTTGTTGAAAATAACTATTGGAGCGTTTTTTTGTGGCAAAACAGTTATTTCTTGAAGAAAGATAAGGAAATATCTCGTACTTATTTTAAATACGTATTTAGTACATAGTTTGCGATTGATTTGACCAAACTTTGTTGCTAAAATAACTTGTAACGCTTTATTACATAAATTAACCATGGTATATTCCACAGCAGAAAGAGTTGATATTATCGAAATGTTTTTCGGAAATAATCAGTGCGCTAATAGAACAACAGAAATATATAATGAGCGACATGAGAACAGTAACGTGCATCGAAAATATGTTCTAGAACTTGTAGCTAAATTTCGGGAAACTGGGTCGCCAATAAAAAACGCAACATTGAAAATCCCATAAGGAACGAAGCAATAGAAGTTTGGGTTTTAGGGCAAGTTTGTGTAGATCCTACGTTAAGTACCCGCAAATTGGAGACTGTGTCTGGTGTTAGTCTACGTACTGTCCAACGGATTGTGAACGAATTATAAACGATGAACATTTTCTATTCAACGCTTGCTTTTCCGACGAATGTTCCTTTTTCTGAAATGGCGTAGTAAATCGTCATAACTGCGGATATTGGTCCGATTCTAATCCCAGAATTTATCATGAGGTTCATACACAGCAGCCACAAAAATTAAATGTTTGGGCAGGTATTTTTGGCGATCATTTAGTTGGTCCTTTTTTGTTACTTGGAAATTTGACCGGTGAAATGTATTTGGAATTACTGGAAGACGCCATAGATCCTGTATTAACAGCCATAATTGAAAATCAGAATGATCGGCGGTACATTGCGAATAGGTTGATGTTCCAACAGGATGGTGCCCCACCACATAACGCATTACGTGTTCGACAATATTTAGATCAGACGTTTCCAGATCGATGGATTGGTAGAAGAGGTGCCATTGAATCGCACCCAAAATCGCCAGATTTCTCACCTTTGGATTTCTTTATGTGGGGTCATTTAAAGAGCAAAATCTATGCTACTCAGCCAACATCATTAGAAGACCTGCGACAAAGAATTGTGAATGAGTGCCTTCAAATTACTCCTCAAATATTGCAAAATGTGCGCCAACGTTTTGAGCAAAATCTTTATTATTGCATGGAGAGTCATGGTGGCCATTTTCAACATTTACTTGCCTAACGGGTCAGTTCATTCTTCATTTTTAAATTACTTGGCTGCCAGATGTATTGATTTCCACTAATGATGATGTATTAGTTTTATTTAAGCTTTAAATCAATAAATCTTCAAATTTACTGAACTGAAGTACATTAATTTTATATCATTATAAAGGGAATTGAAAGACCTTTAAAATAAGGTATCACTCGACTCCCCTTTCCATTCAAGATTTTGGGGGTGGTGTCACCCGCGCCTAGGGGACTGCACGTACTAACGTGACTTTTTGCCAAACTTGTGTCCCCCTCGAAAACAAAATCGACGGGTCTGAGCTTTTTCGATGCGCCACCCTCTATATTATATGCGACTGCGAGACCAGCGATTTACGGTTTAGCTGCTCACCTCATGAAAAAACGAAGTAAACGAAACCGTAAAAGAATTTGGTGTCGAAATTGGATCAGGGGGAGGGACTGGGTGTGCTTCAGATGCTGTTCTTTTGACAATGACATCTTTTAAGTTTTTCAATCTACAAGTAAAACAGCATACATTATAAGCAGGGAAGTTTCGCGAAACTTATGAACACAACTGATCATAACAACTGATGGAAGTGATTGAGGTTAGGCTTACTTTTGTCAACCAAGTATAATCTCATCTAATCATCACAGCATATCAAGGGAATGTCAAGGAGTTAACATCAAACATGTAATTAATTGTCAGGTAGCGCTTCTATCAGCCATTGTGCTCTTCAAATGCGTAGCAGGCGTCTGCTCACTTTTAGCAAGATATTATTTAGAACTGGTTCTAAATAATTTAGCACTCAATTTGTTCATACGTGCTAAATGCTGTCTGACACATCCTTAATTTTGTACGAAATTCAGCATACTAAATTTAGCACAAAATTTCTTATCGCGGCAGAGGACCTTTACAGAATGAAAATGGATCAAAACTAAAGTATTCCAAGTTATCATCATATACTAGCTTGAATACATCAACAATAAAATTCGATTTTGACATAATGCCAACTTGAAGTTCCTCAAAATATGTCGCAATGATTTAAATTAGTAAATACCAACAATATGCTTGTTCGCAAACCGGAATATAAATATGATAATAACAGTTTTAGTAATCGCAAAAAGCGATATTTGTAATTTCTACAACTTTCTAATATACAACCAGATTGACGCAAGATAGTATTTGTAAAATTGTACATACACCATATAGCACTGTATACTAAATATTGCACAATAAACTTTAACGCAGGTACGAAGTAAGCGTGGAGGAAGTGACTCAAAACCCGTTCGAGTACTACACCACACAGCCACAGTACTACACTCAATACGACACCAACCAACACAGTTCCTATAACACGGTGTCTAATCAACCGAGTCCGTACGACACTGTCCCCAACCAACAGAATCCGTATCAGAATACGTTTACATCCACATCAGCCCCTATCACAAGATTCAGTTTCAAGTACAACTTCGTCCCCTTTTCCACCACCAAATCTCCATACAATTTCGAAAATTTCGCCAAAACGGCGAAATCTCCCAGTACAGCGTCCTTTTTGAAAAACATCTTCAGCACTAGACGTGCTACCACAAAGAGTCCGTACGATTTTGCCAATTTTGGAATATCGACGGAGAGTCCCTACAGCATATCGTATCATGACAACGTCAACAACAACTATCTGAAAAGGTCTTACAACGATGCGAGTTATTATACAGATAGTAGCAATGTCAATGCTACGTATGACAATCGAAGACTTATAGGGTAAGGAATTCATCGCATTTGCAACCTCTTCTAAACGCTGATTCATGTCATTTAGCGGCAATGATGCTGTCTGTTTTCGTCCATATTTTTCTGTTTGGTTGTGCATGGATTCCATTCATCAGTAGTCAGTAGTTATTGGAATTTAGTAATCGCATGACTGTACAGATTACATAGTAATATCTGATAACATTATTTTTAACGATTTTTACATACCTACCTGTAAGTATCGCGATAAACAAAGTTACGAAATTTTACAACTGTGCGTCACCAATTTAACAAAATAATAGAGATTTCCGTCATTCCCAATTTAGATAATTAATCATCCAAAAATTACTTGCTTCATTTTTTTAGGTTTGAATGAATGAAATAAATGAAATTTAAGGGAAACCGGTCACCACGAGGAGCAGGCGCATAGGCCACATAACTGGCCCTTGTGCACCACTACTCTCTCTAAGCCTCCGTCCTCCTAGCGATGTTCAGTATAGCCCAGAGTTCCAGCTCCTTAACAATCTGGGGACTCAAAGTGTTTGACCCCAGTATAATCTACCTATAGTAGCTCAGAGCCTCGCAGAATATGCGCCCAGGACTCCACCTCTACCCTGCATCGCTCACACATGGGATCCTCCTCCACCCACATCACATGCAGATGACATGCATCGTTTATGGCCTGACAAGAGTCCCACCAGCAACCTTAGGTTGGTGCTATTCCAAGATAAGCAGAAACGTCCATCCTTAGCGCTGGGCCCTGCAATGAGTTCCCGTACCTGACGTAGAAGTCTGGAGATACTTCTCCATTTCTGAGAGTGTTGTCTTGCAATCCACTTCTCCATTTTCCTCCTAACTCTTAGCGCGGGCACCCCTAAAGCTGGCTCAGGACCAACGAGCTTGCTGAATGATTCTGTCTTCGCCAGAGCGTCCGCCGTCTCATTGCCACCGTGTCCCGGTACCCACACTAACGATACCGGATGCCACGCTGCTAGACAATACAGAGCCTCCCTGCATTGCAGCACAAGGCTCGAAGTAATCTTACAGGCACTTAGTCCCTGTACTGCTGCCTGGCCGCCGGAGAAGATTGTTATTCTTCTCCTAAGCCCTTCTCCCTCTGGATTCCGTCTGGAAAATCCACCAACAGGCAGTACTAAGGCCAATGACCCCGGCGGTAGAACCCTTTCCAGTGATCGAGCCGTCCGTGTGCCAGACTTGCCCATATCCTTCGGAGACCTTCCGGAACCTCACTCCTGGTCGGAACTTCCAGAATGAACTTGGGGTCAAAGCGATACTTACGGATGATCAGATCACCCTTGCTCAAAAGGATAGGATCCGCCCTTTGCAGTTCGACTTAGATGGCCGTGTAACCTTTGACAGGTTTCATAGAGGTACAGCTGCCCTGATTTCACATGTTCGACTAATCTCGACTCTCTAAGGATCACTAGATCCAAACGTGGAAAGATCCAGCAGAGCTTCCATTACACTCAATGGTGTTGTCCACACTGCGCTAGTAATACTGGTACAAGCCAAACAGAAGTTTGTTGAGCTTGACCTTAGTTATCTAAGAAATGTGGAGCCAGTGCACCACTTTGTGTTGAAGCCCACTCCGACATCCCGTAGGTCTACGGGCTCACATTGAATTGCGAGTCTTGTTAACCTTGTACTCAACATGCTCTTTCCAATTCAGTTTACAGTCCAAGATGTGCGTCCATCAGAACCCTCAGGGTACCTTCCTCGGAGAGAGTATTACCACCCAAGGGATCAGGCACGGACTCCAACCTAGCTTTAGTGTTCTGGTACAGGATCCTAGCCTATGTATTCTAGCTGTAGCAGTAATGACTGACAGAAGTTCCTTCAGGATTCTCTGAAAGTCCTTCGGATCTCCATTTTATATTCCTGCAGCGCCTTTTTATACTCTTCCTATTGTGGAGAGCCTCTCATGTGCCCGACTGCTAAGAAGTTTGTGCACAGCTCCTTTCCCATCTTCTAGTTCCTTAGATCAGAAAGTTGCTTTGACCTTATCTTGAACTTGGCCTAACGGGCAGTTATACGAAGCCCTCAGGTCCCTACTCAGAGAATCCACAGCTGCTTCTATATCAGAGCACCTACGAAGGCTAGGTTGAATCACACCAATCCTCCACCAAGGCCTGTCCTAAAAGGCGCCGAATTAGTATGCCTTGAATTCTGAACGAATTTATCTGGAACCTCCCCATCGATCTTAAACAGAATATGCCTGTGATCAGATAGAGAGGATTTTAGTCCAGTTTCCAGTCTATAACCTCCTGAGCTATCTTAAGTCGATAACCTCTTCACTGACATTGCCAAAAGTAGGTGTTTACCGACATTCATCAAGGTTCGTTGTCCCTGGAGACTCCATGAGCTCTTCACCCGTTTGTTGGTTTTCGAGCTGTCCCATATAACGTTGGTGTCGCACCCAGTCACGAGGTGAAGACCAGAATCCCTACAATAAGGTTTAATAAAGCGTATATGTTGCTGAAACATTTCGGACCTTTATCTTTACAAATTGTAAGACAAGATACTGCAATCGATGAAGAATCGAAATATGAGGTGTTTCAAAACTTGTATACCCAAATGAAGTCTGACAAGTAGCAGTTATCTGAACATGACCTGATATTAATGGCTTGTATAAACAGCCTTTGAATCATGGTTTTTGAAAACGGCTTTTTGAAAACATTGCTTATACTTATCTGATCTGTGCAGTCAACATATCTATTGAGTATGCCGTATCTTGGTTTTCACGGGTACACCTACTTCAAGTATCATCATTACAATCACCGGAATCACGGATACCTTCGTCTTGTGATTGACATTATCCCTGTGCCTTGTTGCATGGTACTTTCATCAGTAGTTCAGTTGATCTTTGTAGTGCAGTACTTGCTCATTCCTTTATTCAGTAGTCATTCGTTTATTTTTTGTAATTTTCACATGATTTATCAACACTCACACATCAAGCACCACATATCCACACATTTTTGATAACACATTAAAATGTCTCATACTCTGCCCTTTGTAGTAGTCGAATCATGTTAATGTGCATGTATGATAAGAAAGTTACAAAAATTTTATATTTGATCTTAGTTGGGTATCAAAAATTGCACGCGTTTTTAGCATGGTAGTACTAGATCAGTAGATGCAATATTACTTCCTTTGGTGAAAGTTATGCTGCACTTTCAATAAATGCACGATACTGAATTCCCGCATAAGAAGTCGCACTTTTGACTGATGTGTGGTCTTATACATATTCGTACTAGTTATCGCATTTTATAACATTGAAGTAGGCAATTTAAATCATGTTGCATGACCACGATGTATATGTATTGGATTGTAGGGAAAGTTCTGTGGATTTTGAACTGTAATGTGGATATGCGTCTAAAACTTTTCATTACTTCCCAACCAAAGCTCTGCAATTTATTTTTTCGCGAAATTCCCAATTTGATTCCACGTAAACGTGAGCCAGCGAGGGTCTTGGACCGTTCACCTGACCGTGGACCTGATGGAGCATCTGATTCAAAGTTGTGCAGTTTGCAATTTAGTTTTTAATGCTATGTTAGTGAAAAGGTTGAGAGAGTAACGTGAAGATTTGAAAAATCGATGGAAAAAGCGTTATTGGATTATGCGCTTTTGATTCCGAGCGGGAGCGATCGTGGACTTGCCTCTCTCGAAGAGGTTAGGGGCACTCAGTTCAGATATAGTGCCGCGCTCCGTGAGAACGAAATAATGTTGTATGTGATACGCTTTTATACGACCAAATAAAAGCGTTGTTTTTTTATACTTACGCAAAGTTAGATAATAAAGTCGGAAAAGTACTATACCTAGTTTGTTCGATAAATTGTTTACCACAATACAGAAGTTTTGTCGGTATCAGCAATGGCCACAAAAAGGAAATTGCGGAGCTTCGGCAAGCTGGGCAAATATCTGATTCAATCATCGGAATCAAAAATCAGCTCTCTGATTTTGTTAAACGTAAGTCGCTGGAGTTTCACGCTGCATTGGAACAAACAAAACGTTAGAAGAATATTATAGATATTTAGATATTCAATATTCTGTCGATTAAATAAAAATGTTTCTTTGTATGGGCGCTTTGGTAGAATTTACACTTCAAAATCTGTAGCACTCCTTTCAATCCAATAAATAGATTCCATCCAACACTATACAATATTTGTTGTCTATTATTTTCTCTTTATCTCATGCTATGTAAAATTATGTAAGATGCATCAAGATGAAATAGTGTATGACATCTCAAAGACATATGTAGAAAAGCAAATCGGTGACTATGTTGTACAGGGTGGCCAACTAAGAATGCGGAAACCTATCCATCGTAGAGGCTTGCTGCAAAAACAGTTATTATTAAAACGGCCAAGAGAAAAACCTGGAAATGGCCACTGCAATCTTGAATCTAAAAAAGTTATGTTTCTGTGAATTCCGCTATATTAACCTAACAAAAAAATACCTGATCTATAAATTCGAGGATAATTTGAACGTTTTTTATTCGACAATTTTTGTAAAGTGGTGGGGGGTATTCAAAGGTTTCTGTAAAAAACACCCTGTATCTTCGAAATCGCTGAGCTGATTTTAACAAACTTGGACTAGTTGAAAAGATTTATTTTGGGGGTACAAATGTTATATTTGAAGTTTTGTTAGTTTCACATGTGGCCGCTAGAAGGCTTTTTTCGACATTCCAATGGTAAATTTTCTTCAAAAAAATTAAATGTGTTGGTATGATTTTTTTCATGAAAAAGCAGCTAAATAATGACTAAACAAGCTCGCGAAAACCGCATCTCGATATCTTGTTCCTAACCTAAAATCTAGGCCATATTTTATACGAAAATCCCTTAAATTTTTATTTTCTTAAGCTAATTTTTCTGGAATTTCTTTTTATTATTAAGTTATGACCTTAAAAAGGACAGATTTAAAAAAAGCATACGAATCCAGTTTTTCATATCTTCACTGGTTGTGGGTTGAGTCTGAAACATGATGTCCTTTAATCGTCCCCATAAATAAAAATCAAGACAAGTTAAGTCTGGTGATCGCGAAGGCCATGGAAACAGACTGCCTCTTCCAATCCACCGCTGTTGAAATACTGCATTAATATGCTCTCGCACAATATGCACTGGGCCACCATCCAGCTGCATGCAGTGTTTCCAGAGGCACATTTTCCAACAACAACAACAACGGCAATGCATTGTCCAAAAGGTCAAGAAAGACATTGCTATGTAGGGATTTGTCGAAAAAAAATTAATATTTAATAATTCTCCCTCTTAGTATGCCACACCACACATTTAAACTCCAACGACCTTGGTGCTGAATAATGCATATTGTGCAGATTGACTCCCCAGTCACTATTAAAGGTGCCTTCAACGGTCCAAAGAATTTGGAATAAAAATTATCTATTTTCGCGAATCATGCCTAACATCCAATGACAATAGTCCAACCTCCGGTCAAAGTCTTCCTCTCCCATAATATGGGGGTATTCTAAAAGTAATTAAAAAAAGATATATTTTGGTGACCATTAGAACTTATCTCAGGTCCTTCAACATATTTTGAACCGCTGTTCGTGATATGCCCAACTCAAAGGATAATGTCCTTATGCTAACATCAGGATTTCCTTCAATATATCCCAGTACGAGGTTAATATTTTCTTGTGTTCTTCAAATTCTTTGCCGTATGCCAAAAACTACTACTGACTCGTAAGCTCGCCACTAATCGGGAAAAAACTCTCACATCGCAAAGACGCAGATTTGGATATCGCGTCGCATAAACTCTTTTTGCTACTGCGGCATTCTGAAGACATTCAAAATAAACTACAAGCATATCAACAGCTTCAACGTTCATAAAACGGATTTGGTAAGCGTTTAACTGTTCTAAGAAAATTGACCATCTCTGTCGGAATGTAGAAAAACGCCCTCTAGCGGCCACATGTGAAGCTAACAAATATTATAACATTTGTAGCCCACGAAGGCCTAAGCTTGTTAAAATCGGTTCAGCCGCTTCGAAGATACCGGGTTTTTTACGGAAACATTTGAATACCCCACCACTTTATTTTTAGAGTTACAGCAAAAATTGTTCACATTATCCTCGATTTTGAAGTTCAGGTATTTCTTATTATGTGAGTATAGCGGAATTCACAGAGACATTACTTTTTTAGATTCAAGATTGCAGTTATGCCCCCTAGCGGTCATTTCAGAAACTTGAAAATATTTTATAGGTTTTTCTCTTGGCTGTTTTAGTAACAACTTTTTTTGCCGCAAGCCTCTACGATGAATAGGTTCCCAGATACAGTACATCGCCACCCTGTACATACCAACATCACTGAAGATATTTTGAAAAATGCCCATTATATACATATGAAACAATTAAATTTTAATAGTTTACTTTTATGTTCCAGCTAAGAAAATTATAAAGGATATTTCTTCTGAACTAAGCAGGAGCTTTGAAGCAATATACATTAAATGAGAGACAAGCCGAGTTGTGATGTTTAGTGCTTATTTTGTATATTTCCCCCTGACTATTGAGTGCGTGCTGCAAGTGAATGTGTATGTGATGGACTTTAATGAATTAGCTGTCATAGGATGCTTCAGTAGCTTTGGAAATCAGAATCTACAATCATGGACATTTTAGAACGTTGGCTTGATTTAGAATATTTATCAGACACTGAAGATTGATCAAAATACGTCTGGATGTTAACAAAGTTTCAGCAAAGGTTTGACTTTCCAATGGATTGATTTGTTTTATATCGGGAATTGCGTAGTAATTTACTATTAACACCAATGATTAACGTATTTTACTCGAAGTTAGCCAACCATATACCATCCTGGCACCCGAAAAGGGGTCTGAAAGACCCTAGCGCCATCTGTGAGACACTAACACAACATAGAAATGAATTTAGAAATCTACTTTAAAAAGAAAATGGTTCTGTGTCTGATAGATTGCGCTAGTATATTCAATCCCTGTGATGGTGGGCTATCTTCAGGTTCCAGCATAACTAATTTATTATCTTGATATATCAAGGAATTTGAGTATATTAAACATATGCGCTTAATTAAATCAAACGCTTTCAATTTTGACCAAAATATTTTTTTGAGAAATAATGTTTTATGAAAGAGAATTCCACTTCCAAGATAACTTGTTTTTTGTATTATAAGAAATTTGGAAAAAAGAAAAAAGTGGCTAGTGCACAGGTCCAATTCATGACTTCCCTATACTTTTTGCGAAAATATTTTCTTGAAATAACAGTTATGATCCCTTTTTACACAAAATTAGATATCTTGCATAAGAAATGACGAACATTTAAAAAAATAGTCGTCTGTACTAACACCTATCTACTATAATTTTCAAACTTTTTGTTTATATTTCAAACAAATAAGCTATCTTGGAGCTATACAAGAAAATTGTCCCCACTATGCCGTATCTTTCATTTTATTTATTAAATTCATGATATCTCAAAAAATAAAAGAATCAAACATAACTAGGGATGCATATTTACATATGAATGAGTGGGTACCCCAGAGCCTTAAAAATTTTAATGGGTACACAACAAAAATTAAATCAGTTCCTGTAAAAGTATTTTCGCGCTCGATATATTAAAAACAGATTTCAAATGAGATACAGTTTGTGGATATGATAATCTTTTTTATTAAGTGTGTCAAACACCTTACATGACTGAGCTCTTTTTTATTAATAAGACTTTTTCTTCATAAATTACGGGTAAATCAATGTTCATACTAAATGCAAGAAAATCTGATTTCCAAAGTATAGAGAAAGTTTCTTTTTAAGTAGGACTTATTTAATCTATGTACATATATTTTTAAGTGATACTGCCAACTTTGGATATTAGCAATAGCTATAAAGACTGATTTTTTATAAATGTAACTTTGAAAAAGCAATTATTTTTTAAATATGATACATATCAATTATTCATATCACATCATTAGATAAGATGTTTGTGGTGTTCTCCAATAAACCAATACACAGTAATTGGTCAATTGAGAATGTGACAGGAGTTCAACAAATTGGCAATTTAGGATCCCTTGAGCAAATACATTTTGAAAATGCAGCATAAAATCGTTCTTGAAATGTTCGTTGAAATATTGTAATCATTTTAATTGCAAATATATGAATTTGCTTTTGCAAAGTTACAGATATATAAAATCCATTTCTTAATATTGAATGAAGGATTTTACAAATTCTTTGTTTGAAGTAGGTATTTTTAGAAGACAATGTGCAATTTGTTACTGTTTTTTTGCCAAATAGATAATGAATTACATTCTAAAAGTGAAGGTAATGTTTAATTTAACTTTTAAAAAGATGAAATAAATAAATACATTCTTGTGTTATTTGATATTTTATTATAACAACTATAACTGCCTATAACCCTCTCAGATGATTGGAAAGTGTTAATTATTTGACCTGCTCTGGATAATTTTTATGATCAAAAAGAACAGCTTCTATTCAATTTAAAATTTGGTTGCAGGCGAACTTGTTATTGAGGAATATTGATACAAGTACTTCTTTAAACATTTATTTTCTAAAAACATGGGTACATTTGGGTGAAACTAGGAAGACTACAAACAGACTACTAGTTGACAAATAATACATCACATTTCTTAGGAGGATAATTTTATGTAAATAAATCATATGTGGAGAAAATACCATGGATACATGGTTCATTGTTAACTACAAGGCTATGCATAAATTGTGTCAAATAAAACTGGAAGAATCAACATTTTGCACATTAAATGAGTTGCATCCATGAACCAAATTTTGGCACTGTTAAAATGTAAATGGTAACTATTCAATACTTTGCAGCTTAGTTTCACAATGAATATTTGATATCAGGAAGTCATTTGGAACAGCAATTAGATAGATGAACTGTAACAAGTGCATAATACTACTAGTATAACACCTACAAAATCTAAGCTTGCAATATAAACACACAATCAAAAAATTCTGCTGTTTTTATCATTATCTTCCTTATTTACTCTCGCTATAAAACAATCTTCCAATAAATTCCCTTTACCATTAGAGATATAATTTATGATAATGTGAATTAAGGAAAAGTTAAAAGAGGAATGTAATGTGACACAAATTTATTTCAGTGTTTTTTGATAACTCTGAACAAAAAAGGCCTCGAGTAAGTAACCTTCTTTAAAGCTGGCCGTTTTCGACTTATAAGCTATTTAATGCCTGAAAATGTTTTTTTTTTACACTGAAGCGGCCACGCAGGCAGAATCCTAAATGCCAGACACCTCGGCTGCTATGAGAATCCCAAATAAAATTTGTTAATCCGATTTTTGAACTGCCTAAGGTTAGTAGAACTGAGAAAAGCCTCCATATGTAGATTTTTTCACAATCTCGACACCCTAGGGACAAAGGAGCGGTCGTATCGGCCTGTTCTGGACGTACGAAGTTTGTCACGGTTAGGATGGGAGGTAGAACTCAGATGGGTCTGTCTGGCAAGCACATCGCGAGGGTATATTCAATTCTTAAAAAGTCTCTAAATTGAAATTTAAACCTTGCTAGAGCATTTTAAGAGTAGTTTATGTTGAAGCGATTTTTAAGCTTATTTGATAGATGAACTTGATTTTCGCAGTGTACATCCTTTAATAATATTCCATTTTATCTGCCTGCTAGCTGAACGTAAAACTGTTCAGATACAAGGAAAGAGCAATCAAATGCAAAAGAAGTGTCGCATGTTTATCTCTAAGTATACCACATGAAAATAGTGTTGGTCTTAAATTTATGAGAAGTTGTTTTTAGCTTCAGGACACTGCGACACATTACATATAAAAAACAAGCAAAATCAACCAAAACCACTCTTCAACATAGACTCATACCCAATTATACTTAGATGGCCTATATATTCAGACCCATTGAGCTTTGAGGCTTGTGCCCCATGAGACATTTATTCAGGATTCTGAGATACATGACATTTCAGAAATTCAGTCGTAATAACTAAATCTACTCTTCCAGATACAGCAGGTAGCCCAATGAGTTCTGGGGCCTGTGCCCACTGAGACATTCATTTGGAATGCCGAGACACATGACATTAAACAAAACTGTGAAATTAATTGAAAATACTTTCCCTATAGGGGTGTTGGAGGGTCCTTTACCTTCAATTCAGGACCTATCTCGATGAAACTGTGAATATTAGAAATATTGGCATAGTGGATACTAAATAGGAGATCCAAAGACTGTGACATTATAATACCATAATGACTCAAGTTTAGGATATTTTAATGCTTTGTTGTATTTTATTGTTGGTATTAGCATATCATAATTCAGTATCAATATAGACTATGGTATCATTGATTTTTTGACACATATGTAAACCCTGTAAAAACTATTGTCTATTAGGTATTATGACTGGGACAGGTCACATTAATTTATTCAACTAAATTTCATAGAATTTTCATGCGTTGCATGAATGGTCCCTTTAACCACAGCCGACGTCAACTTGCTCGCAGTTGACGTCGGCTGTGCTTTAATCATTTCAGGGATTTAAAGTTAAAAATAGCAGCATAATTTGGTTGTGCTTTAAAGGCAAGTATAACAAGAAGTAATACTACATTGATGGGAGACATTAGTACTTACTTATCTATATAAGTAATATAGGTACTATCGCCCAAAGACTTTGAGCCCAATAACAATTGATGACAATCAAAAAATAAATCACATCTCTATCAAGTATCAATTTTTTTACAATCATTATATATTCTTTAATTAATCTAACCAAAAATCAATTACAGAGAAATTTTGCTTGTTTAGCTTAAAGATGAGTCATAGAAAGGGGAAAGAAAGCTTTTATTAGTACTGGGATGAAGACACAAGACAGAATTTTGAAAGACTGGAATAAAGGAACCTGAGCTTATTTTGTTGAGAAAGATGAATGTCTCAGATGTATTTGTTTACTGTTTTAGTGTCTCAACATACTCAAAATTGTTGCTGTGGATTCCGAAAATATTCCACAACTATTATCATTATTTATTAGGTGGCACTATGGGGTCAACAAAGAGGTTGTGGCATAGTTGCCAGGCTTTGCCTCCTAACCAGTACTACTATTGCATAGAGAGGATCTTGATTTATACTTATATAACATTACGTTTTTCTGTGTGGGATGATTTGAGTACTCCAGAATTATTTTGACAATTTAGTCTGGCTCAGAAGTATAGATATAGAGACAGTATTCTTGGTTGCTAATTGTTACTGTGTACCTTGGTTCAATAGCACATCTAAATATAACAAACTAATCCAAAATATTCAAAACCATAACATTACAATAAACTTACACCATTTGAATATAATATAGACATCTAATTGAATTAATATAAAAGTTGGAAACAATAACAAGTTTGTACCAATAGTATTAAAGGTTAATATTTACCAAACCATGTACTCATGCAGTTCTTGTTGGACCAGTTATTCCAATTGCTTTAGTGGTGATTCTAGCTATCATAGCAACAGATAATAGGCATACAACACCTGCAGGCATAATTTTACCAGAATTGTAGAAGCGATAACCCATTATCCCAGCTAAAATAGAACTTGTAGCTAGTTGCACAGTATAATTAGCAGGATCCCGGCTCACTTCATAAGCACCATAAGCAAGAGCACTGCCAAAGAGCAGGCCAGCAGCTAAAGATGGTACAGAACCTGTGAAAAGATATTTGAGAATTTAGATATGTTCGCGAATGTTATCATTCAGAGTAAAGCAAAAGCAATGGATAAATATTTGACAAGAACACTGATATAGAAATACTACTGTTGATTGAGAATTTGATCCTTACCTGCTTTGTAATAACCCATAATTCCTCCAGCTGCTACAGCTCCAGCATACAAAAATCCAGGAATATCCAAAGGCATTTCTGAAGCTTTTATTTGAATGCTGTTTCGGAAAAAATATTCACCGTAGGCTCCCTAACACTTCTTGCAAGTCACGGCTGATTTAAATGGAAAAAATCCAATTTGCAACTTACCACAGTCACTTAAACCTAACCAAACTGTTTAGAGAATACCAATCTTGACAGTTGTTCCCTATCAGACTTGTCATTATAGTCTAAATAACTACTTACGGTTCGGTGCTTAATTATGAGGTTCTCGTTCTGTAGTTAACTGGACAGTTAGTTCACTTATTTTCACCTTAAATTATTTTCACTTCCAATTTTGGCCTACAAACATAAAATCAAACATCACTCGGTCAACTTTTCAAACATTCCCTCCCTATTCGGAAGCACAAAACGTATACACGGAGACGCAACTACCACGAAATGACACACGACAGAGCAAAATAGAGATGAGAAAAATAACTGGTTAATTGAATATCGGTTTTTCATTCGATTAACCGGTTATTACTTCCCACGATTACTGGCGAGGAAGTCTTGTAATCGCGAAAATTTTCGATAATCAGATAATGTTTTTCGTATATTAAATGACATCACGAAAAACCATTTCACTGATTTCCGTCGGTCTGTCCGCTAATCTTATAACCGCCTATAACTTGAGGAGTCCCGCTCGGAGTTCGATGAAATTTTTACACAATAATACTATACTATAACTATCTAAAACTGTAATGACTCATCGATGTTCAGGTGAACATCACTTAACTACCAGTAGTCGGCTGTTCATAGGCGGGGTATGAATGTTTAACATGGGTGAACTAGATTTGTCACATGCTTAATAAAGAGTGGTTTGAAACATATTGTAAGTCAAAAATTTGGGAATTACCTTTATTCATCGTCGCTTCCACTTACATCTGACAGTAATAAACTGTCGCTATCGCTTTCCTCGTTGACCATAACTGGCTCTATGATGGTGTCGATGTGGTGGTCAAGCTGCCACATTTTTGTTTCTTCCTTCACAACATGACGGATAGCATTCTGCTAAGCTTCGGGCGTTACTAGCTGTATGGAAGTCTCAAGTAAAACCTTAACGTCTGGTAATTTGAAGGTTGTGTTATGGCGCGCAATATAACCGTTCACTTGAGCCCAGATGAGCTCTATTGGGTTCAGTTCACAGTGGTAGGGCGGTAACCGCAGCACAGTGACACCTCATCAGTCACGTAACTAATGTTCGCAGGTTTGTGCTGTTTAATTTTTTCATACAAATCCGCTTTCACACATGAATCGTCAAACAGGATTTCTTTTTCGCGCAACCATTGCTGCATGTCACTTTTTCGAGATCCCATAGTCGGTACACGTTCGGCTTGACGACTATGGTAGGAAGCATTATCCATGACGATCACAGAGTTGGGCTCAACTCGCTGAAGCACCCCTTGAAACCAGGTCTCGAAGTAGCTGGCATTCATTTCGTCATGGTAATCACCTCCTTTCTTAGAGACGAAAATCAAGTCACACTCTTCTAAAAAGCCACTATCGCTACCAATATGAGTTACGATCAATCTTTGACCTTTCCCTGACGGTCCACGAAGACCTGTTGACAAACCTTCAATGCTTGCTTGTCGGTTTCTCACTACGTTTTTGTCTATCCAGGTTTTTTTAACTCTGTGACCTGCATTTACCCATGTCTCGTCCAAATAATAGATTTTTCTGCTTTGTCGCCTATATTCAATCATTTCGCGTAGGTATTTTCGATGCCAGGCGACTATTTCAGGTCTCTCTATCAATACTGACTTCCGATTACGCGTTTCGTAACGAAAATTAATTTCGTGCAGGGATTTCCTCATTACCTCGACGCTCATTTGTGGTATAATTTCATTTTCCTTGATCGCTGCATGTACAGCCTTGAGGGTTGGTATCTCATTCCTAAAGAAGAATGAATGTACGGTTCGCCTTAACGCCATTTTGCTATCGTCATCCAATTTAACGGCCTTTCGTCCCTTCAAATTAAACTTTGGATCAGTAGTAGCTCCAGTTTTCTTCTTTTCATGCACCACCCTGCGAATGGTCCACTCTGGAACGCCTGTCATACTTTCACAATGCGCGAGTGCATCTCCCTGCGACATAGTTCTGGTCAGATAATTGAACACGTTGAGCACGATTTCTTTCGCGTCCCTCTTCAGTGCTTTACGAAGCCGTCTACTTGTTTCCTGGCTATCAGTACTTCCACTCGTGCCATTTGTACTCTCCATGGTTAAGTATAACCAAAACAGTAACCACAGAAACCACAACAATAACAATCACACAACAATTCTTATAAAAACACACAATATGCGATCGCTCAACGAAACACGTTCCAATGCGTTGCCGACGCCTATGAGTCTGCCGGTCGAGGCGCGTCTTTGATTTCATTGGTTCTACCGGCGGAGAACAATCAGCCATTATTTCCATCTCTGTCTGTGCTGTTGACCACCGCAAAGCCACAGAAACGACATATGTCGTACGCTATACGGCTGTACTGGAAGGAAGCCGGGATCGAGCTCTGATCACGTGTTGATCACGCGTATGAGTCATTACAGTTTTAAATAGTTGTAGTATAGTATGCCAAGGATGCAAGAGCTTTGTAGTTTCTGAAAACCGGTCCAGCTGTAGCGGAGAAATCGGCCCAAAGCAAATGAAAAATGTAAAAATCGCTCAAACTTCGTTTTTTTAACATTTGAAAGAATACTTTAAAAAAACTGGGGTTGGAAAGAGTTTGTCTCAATTTTTTGATGCTTCTATCAGACATTCAAATATTTCACACATCATAGATTTCTCTGTTTATGAAAAATATTCTCGGGAGATGGATCTTGTATGGAATCACACGTATTTTTGTCAATCAACGCGCTGACCGTGCTCCACGATGCCACGTCTGCTGGAGTTAGGTATCGGGAAGAGGCGACGTTTTCAGATGCACTACGGGTAAGGTAAGGAGAGAATGTTTATGGACTAATAGTATGGACCTGTTTGACTGACTTTTTTCTCAGAGGGTTCTAATTTGTGCTGAACATATTCCTTTATGTAATGATAAGGTCGTGGCGTCGGAAGTGACTTGACGTCTTTATTTAATATGGGAATAAAGAAACCGTCTTTATGTTTACGATTACAAACACACAAGAAAGAGCTACGAAACAAAGAATATACTAGTGATGGGAAAGACAAGGCAAGGTTTGAGTAATATTACCAAAAGGATCGCTTAATAACATTCTCATGGTACTTGCTAATGTTACATCTCACACTTAACGTATATGAGCCACCCGGAATATAAACGAACACAAAGGTAGTACTAACTACATACTATTAGTAACTCTTATCGTCTTATCTTCTTTGGATTGTCCTAGAGGAGCACGCGCGCGGGGTAAGCAAGCGACAACTCATATCCGTCATAAAATGAAGACAACCCAAATATCTCCAACAAACTGCAAACCATTTTTGGTTGGTGGGAACCACTTTTGATGAAACGAGTAAAGATGCTCCTGATGCCATCGCAACCAAAAATCTTTATGTAAGCGGAAAAAGTTTTTCTATGCGAGCCAGTACCCATTTCATACGCGGCACATTATCTTGCTTCACAACTACCAACGCACCTACTTTAGGTTCAACACATTTAGTATACCACTTTGCCTTTTGATGAATAGAGTGAAGATACTCCTGATGCCATCGCAACCAAAAATCTTTATGTAAGCGTAAAAGTAATTGGTATATATCTATGCGATTGATATTTAAATTAGATCAGGATCAGTTAAATAAGGTAATGGATTTAACGTTAGAAAATTACCAGGGCTCAACGCCGCAAAGTCTCTATCTGAACCAAAACTGTATTTAATGCTTCATAATAATATGTCAAAATTTGCGATCTAATAACTCAGGATAAATGCGTTTTGACGGATTTTATTCTAGCTCCGTAAATTCCCCAAAAATTAGAGGCATTGAGCACAATCTTTCATAATTTTAAGCAGATACCTGTTAGCGCCTGGAAAGTTAGTATCTACCATTGTCGCTAATTATTTTTGAACAAATTCCATGTCTGGCTATGAATCAACGTAACGCGCTTAGAAAATTCTAGGTAGAAAGATCTGATACGAGTTCAATATGTATGGCTTTAACAGTGCAGCACACAAATACGCAAATGTAAGACTTGATAGACTTGGCGCCTCTATGTTTTCCCAGGGTACCCCGATAGCACGAAATATTCAGTAAATATTCATTCAATATTTAATGATGTTTTTATCTTACTTAAATATTTGTTATCTTGAAAAAATATTCAATAAATATTTAGAATATAATATATTTATTAAATATCTATTCAATATCCTTTAAATATTTTAAATACAATATTTATTATATAATATTCATCAAATATTTACTTTTAAATCAATGGAAAATATTAAAACTCCATTATTTAGAAAATATTCATTATATATTTTCGGCTACGGCGCAAGTGCCTGTGACCGCGAGCGAGCAATGGCATAATGGCAAGCCAACCTGGGACGACCCGTTTGCCAGCATCCATTTTGCATGTGCAATTTGACTAAAAGAATTTACTTAATAAGTAAATGCTTTTCTTCACTACGCCCATGGCTTGTTTATCATTTTGTTGTTGAAAATAGCTATTGGAGCGTTTTTTGTGGCAAAAAAGTTATTTCTTGAAGAAAGATAAGGAAATATTTCGTACTTATTTTAAATAGGAATTTAGTACATAGTTTGCGATTGATTTGACCAAACTTTGTTGCTAGAATAACTTGTAACGCTTTATTACATAAAATAACCATGGTATATTCCACAGCAGAAAGAATTGAATTTATCGAAATATTTTTCGGAAATAATCAGTGCGCTAATAGAATAACAGAAATACTTAATGAGCGACATGAGAACAGTAACGTGCTTCGAAAGTATGTTCTAGAACTTGTAGCTAAATTTCGGGAAACTGGGTCAGTCGCCAATCAAAAACGCAACATTGAAAATCCCATAAGGAACGAAGCAATAGAAGTTGGGGTTTTAGGACAAGTTTATGTAGATCCTACGTTAAGTACCCGCAAATTGGAGACTGTGTGTGGTGTTAGTCGACGTACTGTCCAACGGATTCTAAATGCCCATAGTTTTCATCCGTATAAAATTCACCTGGTACAAGAACTTAATGAAGACGATTTTGATCGGCGATTACAATTTTGTGAAGATATGAGTGAACGAATTATAAACGATGAACATTTTCTATTCAACACTTGCTTTTCCGACGAATGTTTCTTTTTCTTAAATGGCATAGTAAAACGTCATAACTGCCGATTCTAATCCCAGAATTTATCATGAGGTTCATACACAGCAGCCACAAAAATTAAATGTTTGGGCTGGTATTTTTGGCGATCATTTAGTTGGTCCTTTTTTCTTACCTGGAAATTTGAACGGTGAAATGTATTTGGAATTACTGGAAGACTCCATAGATCCTACATTAACAGCCATAATTGGAAATCAGAATGACTGGTGGTACATTGCGAATAGGTTGATGTTCCAACACGATGGTGCCCTACCACATTACGCATTACGTGTTCCACAGTATTTAGATCTGACGTTTCCAGATCGATGGAGTGGTAGAAGAGGTGACATTGAATGGCCCCCAAGATCGCCAGCTTTATCACCTTTGGGGTGGGGTCATTTAAACAGCAAAATCTATGCTACTCAGCCAACATCATTAGAAGACCTGTGACAAAGAATTGTGAATGAGTTGCCTTCAAATTACTCCTCAAATATTGCAAACTGTGCGGCAACGTGTTGAGCAAAATCTTTATTATTGCATGGAGAGTCATGATGGCCATTTTCAACATTTAATTGCCTAACGGGTCAGTTCGTTCTTCATTTTTAAATTACTTTGCTGACAAATGTATTGATGTCCACTAATGTTGATGTATTAGTTTTATTTAAGCTTTAAATCAATAAATCTACAAAACTACTGAAATGAAGTACATTAATTTTATATCATTATAAAGGGAATTGAAAGACCTTTAAAATAAGGTATCACTCGACCACCCTTTCCATTTAAGATCTTGGTGGTGGCGTTACCCCCACTTAGGTGGCTGCACGTGCTAACGTGATTTTTTGCCCAACTTGTGGCCTGCTCGAAAACAAAATCGATGTGTCTGAGCGTTTTTCAAAAAAAAAACTGAGCTGTCAGTAAATGCGTCTGTTTCGTTTTCGATGCGCCACCCGGTATACAGGGTTATCCAAATTAAGTGTCCACCATTAGTAACTTTGTTATTAGTGAAAATACAAAGTTGTTTGAATTAGCAAACTAGTAGCATTTTTAACGCTGGTAAAAATGAGAAATAAAAAAAAACAATTGAGAGTCGTTATTTTAATTTTTTTCAGTAAAATAACATTTTTTTAAATGGAAACCCCTGTATATTATATTTTTTTCTGTTAAAGCATCAAATTTTAAACAAAAAAGTTCATAATGACTTTTCCGCTAAAGTCAAAAATAAAGTCAAAATAACGATAAATATTTTTAATTATTTGCAGTATTATAATATTAAGACGGCTATGAAAACAACATGGCGTTCGCGATTTGACAGCATTAAGATAAGCGACAAATTGTTAAACTGGACATACTCGCAACTAGAAGGCTTTGGAAAACAATGATAAAATCAAATAATGTCAAACATTAGTGTAAATACTTGTTTATAAGCTTTATTGTGTCATTAATTTAAAGAAAAATGTTCTCCCATGAAGAAAAGTGTGATATGTTAGAATGCTATTTAGTGTGCAGAAAATCCTCCTTGAGAGCAACCACATACAGTGAATTATATCCCGCTCGCATTCAACCGTATGAACGATATTTTCTGAGACTTTATCGAAAATTTAGGGGCAACGAAAATGTTTTTGCTAAAACAAGGGCAAAAAAAGAATTCATAATAAGCGAGGCCACGGAAATTGCAGTTATTGGATATTTTGAAGCTTATCGTGAGAATTCAATAGCAGATATTCTCAAGGACTCTAATTTCAGTTATGGTACTGTTCAAAGGATTTTAAAAAAATACAAATTTATTCCGTATAAGTACCGACCAGTTCAAACGCTTTTGGCAGGGGATCCAGAGAGAAGACTTGTTTTTTGCCATTGGTATCTTAGCTTCTGTCGCCAAAATGTAAATAACTTTCGTTACCTTTTATGGACAGATGAATCAAATTTTTCAAATTCTGGAATGTTTAATAGAAAAAACCACCATTATTGGTCAAGAGAAAATCTTTTGTTAGTACATCCAAGAGGCCCACAAGTCCGTTTCAGTTTCAAAATTCTGACTAATTTCTTAGACGAATTGGATCTTATAAGTAGACATCATCTGCATTTTCAGCAAGATGGCGCACCTGCCCACAACTCCAGAGGTACTTATCATTTTCTAAGTACTACTTTTAATGATCAGTGGATAGGAACAAATGGCCCAATACAGTGGCCTCCCAGATCACCAGATCTAAACCCACTTGATTACTTCTTGTGGGGTTACTTAAAGAACCAAATTTACAAGCGAAGGTACGATAACCTTGACGCGTTAAAGACTGCAGTTAGGGAAAAGATAATCCAGATAGATGGTAGGACCATACTTAAGACAGTTCGAACAGTTGAAAAACGTGCCCAAAAATGTATTGAAGGACAAGGTGGTGTTTTCGAGCATCTTCTTTAAAAAAAATTGTTATTGTATTTTGTAAGATTATAAGTTGATGTTGAAAATAAAGTTTGTCGATACAATTTAATTGTTTCAGATTGGAGGCCATAACTTCAACAATTTGTAACCTAGGAGAAAAGTTATTGTAAGCTTTTTTGTTTAAAATTTGATGCTTTAACAGAAAAAAATATAATATACAGGGGTTTCCATTTAAAAAAATGTAATTTTACTGAAAAAAATCAAAATAACGACTCTCAATTGTTTTTTTTTATTTCTCATTTTTACCAGCGTTAAAAATGCTACTAGTTTGCTAATTCAAACAACTTTGTATTTTCACTAATAACAAAGTTACTAATGGTGGACACTTAATTTGGATAACCCTGTATACGTCACCATGATAAAGGTTAAAGTACAGTATCACAGGGAACAATGCAGCTTGAAAACTTTATTACTCTATAAAAATCAAACATTTAAATGCTGAAAATATAATAAAAAAACTCAGGAACGAAAAAAAAACATTGAGCAAGTTAATTTTTAAAAGTCGGCTACTTGATGATAAATCCGAAAGCAGGCCACTACACATAGCCCAACGTCGCATTCTCTGCACATGTAGCTGCTCTACTTTCTTTTCTTTGTTCCTGCTTTCGTCTGAGAGCAGGCTCTGCATCTCCTAGTGGCAGTTTTCTTTCCCTCTTTTCTTGGAACCAATTCCGAAAAATGCCGGTCGGTTAGCCTTGCACTTCCCTGATCAAAATGAAGTGGTTTTGCTGTTGTTGTTGTTGCTTACGTTTTTGGCCACGTGTCGGCCTGTCAGAGGGACCAGCACGCTCTTCCTCCGCCATTTCATGTAAGACTAAACCAGAGATAAACCCTTCGACTAAACTAATCACAGTCTAATGCCCGGTTTCAAAAATCGCAAGCATGATACAGACGTTAGACAGTGTAGCCGGATGTCGTAAATTTTCGGCAAAGCCAAAATCTTCCGTCGTCCGGCTAAGCGGTGAGCGAAACATTGACATAATATTCCGACGCTCGTCTGTGGTAAAATGCAAGTTTCTAAAGGTGTCGCATCTGTAAGGCACTAGCCCAATGGATGTAATTCATCGATGTCGGATATATACGTCAGCCGGCCGGTGGGTATATTCTATAACTGACGTATAAATATGTCAGCCGTATTGAAATTTAACCGATATGGATTGACGTTAATGAAAAATAACATACAAACGGTTTCTTTAGAAATAACCGCCCATCCCTAGCAAGAAGTCGGCGCTCCAAAGTGACACAAGAGACAGCGACAGCATGGAGACTGGTGACACAGAACTAGTAGAAAAATAACCTGTCAGTGGGTGTCATCTGTGACGTTAGTTAAATATGAAATTAATGACAACAAAAACAATTTTCGAATTTTGATAATAAACAGAGGACTAACTAAACTTATCCATGGAGGTCTTCCATTTTAAGGACGCCAAAATCGTTCCAGACATTGTACATACTTATAGTGGAGACATTAGAGCAAACTCTGTCCCTTTGATCTATGACAATGGTGAGTTATAATAACATTCTGTTTATTCCCTGCATATCAATATTTGCTCTTGTAGGTTCTTATGTGGCTAGGGTAGGTTGGGCAACAAGCAAAGAACCTCTTCTAATGTTCAAAAATTTAATTGCTAAACCAAGAAAGGAGAGGTCCAAGAAAGACAATGTTGAGCCAGCTCAAGCCCCGCAATTACAAGTTGGTAATGACATATTGAACATTGAAGCAGTTAGGTTTCAATTAAAAACACAGTTTGACCGCAACATAGTAACACACTTTGAAGCACAGGAACATTTATTTGACTATGCATTCACACATCTTGGAATTGATAGTGAGAATCGAGTTAATCATCCCATTGTGCTCACAGAGGCATTTTTAAATCCAAATACATCAAGGCAGTGTAAGTTTTTTAGGTAAAACAATAAAAAATTGTTATAAAAGGTGTTGATAAAGTATCTAGCCAGACTTCAAAGGCAGCAAAAATGAACAGGCATTTTAACTGCCAAAGAAATGTAATTGTGAAAAATGAATTAACAAAAAAAATAAAAATCTATATTTGTAATTATAGTCATAATACATTTGGTAACAGCTACAAAAAAATACAGGATGTAAAGTTAGCAGTGGATCAACAGCAGTCAGGTGATAGAAGGCCTCAAAACCTATCAAATGAACCCTTATATGTGTGGTCCGAAATTTTATAGTTCAGGAGATATTTGCAATTTTGTAAAATTTTGAAAATAACAGGGTAATGAACTTTCAATCGCAATTATAACAAAACCATTAGGTTCAGGGCTGCAATTTTTATGTTTGATATGAGCTAAATGGTTAGTTTTAAGCAATGGTTATGTCACTTTTTAACATAGCTAATTAGAAATCAATGCAAAAAATCTTAAATTAATTTTTTTGTGAAAAATCTCTTCCATCCCTCAACTTTGGAGGGCGGTAAAAATAATTGAGGTGGAATTTCATTACTTTATTTTATTTTAAAAACTATTTCAGTCCATGTAGAATGAACCTTGAAAATTTCAGCTCACTACGATAAGTGGCTCACCTTAAAAAATCTGTATGTTTGATGCAGGTGGGTATCAATACATGTAAACAAGAAATTCTATTTTATAAGTTACAGTCCAAACAACTTGATGAATTTTGACATATAAGGTACTGTTAGATTTGTCCTAGCCCTAGCAGTGCGAGTGATACTGTGTGTATTAACATTTTATAAAACCAAAATGCGGATTTTTTACGTGAATAGCCAAATCAATCAGCTTAATGAGCTTGGGCATTCACCTCAGCATTCCAGGTGCGGGAGCGTTCAATCTTCAGTCCAACCGAAATTACTAATGCCCGTATCGTCAGTCGTCCCTACAATTGTAGGGGTGCCTTTATGGCCTCCTTGATTGTCATAGTTTTCTACTTCTCTGTGTCAGCGCTCTATTTTGAGGTTATGTGACAAACATCTATTTGCATCAAATTGCGCTTGCTTTTGAGTTATATCATGTTTTATCAGCCTGAAATTTCCTACAATTTAAAAAGAAAACATATCTTCACAATAGGAGAGCGCTGACGCTGACACGGGACAAGTGTAATCTAGAAATTTTTGAAGGATAGAAAAGAGTATGACCATCAAGGAGGCCATACACGCGCCCTACAATTGTAGGGACGACTGACGATACGGGCCTAAGTCAGGCAATGGTCCAGCGCGGAATTTGTATCTAATGTTTGACATCTGAGTAGAATCATGTCATATTCTCAGCGAGATTATGCAGAAATGTATTACTGTTATGGTGCTATCCTAGAAAATGCTCGAGCAGCTGGTTGTATGTATCAGGAATATGTGGTCAGAAGAGGTGCACCACAACCGGCGGTATATCCCGGTTATCCCGACTACCGCGTTTTTCTACGCGTCCATAATGCGTATATGGAGGGCCGCATACTAGGCACTCATCGTGAGCAAGGAGCGCTGAGTATACGCTCAGAAGAAATGGAAGATATAATAGAAGCAGCTGAGAGAGATCCCTCGATAAGCACCAGAGCCGTTGCACGAAGCAGAAACATATCCCATACTTCAGTGCATACAATACTATGTATGCTCGGAGAACATGCATCCTTACCATGTACAAAAAGTACAAGAATTGCTTCCAAGCGACTGTGCACAACGGGTTGAATTTTGCGAGAATATGTTGAGAAGGTGTGAAGAGGATTAAACTTTTTTTATGAAGAGATGAATGAAACTTTAGCTGAAACCGAATATCCAACATGCACAATTTCCATTCATGGAGCGTGGAAAGTCCACACGCTATTACGCAGATACAGCTTTCAACGTCAGTTTGGCATTAATTTATGAGCTGGAGTACTCGACATAAAATTAATTGGACCATATGAATTGCCCGCTAGGTTGAATGGTCAGTCATACCTTGCATTTCTACAAAGCAGTTTGCATGAGCTTCTAGAGGATGTACCTAATTGATGAAGCAAAAATAAAAATTATGGAAAAGAAGAAGGTGTCGCTTGTGTATAGAAAACAATGGAGGCCATTTCGAACATGTTCTTTAAATGTTAGATTAAATTATCTTGTCGGTAAATCGTCATAAAGAGCGGCTAAACCTAAACACAGTAGGTGCTGGACTTGTAGGTGGTAAGTATTGCGTTTCTTACGTTTATCGCATCTCAACAACGAACATACTCTCATACTGATACGGTCATCGTAGCAAGCTGAAATTTTCAGGGTTTATTCTACATGGATTGGAATAGTTTTTACAATAAATACAACCTCAATTTCTTTACTGTCCTCTAAAGTGGAGGGAAAAAAGATTTTTCACAAAAAAATGAATTTAAGATTTTTTGCGTTGGTTTGTAATAAGCTCTGTTAAAAAGTGACATAACCATTGATAAAACGACCATTTAGCTCTTCTCAGAAAAAGAATCGCAGCCCTAAACCTAATGGTTTAGTTGGAATTGCGATTGAAAGTTCATTATCCTGATTTTTCAAAATTTCACAAAATTACAAATACCTTTTTTTTTTATACTCCAACTACCACGAAGGCCTAAGCACCCATTGGGTACCGTGGGGCTATAGGGGGATACATGGGAAAAGGGGGGACGCCAACTATAAAATTTCGGACCACACATATAGGTGTTCATTCGATAGATTTTGAGGCCCTCTATCATCTGACTTCTGTTGATCCACTACTAACTTTACACCATGTATATGTAAGATATAAAAAAATCTAGGTCTTTGGTCTCTAACATAATCATTCACCTCTATATTAATTGAATGCCTTCTGTATTTCTGTGCAGATTTTTCCTCATTGCTAATTTTATTGTATTTAGTTACTAATAGTACACACTCATTATATGCAGTCTTTTCAGTTAAGGTTAGTATATGTGTTGGATAATTAACATTCAAATTTCTTGTGTTGTATATGTATTATACAGTGTATTTGGTACATGAATCAACAAATTTTTTTGGTTAACTGGAAATGCTATTTGATTAATCGTGAAAATCGTAATGCTTTAAGGGCTACAGTTATAAAGATATACATTTTTTAGTATTTATGGTTTTGCTGAATTTCCTAAAATTAATCACTTTTTTCTTTGGGTTGGGTTCATGATTAATCAGAGCAAATAAGTAGTTCATACAAAGGGTCTCTAAAAAATAACATGACCTTCCAAAGTGGTTAGAATTGTGTAAAGTGAATAAAAAGAATTAAAAATTTCTCAAACAAAAAACTATACCTATTATTGAACTTATCTTCATTTATAAATGCTCTGGATGCTTAGGAGACCAATAAAGGCTTTTATAATGACTCTAAGCTTAGCTTCTGTAAACGAGGGCTTTTGTTCTTTGATGAGCAGTTTTGTATGCCTCTGACCTGATTGATTTTCATTAGCCTAGTTTCACTACAATTGTTTTTGTTTTTTTCACCTTTGTACAGGGTTAGATGGTGGAATAGCAGGTGCTAAATCTCGCCCCATGTAATTTACCATGTTTTGGTCAATAAAGACGATTATTATTATTAATTTGGCTCTGGGTTCGATTACAAAAAAATTTACCTTTTTTGAAACTTTATTTATAAATGCTCTGTGGTTTATTACCTTTCCAATCCACACATCAGTTAAATTGACTAATAAATCCAGCTCCATGCTGCAGTGAGTCTAGAGCTCACATCAGGCAGTCTGATGTGAGCTCTAGATTCAGATTAAGAAAAATCAATCATGTCAGAGGCAGGCAAAAGTGTTCATCAAAGAATAAAAGCCCTCACCTACAGAAAGTATGAATAGTTTCATTATAAAGGTCACAAAGGCCTTCGTAAGACTTCATTATGTCTGTGAAAAAAAAAGCATTGTCAAATAGGTCGAGTCTGTAGTTTGTATATGTACAATGGCTAGTATTGATTTTTTCAAAATGTTAGTCCTTTCAGCATAAGATTCGTAAACATAGAGACTTCATAAACCAAATATAATAGTAACTTACTGATGACAGCATTGTCCATTTTTCATAGAATTTTTGCCCTAGTTAAAGTGAAATAATACATTGTTTAGACTTTTTATTATTGACAATCCTTATTGCATATTTCAATCTTTTGTTATTTATTGAGGTATTACCATATTTCCTTCTATTTCTGTAAAAAATCTACCTATGTGCTCCATGGATTGAGGTCTGTTTATGCGTCTATCACCCCACAACCCATAGTGAAATAAAATTTAGTGCCTCTTCCAACTTCCAGTAATGACGGAGCTCCTGTTTGAGTGTTATGACGTACCCAGTATAACATATGGAGTGGATACACTGTTTGCCTACCATTATTGTCAAAGTAATCCAAAGAGTGATGCTCTCATATTAAGCCTGGGTTACCAGACATGCCACATTGTACCCATGTTAGACAACAAAGTTGTATTTGAGAACATCCGAAGGATAAACACAGGAGGTTGGAATGTTGTCACATTCTTACATCGTATCCTGCAACTGAAATATCCAGCACATGCTACAGCAATTACTTTGAGTCGTGCTGAGGAGCTGCTGCACACCATTTGTGAAGTGGCCGAGGATTATAGGGAAGAGTTGAAGAAGTGGTTCAAAACAGAGTATTATGAGAATAATATAAGGAAGATACAGCTGCCATTTTCATCAATTTCTACAAATTCAGCACTAACGTGTAAGTTGTAGTATGTGTGCAGATTTATGGCATGTTTGGGCTCCTTGGCGGCCTCATCTTCTGGTCCTCTGGATTTTATTGTATTGGCTACAAATAGTAAATATATTGAACTAAACAAAAAACCCACTATTTCTTATAAAGGGTAATTTGTAACCTAAATTATACTGCTGTAACACTTGAAATCAACTAGTTGTTTTATAAACACCTGTTTTTGAAGCTTAATATTTAGTTTGTTGGCATTTCTAGTGGAACAACAGAAAGAGAGAAAACGAGAACTGGCTAGACGACTTACGGAGATAAATGCCAGAAAACGAGAAGAGCGTCTAGCAGAAGATCAAGAGAAACTTCGACAGTTACTTGAAATTCAAGAAATTATCGATTTTGGGGCAGAAAAACAAGAAATAGAAAACTTGTTAGCGGAAGTACAAATGAAAAATTTGCAAGAGTTACAGAAAACTGTTACCAACCTGAATATGAGGATAGAAAGGACCAGGCAAAAAATAATCGCAGCGAGTTCAGCTGAAGATACTGAAGAACCACCCGTTAAGCAAACAAAATTATCAAAGATGGTTTTTGAAAGTGACACTGCAATGCATTCATTCATAGATAATGTCAAGAAAATGGTGAGTAGATAAAATATTGTGACAATGTTTAAGCATAATCAGTCAATAAAAAGTCACTAGGTAATTATCAGATCAGGCGGAAGTTACTATGGGGAAACTATTATTTTTCAAATTAGAGATACAAATATGTTCTTTTATATTTTGTTCTTTAATATTCCCTCTAAGGGGTGAAGCGGGAGTTAACATTCTTGAAACTGATGAACCTAGAATATTTCAAATTATGTCAGGCAAAGAGCATTAAGGGTTAAAGGGGGGATAGAGGCATTTACGTTAGTACGAAAGTCCTCAGTTTTATTACTAGAGACATATAATTTGGTAGTTAGGTCGTTTATAGACAGTAATGTCAGTTGAGAATAGGTTTTGCGACATGGCCGTATTAAGAGGGTTAAAGCGTACTTGCGAGTTAATTTGAAATTCCTTGGTATTCCCTGCTGGATACCTAAAATTGGCAGTGGTGAGGTTCTTTAGAGTAGACTAACTAAAATTTTGATTTAACAAATCTAGGCGTACGAAGTCGCAGGTAACAGCTAGTTTTCAATAACTTAGAAACAGTAGAAGATTCAGATATACTCGTAAGTTTAGAAGGTAACACAACAAACAGTTATTTTTTCTCGTGGCAAGTAAACTACATATAGACTTTTTTCAGCGCCAAGAGATCTTGACAAAGAAGATGCTTCGGAAGCAAAGAAAGCAGGATATATTCAAAAGACGTACTGCTGCTGGACAAGAACGCATGCGTATCATTTCCCAGCTGGCTAGAAAAGAAAAAGGGAACGACGACTTTGGCCTTAGAGACGAAGACTGGGACATTTACAAAACAATAAGCAAAGATGGCGGAGACTCTGACAGCGAAGCTGAAAATGAAAAACTGATGGAGTTCGAAGAGATTCTGAGAAACCATGAACCAGAAGAGTTTGATAGTTCAGCCAATCCTGGCGAAACTCACCAATTGCATGTTGGGATTGAACGATTTAGAGCTGCTGAATTAATTTTCAAGCCTTACATGGCAGGATCATCAGAGGCAGGATTATCGGAAGTTATAGGATATGTTCTGACACTATTTAGTCCAGATGAGCAGTTACGGCTTGCGAAGAATGTGATTATCACTGGAGGTCTGGCGAACTTGAAAGGTTTAAAAGAGCGGATTTTGAAAGATCTCATCTCAATAAGACCATTTCAGTCGGAAGTGTCTGTAAGCGTCATGAAGGACTGTTCTCTATCTCCTTGGTATGGGATGAAGCAATTTGCGAGGTCTGAAGAATACAAAAAGTACATTGTCACGAAAAAAATGTACGAGGAGTATGGCGGTGAATACTTCAAGACGCATTTGGCGTCAAATCCTTATTTCGTGTCACCCAAAGAGACTATGGTCGATGTTGATACATAACTCGATTTCATAGCAATACTTAGACTGATATTGCTGCTTGCAGCTACATGGTTACAATTAATGTCTGCCTGGTCGTATGTAATACCAGATATATATATATATATATATATATATATATATATATAGATCACTATTATATATAAGCGGTCTAATGTATACGGAGCATCTATGTTGAGATACTTATCTCAGGCCAGGAATTGTTGAACATCAAACATCATCTGTCTCAATGTATAAGACAAAATATCATAAGGGAGAAGTGCTGGAGAGCTTTTATCGTCTTTTATTGCTCTCAAATTCTGTTGCCCGCTTGGCAAACTCAGATTGTATATTTTCAAGATATGCATTAAATACATAACTATAATAAAGCCTTCAGTATTGTTTGCATCACTAGCTTGACCTAACCCATAAAGCCCTAAAGAGAATAAGGTATTTTAGCAGGATTTTAGGACACTATATATTTTGAAATAGTGTGGATATATCCCGGAATTGAAGGATAATCCTACAACTGTAGAAAGGTCACGTCATGGCCCACCAGATGGTAAAATGTTGTTTTATTGCAAGATTTATAGTTTTCGAAGTTTTTAGCAATCTTTTTTTTCTGAAGAAAACGCTTATATTCAGTTAAATCCCGTGCAGTTGCTACAGATATCAACTTTTTTGGACCAGGTTTGTTTTAAAACGCTCAAAACTAAGCTTTCTATTTCTTCCAGTATTATTTTTCCTTGAGGTGGCGACAAACCTCACAAAAGGCATGTCAAAAGTTGATTTTTTATAAAAACCCCTTTTCATTTACCTGTAGAGTGAGGCGATCAAGTACGATCACTGTGCCAATTTTTCGAAAAGTTTGGCCAACTATTCGCTGCCTTAGTATTACAAGGGTGTATGTTATAAAATTGAACAAAATTACATATTAGTTTCACAAGGTTCTATATGTGAAAAGCTACACGTAGGAGCTTGTAAAACTGAAAAGTATAAAATAATATCGCCACAACTTACAAAAAATTAAAGGTGTATGTTATTAAAATACCAGAATTGAGACACATGGTTCTATGTTGGACATAGAACTCAATATCCCAAAATATTTCAGTTAACTTATCTACATTTAATATTACATAGTACCATGTTCAATTCAGAAACTTTTTACATTAGTGTCACACAGTCCTATGTTGTATCATACACTCTTGTGATACAAATTTTACGTCAGGTTTATAGGTTGTGTTACTGGAATTTGGCAGGACTCGTGGCGTTTTGTGCGATTAGCGGTTTTTATTATTTTATCAAAACAAGAGAAGGAAAATGTGCGAGAATAATGACAATAGTGATTTCTAGGATGGAGATGACTCTGATAAAGATGTCGATTACATTCCCGAAAAAAGAACGACAAAAAAACGAGGTAACATAATATACAGGGTGACTTCGAAGTTGAGTCATGTATTTTAATAGTGAATAGATCTGATCAAAAGGAATGTTTTTTTCCTATAAATTTTTTCTGGTAAAATTAAAGTAACAAAGTTATAGCCCTTTAGAAGTTTGAGTACCTTTGAGTAATATTATGTGCTCGTGTTTGGCAATAAGCCCAGCTCTGCGTCGAGCAAAACGGAAATCATTTCGAACAGTTTTTGTGACATGCTTTTGGGCGCACAGGTCTGAAATACTTGTCGGGAAGATACTTTATAAAACAAGGTAACATTTTATTTTTTCACACAGGACCGCTTATTGAAATACCTTACCTGATGAGTCTAAGAATAATGTAGATACTGCCGGACTTGAAAAACAAGTAAGTAGCCATAGACTTAGAACACATGGTTGATTATAGTCAAAAAAATATATACTATAGTCAAAGAAAAACATTGTCTTCATATCTTGGCCGAGATTACGATGCCCTGACGAGTTCCAGCAAATAGACTCCGTGAAGTTTTGCGAGATTCAGTTAACCTATTTCTGTATGCTTTGTGGAACTTTAAAAAATATTTAAAAGCATGTTTATTTTGGTAGGGTCATCGTTCATGAGGAATGTCATCAGCCATCAGCCTAGACTCAACTCCTCAAATCCGATTGTAAACCAACCACATAGTACTGTAGACAATGCAAACCAAACGAATTCAGATGATAGTAATGGGAACAGGAAAGATGGAGAACAACAGATTGGAGAAATCATGGAAGAAGATGGCAGTGGAGTGAGAGAAAGAAAAGTTACAAGAAAAAGGTGTGGGCGTGCAAATTCGGAAAGACCACGATGCTAGGGGGTTAGAATGTATGTCATCAAGAAAAAAATGAGTCCAGCTAGAAAGATCACTACTAAAAAAGATTGCGTTGCAAAATGTATCTATGATTGCGCCAAAAAGATTAGCGAGGAAGACCGAAAACTGATATTTTCTAACTACTATAAACTTGACGCAAGAGAAAAAAGAATGTTTATATTGAGCACCACAAAGAAGAAGAAGGTGGAAAAATGCCGAAAATTCGAGAAAAGCTAATAGTTACAGATTCTTCTTTATTTTAAATAATAACAGATTCCAAGCATGTAAACAATTTTATTGTGGGACACTAGAAATTAGTCAAAAGCCGATTTACACTGTTTATAAACATAGAACAGAAGCAAACACACTTCAAAGAAGTTTACAAGGGAAGAATAGGAAAAGGTATACCTCAGATAAAGCAGAAGGTCTCGTCAGACAACATATCAATAGATTTCCTATTATGGAAAGCCATTACTGCCGGTCTGATACTAAAAGAAGGTACTTATCATTCCAAAAAATGTATAGACTATACGAAGATTTCGTGAAAGAAAAACGATCCAATCCAGTAAAGATAAACGCATATCGCAAAATATTTCGTACAGAATTTAATAAAAAAAATAGAATACGAAGAGCCCGTTAAAAAAAACTGGATGAGAAAAGAGAAGAAAAAGGACATGGAAGCTGGTAAACCAGTATTGTTTCGATTTAGAAAACGTACTAACTTGTCCTAAAGGGGAAGTAAAAAATATCTTTTATAAAAGAAAACTGAACGTGTACAACGTGACAGCGCATTTATCTATGAACAAAAAGGTTTACTGTGCAATATGGACGCACTGCAAATGATATTGCCAGTGCTATGTACAAGATTTTAAAAAGAGTTGTAGAGCCTACATCTAAAGAAAGTCCAGATGAAGTTTTCTATACCTGGCCACTCTTGCATCCAAGAGGTTGATTCGGTTCATAGCGCTGTTGAGCGCAGCTTAAGGAAGTCCGAGTACTTTTCTCCACTTTATTTATGCTGTTTCTTTAGAACTTACTAATAACTTCCATGAAATAAAATATCGAACTTCTTTTGGAGACACTGAACTCATAATTATAAGTCTACAGCAGCGAAATATGAGAAGACATGTAACTGCAGAAACGGAAGAAGTTCCTATAACAATGACGTCAAGGTTAACCTTGCTCAAAACAAGGTTGATACACTCAAATCAATGTATAAGTGGATTTCAGAAGTTGATAGACAGTTTTGCCAGCACGAATGAGTAATTATTTTGTCAATTTTTAAATGGTATTGCTATTCGACCTCTGCTGGTTTTATCGTTTTATTGCAGTTATAATTTAAGAGGGTCAGTTTTCGTAGATAACAGAAAATGACAATGTCTGGCTTGGATACAAAAAAAAAATGGTTAGGATTGACGTTAAATGATGACTTGCGTTTTAACATAAAGCACTCTTTATAAAAAAATAACCGCTAGAATGCTCGAAGATGCATCTAGTTTGGAACTCAAATACTGTGGTCAGCACAGCTTGGTATACACATTCTCTAAAGCAACCCTAATAAAAAAATTTAGTGGGTTTAGGTCCAAGGTGGTAGACAAGGACCAGTCGACAGAGGCGGCACCACCCGCTAGCTTGTCCGCATGTTTCCACAACTAAACTATGCAGTCCGTCATCTTCCAAAACAAAGAAATTAATGATAATGGATACCTCGAGTACGAAGAATTCCGGACGTACACTCACTCCACTCTCGGAATGTCCGGGTGGAGGGTGGACTCGAGGGAACAACATCGAAGATAAAATTTGTTTCACGAACATCTGATCAACAGCAACATTGATGCTGTTCATCACTACTTGCAATACAATCGTCCCGCCATGCTTTTCTTCGCGGAGACAAAAATCTCAGAGTCTGCACCGATTAATCATCTTAGCTTCAAAATTACGAGGTGCACTCCAATCTGAGAAAAAACGGGGGAGTTGTGGTTTTTGTCCGCAGCAGTCTTTCCTGCTCCAAATATGGTTCTTTGGAATCAGACCGGAAGGACATTCTAAGGCTTCGCCTCAACTTCAAAACAACTTCCAAATTTATTTGCTGCCTTTATCGCTCTCCCTCGGACCATAACTGGGATGACCTACTTGAATATCTCGCCGTCAAGATCGACTTCGGGAACATCAATCACTCCGCTTCAGAGGTAGTTCTCCTCGGTGATTTTAATGCCCATAATGAGCTTTGGTTGGGCTCAAACAAGTCTGATGCAGCAGGTGGTGCAGTTGAAGCGTTCGATCTTACTCAAGGGCTGACCCAGCTGGTCACGAGTCCTGCTTTTTTCCCCGTGGCTCGTCACATGCCAGTAGCCTACTGGATCTCTTTCTGACCCCGTATTCCGTCTCTTACAGCATTGCTGTCCTGTTCCCCGTGAGGGGACTAAGACCATGGTGTTGTGGAGGTTAGGTTTTGCTCAGAACGCGCTGTGGCAGCAGAAATTCGCACAGCCCGCAAATAGACATGCCGGCTGGGAGAGGCTCAGAGACTTCTGTACCTTTTTTAACTGACGCGGATGCGTCGGCTATCTGTTCTTCGTTAAACCGAAATTATCCACGTCGGAATGAATGAATACATCCCTCACACAGTAGAAGTGTCTAAACAAGGGTCTAACGGCTGGTTTAACAAATCGTGAGACACTGTTCGCCATCAGAATATCAAGGCACATAGAACCATAAAACCTCACTGTAGAGAACGGACAAGCCCACGTCAAGTCCAGAAACAAATATAACAAAGCGGTCCGCAATGAGAAAAACCAGCACGATATAAAAGTTAGGCACAGGGTAACGTCGCAGAGCAATGGCAGTCGGATCCTTCTGAATGCTGGCCAAGCAGATTGAAAAAAACTTCTTACACAGTAGCCTTCCACCACTTACGTGTCAGGATGGAACGATTGTATCCGACTCAAAAGCCAAGGCGGAAGTGCTTGCCAAGATCTTTGCTGCCAACTGCACCATGGACGTCCCCCCTAACGCCCAAGTGCCTTCAATTCAAAGGGTTCCCTATACTATGCGGGAAATACCATGCAGGCATAAGACCGTAAGACGAGTGCTCTTGTCGCTCGACTTCAACAAAGCTTTTGGTCCAGCCTTTATTCCTGTCATTGTACTGAAGAGGTGTGCAGCGGAACTTGCTCTAGTTCTTTCGCGTCTCTTCCAGATGTCTAATGAATCCTTTCCAGAAAACTAGAAATTTGCTCATGTCCAACCCATGTCGAAAAAAGGACCCTAACAACTACAGGCGTATGGCTCTACTTTCCGTTATAAGTAAAGTGATGGAGAGGTGCATAAATCGCGAGCTTGATTAGCGACAGGCAGTATCGTTTCCGGCACCAGCGATCCAAAGGGGACCTCCTAGCTTACGTCATGCAATTGTGGAGTAAACTCATCCAGTCTTATGGTGAGGCTCATGTCATTGCTCTTGACATCACGAAAGCGATCGATCAGCTGTGGCACGCTGCCCTCTTAAGCAAACTTCCATACTATGGCCTTCCAGAAAAGCTTTGCAGATGGGTGGCTGACTTTATCTCTGGTCGCAAGATATCCGTCGTAATTGACGGGTTCTCCTCTTCATCCCACAACGTTAACGCAGGTGTTCCCCAGGGAGCGGTCTTGGCTCCGACACTGTTTCTCTTACATATCAACGACCTCCTTTCCTGTACGATCAACCCAATCCACAGCTTCGCTGATGATGCAGGAATTCAGAGTAGCAAGCCGATCTCTGCCGCTGAGCTGGAAAGAAGAAGACTAGCGACGACTTCCTCTCTGACAAGAGTCCTGGAGGCTATCACTGCTTGGGAACTGCAACAATCTTGTACAGTTCAATGCTTCCAAAACACAGTACTGTACTTTGACGAACAAAAAGCGTCCTAGCGCTCATCCGGTTTCGATGGATGGCAAAATTCTGCCAAAGAGCCATTCCTTTCGGCTGGTCGGAGTCCAGATCACCGTGGACCTGATCTGGCACGAACACATCTCGTCAATAGCAGCAGCTGCTGGGAAAAAGATAGGCTATTTGTTTAGGGCTAAGAAGTACTTTTCTCCGCATGACCTTCTCACTCTATACAAGGCCCAGATAAGGCCTAGCCTCGAGTACTGCTCACACGTTTGGGGTGCTGCCGCCCGACTACATTGTCCTTGCTCGATACTGTCCAGAGGAGGGCGGTCCGACTGATCGATGACTCTTCCCTAACAGATAGTCTCGGGACCCTTTCGCACCGCAGGGCCGTCGGCGATCTAGCACTTTTTTACCGCTGCACCAACGGGCTTTGCTCCTCAGAGCTCTCTTCCATGATGCCGCCGCGCAATGTGCCTGCCAGGCCGACCGGCCTGACTTTGGCGTCCCATCCTAACCGTGTCGAACTTCGTACATCCAGAACTGGCCGATGCGACCGCTCCTTTGTCCCGAGGGTGTCGAGATTGTGGAACAATCTACAAGAGGAAGGTTTTCCCAGTTCTACTAACCTTAGTCAGGTCAAAAATCGTATTAACAAAATTTCTCTGGGATCATCATAGCAGCCGCGGTGTTCCGGCATTTAGGCTTCTGCCTGCGCGGCTGCTTCGATATAAAAAAAATAGGCACAACATAGAAAATCATTATAAGTGGTTCAAAATCAGATCAGTTTCTGTTTAATTGCATCACCAGGATGAAATCGATGAAAAGCGCTAACTATACTCAGAAACCATAACGGCACGGCTATTATGTAACAAACCTAAAAAACGTCAAAAAACCGACGAAATGTAATCTTGCAGACTAGGTAGTTTTTAGTGTGCAAATAGTTCATTCCACTTATGCTTGCTATGATCGCTGATGTTTAAGCAACACATACAACTACAAAACGAGTTCACAACAGTGTGTACAACAGCTTTTTCTAAGTTTGAGTCTTGTAGAAGAAGCTACGTTATATCACAAAAAACCTACGTTATGTCCAAAAAACCGACGAAATGTCGCTTTTCAAGATACGTTATACCTTTGCGAAAGAGAGAAGCATAACCTATCGTACGCTATTGCATTAACAGTTGCGTATGATGTGCTTTTATATATGTATTTGAAGTATAACGAAACAATAAAACGGTTTTTTTGCTGCCCTCCGCAATTATGTGAATAAAAAACGACATCAACTGTCTTGTTTTCTGACTGAGCTTTTATATTAATCATCTCTAAATACTTGAAAATACACGTGGCAATTTCGTTAGCTCCTCTTAGTGCTAGGCCTTCATGCCAAAGATAACACTCGACATCCTTAGTGTGTATATCAAATATTGTAAAATTGTATCAATTTAATTTTGAGACATAGTAAAAATTACTAGTATTGCCTTTCGGACATGGAAGAGTGGCTTGTAGATCATAGACAGCTACAACTTCATCTGATTTTTTATCCTTTTCTTTATCTTGCCTTGCGAATTCCTTTTCCCTATGATGTTGGTTGTACTCTTTAGCATGCAGTGCTTTTTCATCATCATTCATATGTTGAAAGCTGATGCAGTAGTCGCATTGGTCTTTTTTAGGGACAAAAAAAGAGTAATTGAATTCTTGATTGAATATTTTTGCATAGAGGTGATAATTTCCCCTTTCCAAACCTTTTTCTCTGCAGTCATTTTGATAGTCTCGATACAAGTCTGCAATATTTTTCCTTCTTCTATAAATTGCGTGCTCGTATTATCATTGGTCCACAGTATTATGATAAATAAAATGCCTCTTTATTTGAAGAACAAGCTTACCATGAGATGTGATCATCACTCAGCGAACCTGCGTTTTGTAGGATATACTCTTGACTTGCCTCGGCACCGAACAACCCAATTCAGAAAGAGTTTTTCATATGTGGCGCCCGATTTCTACAATAAAGTACCTCAAGCTTTGAAAACTTTATCTGTGTCCAGCTTTAAAAGAAAAGTTAGGCTCTTTGTCTTTGATGACATGTAGCATGTATTTTTTTTTGATTTCATCTAGCATGTATTTTTATGTAATTTTATTTTTATATTTGTTTATTTGTGCATGTTTTCTCACTCGTCACTTTTCATTTGTTTGTGTTTCGCTTACACATTTGTTACTGTTTACTTTTAATTTTTATATCTTCCGCCATATACCAAATATTTTCTTTTTTTAAAGTTACTTCTAATCACGGTTTTTGATTCTGCTACGTACTCTGTTGCTGCACGTTTCTCTTTTGGTCTTTTGGTCATTATACCATGCTACGATTCTGTGAAAAAAAAAATTTTTCTGCTTTAAATGTTATCTTCAATGTATTTTTGTTGTATTTGCATGTACTTGAATTTTTTTTTTTTTTAGCCCTGGTTGGTTCTGAAAAACAGCTTGTGCTGATGTAACCCACCAGGTAAAATAAAGGCCATTTATTATTATTATTATTATTTGATCTTGTATAATGACTTACAATTTTTGGAATCCTCTTTCCGGATGCCTTCTTTAATAGATTCATGTATTCGGAAATGATTGGTATGTTTATCTCGCAAATCCGGCTCTATTATACCTCTTAAAGTTTTGCTTTTCTTAAAAGAAACGGTTCATATTGGTCGATCATTAATAGATAAAGTCGCTTTAAAAAATACTTTGCAAACCCTTACTTTTTGTTCTTTGATGACAAAATAGAATGCATTATTTTGACTATGATGCGAGTCTTCCATCTTATACTTGTATTTGGGATTAACTAAGGACATGAAATTGGATAAGTAATCCCTTTGCATTTGTAAATCACCAAGATTAAAATATTCTTCAAATACATTTCGCCGTTCTTCATGCGAAATTTTTTTGCTACATTTTAATCTGCATTTATCACCACAGCCTGGCTGAATTCTCTTTTCTGCTACTACTTTCTGTGATTTTGAAACGGAAGTATATTACTTACCGGAATTTCTCGATTTCTTTGCAGAATTTTTACGCCAATTTTCAGGTTTTCTTGATCTTTTTCTTCCAATTTTGTGAGAGTCATTAAAATTAACTACCCTTCAATGCTTCTTTTCCTTGCTCTTGTTACTTAATATCATTTTCAACAGATGATGAACTGTTAGTTTCACTGCCGCTGAAAGAGGTAGACGAAAAGTAATCAGGATCAGCTGTAGAGTCGTCAGAGTCAAATGGCTTCGAAAAATTTTCACTCTCATCATCACAGGTCGTTTTAATTTGTATATATTCTTGTTGGATAGGAGCACCTAAACTGTCAGGACCTACTTCATAGTACCCATCAAAAACATTTTGCGGCAGGTCGGATATTTTGGCATCACTTTTTTGTGACGTGTCATGTTGTATTTTTGACTGCGTATCAACTATTAGGCTGCAACTGGATTGATTGGCTATTTTATGTTTTGCACCTGCTTTATGGATCAATCTGTTTAAGTTATCCAAATGGATTGGCTCATCTTTGAAGCTTTGTAGTTGTCTATATTCGTTTTCTGCTGTAATAGTCTGATCTAATAGATCAACTTGCAGAATCGATGTTGTGGAACGAATTACTTGTTTCAACTTGCTTGTTGGCTTGACCGACTAAGACCTCAGGGTTTTCCGCAGATGCTTGCGAAACTTCGGAGTTGCTTTGTTCTGGATTACTGCCCACTATAATTGCTGACTTCTGTGGCCTCTTTTGATCAATCCTTGCTTGCTACATGATCCACACCGTTCGATTTCGGTTAGACATCTCTGAAAAGGAAAAAATATAAAGTGCTCTTTGATGGTATTTTGATTCAAATTAGATGTCAGGGATGATGTAGCAGTGAAAACTGGAAAAAATGAAAAGCACTTGTACTTTTATGAAGGTAATTATATTTTTTGTATGTAACAAGTAGGTAAACGTGATTGTATGAGCGCTATATTTCACGATATTGAGTGAATTTTATAAAACTAAATTTTAATGAATATATCTATAGGAGAAAAGTGTCACAACTTCATATAATACCATCTCTTAACATATGTTTAGTAGAATATTGACTCTTTCCAGAATAATACACAGAAACTGATATATAGTTCATATCGTTTCCAAAGAAAAGCGTCATATCTCAAAATATTGCTGCACAGGACCAAGTTATATAGTGGAAAACCGTCACATATTAAAATGTGACGGTATTGACTCAAAGTAATAATCATCCAATAACTTACCTTGCTTCAAGAAAAGGACACAAAAAGAAATAATACAGCTTTCCTGTGGACTGTGTTTGAAACTTCCTGTTACTAAGTCGAAATAAGACGTTTTTCGTCCAATTTGCACATGCTTCGCCTTCGAGAGCTATACCTAAACTGAAAAGTGACACTTTGGTTTCGAAGCCTCATCAACGTTTAGTCAGGGGAAAGGTGACACTCGACGCCATCTAGCGTATAATAGTAGAAGCTCGGATGAGACCTTTTTCCAGTAAAAAATATAGTTTATTCAGCATTTGTTTTTGTGAAAAAGCGTATTTTAATATTTTTTGAGTTGTGACGGTTTTCCTCCGGATGAGCGATGTATTGGGCCGTGTTAGCCCATGATGTTGAAACTCCATCCACGGTAATCTCTGACGAGGCACCATGCCGCTTTTTTGTAAAATAGATAGCGTGAGTCTTTGAAAAATTAATTATGGTTAGCCACCGATTCGCCCACTTTAAAACCTCGTCCACCGCTTCCTGCATCCTGTCATGGTCTATGTGTCACTATAATATGACTGAATCTTAATATCGATCCTTGCGGACCTCCGGCCTGAATACGCCGTGTTGTACAAAATACATTGTCAATTTTGATTCTGAAATATTTGAGTAGCTTTAATAGACAAAGGAATAAGTTCATAAAGGAGGCCTGCGTGCTACACCTTGTCAAAAGCTTTCGCAACATCCAAAAAAAAATCCGGTGCTTTTGTCATGGGTGAATCCGCTGGTTATACCTCCACCAGCCTGACTGCATGTAGCTCCGTACTATGCTCGGACCGAAAATCGAATTGCATGTCAGGAATCACTTGGAGAACTGACGAAAAATTCGCAAGATGACCATAAATCAACTTTTCGACGAGCTTAGAAGGAGCGATATTTCACGAGATGTTAGTACACCGAATATAAATATCAAACAACTAACTGATAATTATCGGCAAACCTATATCCTAGTAATGCATCTTCCCCTGTAACTTCTGTGGTATGTCCAAGTTTCCTAGTATCAATGCACGTTTTGTTTTTGTCGAAATCATTTGTCCAAAAGTGATGCGGTTCAGGTTTCAGCGCTTAGCTTACTAAGGGAAATAAAACAGACTTTTTTAGGATAATCAACAAATAATTTAATGATTGCAGGCGCACGTCACGAGAAATGATTTAGGGAATATACAATATTTTAAGTAACACCAAATCACAGCAGTATACCCCAGTAATCTTTGTTGTACCATGTTCCTGGAATGTAATTTCTTTTTCAATTTCTTGTTTTCAAAATCTATTCACACATATTCAAACATCAGTGTTGCATTTTGAATGCTTCAAATGTATAAAAAAATATTTAACAAAAATGGTGATGTATCCTTTCAACTTAAATATCATTTTTAGAGCCTCAGTATAAAAAAATGTTAAAAATGACATAGGGTTAATCTTTCTCTAAGCATAACAGATATCCCTTTGTGGTCAGCACTCCTCTGCATTTTAAATGCGTCAGAAACCTTAGTACCCATTTCACATTAAATGAGCCATCAAATAATTCCTGAATATTTTCTTTTGGTAGTACATCTGGAATAAAAATAGAAAAAGTGTAGTCATAATACTCGAGCAACAATTAAGTCTTGATTAACAGATATACAGGGTGTCCCGAGGACATATAAGTACAAGAGTATTTTTAGACTCAAATAGTCCATTGGACATGATTTACCTTTATGCAAAAGTGCTTTGTTTGTCCGTTGGAGGGCGTCAAATTTTTCCTTTTAAAACACATTTTTTCAGATATTTTAAAGAACCTATAGTCCAATTTGAATGAAAGTCGGAACACAAATGTTTTACTAGACGTTCAAATATTTTACTTTTACCCATAGATAAGTTATAGCAAAATTGTTTGACAACTTTCCCAAACTCTGAATTTTCTTATTTAGCAGATGTATTTATTTACTTCATTTTTTGTACCCTACAACAACAGAGGGTTTCCGAGAAAAAAAAGGGAGTTGCATCAAGAGGCTCTCAAGCGCCTTATTAATTATTACTTAAGTGTAGTTAGTGAAAATAAACAAGTATGATATCACTTATTACAAAATTACTTAATACGTGCAATAGTGCGAATCTTTCATAAAAGATGTTTAATATGACCACCATTTTCGTTTCTGCACATAACAATACGGCACAAAAAATATAGTTAACTTTCTCCAAGATGTTGTCATTATTTTTTAATGTGTTTACAGCATATTGAATTCAGTCCCACAGTTGATCGGCGTTGTCTATCTGAACCTCGTATACCTTTGTTTTTACTGCTCCCCATATAAAAAATCGGAGAAAGGATTAAGATCCAGGGAACGAGGTGGTCTTTATCAAGCTTGTCAAAAATAATCTGACACTGACCAAACATCCCACATTTCCCCCGACTAGATGCATACTAGATTTTAATACTTGACGTAATAAGATTTTTTTAGAAACCAGCTATCATGTTTTTATAAGAGACTAAAAAACCGGGTCGTTGGGACAGTTGAGAAAAAATTCTGCTATAATTTATGTAGAACCGTTTCGGGTTTTTCAAGTCAAATATTAGGACGTCTTTCAAAACACATGTATTCCAAATTTCATTCAAATTGTACCATCGGTTTCAAAAATATCTGAAAAAAATGTGTTTTAAACAGCAAACTTTGACGCCTTCTAATGGACAAACGAAATACTTTTGCATAGAGATAAATCATGTCCAATCGACTTATTTTAAGTCTAAAAATACGTGGTATTTCTATGTCCACGGAATATTGGGATGGACGTCATTTATTAGGACTAATGGCGCACTGGGGGGTGGTAGGCTTAATAAACGACAAGAGGTAAACTAGATGCAGATATATGTAATATATAAACGTTCACAGCAATTATCTGACCGAGTCAGTCTACTCGCTTTTTAAAAAGATTTATTCTCGATTATCAAAAATACAATTTTATTGATGTATGTAGTATGAGCGCTAACAACAGACTGACTAACTCTGAATACAATAATATAAGACTGGATGAGGCAAAGCGCTGATCCAGGGAAACTCGATCCTCTTCTTTAGTGGTAGGGGTAAATCTTCTGTACTATAACGCCTCCCCTTGTAGATGCAACTTCGAGGGTTAACGAGGAAGTTGCACATTGGAAAGATCAACTTCTTCAATAGGGGTTCTTTGTGGTTTCTTCGGCTTAGTAAAAATCTTCGGAATGATCTTCTTGTAGACAAAACAGCAAAGTAGCAGCAGCAGTACTCCATACAACAGGATTGTCCAAGAACTGGGAATGTGCGACACCTTATGTGAATGGATGTCAACACGATTTTCTATTAATCTTCTTTTTACTTTGTGAACTTCATCAAATTCTATTTGGTCTAGATGAAGGCTGAAGTCACTCGGCTTGGTAGCAATTGAAGTATTGCTATCTATGTTTGGAAAAATAATAGGCTGACTTCCAATCGATATAGGCTCTTGATTGGCGATCAGGTCTTGATTTAGTTCCAGTGTACAACCGACTGGAATTTCGGCTAAGTAGGATCCCAAAACTTTGACTGTTTCTTGGCTTTCTTCACAGCTTAATGTAATGGTGGTTTCATTGGGTATAAGCAAGATCCATTGTCCGAAATCATGCAGTTTCTTCATTACTGGCTCTGTGATTACGGCTTTTACTACTCGACAGGTAGTGGGAGTTTTTTGTACCAGGAGTTGAACTTCACAGGGATTGGATTCTTTGATTCTTCTCAAATCTAGTTCTTTGCAAACGTACTGTTTTGCGACCGTTTCCGTGCATGCGTCTCCCGCAAAAGCGAAGTACAACTCATTCTTTACAAGATATTTTCCAGAAGGGATGACTACTTTGAACAGACCCTTATGAAAGGTTGGAATTGAATATAAGTGATAATAATCAAATTGGAATGTATGAACAATTGGAATTTGAAGAATGTATGTTATTTTTCTATCAACTGTATAACAGCTGATTTTAATGAGCTTTTCAAAAATCGTGATATTATCCAAAGTAACTTCTAAAGGGAGTTGCTTTGTGGATAGTTTTAATGCCACTGAATTTAGTGCTTGAAGTAAATGTTTTGGTTTGATTACACTGGGGTGCATAATTCCCAATTTTGCAAAAGTAAGTGAGTTTTCTATATCCTGGAGCACTGAAATTATGATATGATAGATATTCATGATCTCTGAGATTGTATCTCTCAAGAAAATGCCATTTTCTATGTAGGCTTGTGTGTTAATCATGGCTGTTGAAAGCTGATTTATTTTAGCTTCCAATAGCTTTTGGTTATGAGTAATCTGACTTACAGTTTTATTGAAATTATCGATAAGTTCGACAGATAAGGTACTCTGACTATTGATAGCTTCTGATAACTTGTTTTGATCATTCTGCAAATCGCTTATTAGAGACTCGAATTTTTCACCATCTGAAGCATCCAGGTTTCCTGTGATTGCTTTGAAAATTGAACCTAAGCCGTTTATTAATCCCCTTTTCATTCTAACAGAAAATGATGGAACAGTTTCGTAAGTAGAGGGAAAAATGTCATTTAGCTTCCCGTCTACTTTTCTTTCTAAGAAATACAAAACATTGAGGTAATTTGCTGAGTGTTTATAGTGCTCAATATATTTCTTGGATAATGTCGCAACATTTTCAGTTTTTTTCTTAAGGTCATTAACTTCAGTGATTATTAAATTGACGTCGTAAAAATACAGTATTGAGTGACAATTTTTTGTAATTTTGGCGGTCCCTAATTTCATGGGTATCAACCCTAGGTTATTTTCTAAATTCTTCAACGTTATCGTACCATGGATTCCTATGATTCCTGGGAACCTGTAAAATAATATATTCGAAAGAAAATCTTATTTTTAGCGTGCAATTAAGAGTAAAGTAAACGTAGATTACATACATAGTTTCTTATCTAATTGCTCGAGGCTTAGTCAAACGAATAAAGTTTGCGTAGCGGACGTTTCAATTTACTTATATGCACTTTTCTGTGCTGGTCCGTCGCGACGGTCTTTTTCTCCGTATTAACACTTTGTAGTCTACACGGCTTTGAGAATTTGTTGGCGTGCTTTTTTCTAACATGCTTTTTGACGTATACTGTTTCTCGGTTATCAAGTATAGTCGGACTATCGCAATCTCTGTTAACGCGTTCTAGCGTTTTCTCTTTGTTTTGAATGAGATCAGAATTTATTTTTGAATACAATAGTTTTGTACGCTCTTTGTGGTTGTTGGTATAGTCATTGAGGAGTAATTGGTCGATTTTGATATCGAATGGTTCATTCGACGTAATATGTCCGTTGATTATATCTATAGGCTTTAATTTTGTTACAGAATGTAAGGTGTGGTTGTAGGCTAAAACGGCATACAACATTTTCATTTTTATAGGGGTTTTCTGAAAGCCTTCTGTGTTCAACAATCTTAAATGTTCGGTGATAGTTGAATGAAATCGTTCAACGAATCCATTAGAATCTGGATGATTTGGCGAAATAAAATGAAGCTTAATTTTGTGAAGTGACAAAAGTTCAGTTACAACGGTATTTTTGAATTCAGTGCCATTATCTGCGATAATTCGGGTAGGAATTCCATGATGAGAAAAGAATAATATCAGATTATCAGCAATTTCAGTTCCTGAAAGCGAAGTAATCTGATATGCTTGAGCATATTTAGAAAAACTGTCTATAATTGTGAGAAATTTTGAACCTTCAAAAGTGAAAGTATCGATATGTACGATTTCAAAAGGTTTTGATGCAGTGGGGGTGAGATTCATCGCAATTTTTATCGGATGACGCTCATATTTACATTGTTGACAAATTTCACATTCATTTATAAATGTTTGGATTGATTTTTTCAAGTTAGGCCAAAAATATTTTTCTTTTATTCTCTGATGCGTTTCCTCAATTCCACGATGATTCGACTTGCTTTCGTGGTAATTCCGGATAATGTCCTTGATATCAGTTTTATCTGTAACGTCGACTAATTTGGTTCTACACATTTTGAATTTCAAAGCATCGGACTTAAACATCCTTTGTAGAACAACAGAAAATTTTTCATATATATCTGGATTTTCAAAGTATAAGTGATAAATGACGTTAGGAGCAATATAATTTCGAATAAATTTAAATACATCATCGTCAAAATCATTTTCTGAAAACTGTACGTTAATTCGTTGCTTGCTTTTAAATAAAATAGAAATTTTTGGTGGTGCAGGTGAATGTTTTACTGTACTTATGATAATCTGATTATTTCCCTGATTAACTGCGTAATCAACTATAGGAATTGTCTGAATGGGGTGTTGGTCCGCATTTGAATGTACAGTTTCGTCTGGATTTTCAGGACGATTATTTTGATATTCTAGATTGACTTGTTCATGTTCAATGGTATCTACAATTTCGTCCAAGGGTTGAATAAAAAGACTGTCTTCGTCATTATCGACGTTTACGAACATAGATTCGGTATCAGGTTGTTTTGGGGTAGAAAAGTTAAATGTAGGTGTACTTAATTCAGATGAGCCTTTCTGAACTGGTCGGTCAAACTTAACGTTTTGGTGTTGAGTACCTGCGCATTCTTGAATCAAATCATCTAAGTCGTTCCAAAATGAACTGGTTTCTTTTGTATGGATCTCTACACGAGACAGGGCATCTGCATTTGTATGCAGTTTGCCTTTCTTATAGATGATATTCATATCATACTCGTTTAACCTGATTTTCCATCTTAGTAATTTTGAAGAAGGGTCTCGAAGGGACCATAAGTATTTTAAGGGCATATGATCAGTAATTAGATTGAATTTTCTCCCGTAAAGATAGGGTCTAAAGTATTTAGTCGCCCAGACTATTGCTAGTAATTCTTTCTCAATCGTACTATAATTTCGTTCGGAATCATTAAGCGTGCGCGAAGCATAGGCGATAGGAAGATCCTGTCCTATAGGGCCTTGTGAAAGTACACAACCAAGGGCTACGTTGCTCGCATCCGTGGTTAAGTTAAATGGCTTAGAAAAGTCTGGATACTTGAGTATCGGTTCATTGATAAGAACATTTTTACATTTTTCGAAACAGTCAATAAATTCTGCATCGTGTTCAATTTTGGCTCCCTTTTTTAGACATTTAGTTAGAGGCTTTGTGAGTTTCGCAAAATCTTTAATAAAACGTCTATAGTAACCAATAAGTCCGAGAAAGCTTTTAATCTGCTTAGTCGTTTTTGGAATCGGAAATTTTTGGATGGCAATAATTTTATCTGGATTTGGCTTAACGCCGTCTGGTGTGACTACATGTCCGAGATAAGCTACTTCTTTACGAAGGAATTCTGATTTATCGAGCTGTATTTTAAATTTTGAAGTTCTGAGTCGTTGGAAAACTGACCTTAAATTTTCAATATGTTCTTGAAGGGATGTAGAAAAAATTATAATGTCGTCGAGATATACGAGACATTTCTCGTTTTGTATCCCCCTTAAAATATTATCCATGACGCGTTGGAATGTGGCGGGCGCGTTTTTTAGGCCAAAAGGCATCCGGAGAAACTCCCAGTGCCCATTTTCGGTACTAAAGGCGGTTTTTTCTATGTCTGTTTCCTCCATCTCGATTTGATGGAAACCACTCGCTAAGTCAAGGGTAGTAAAATACTGGCATCTGCCAAGTTTGTCTAGCAAGTCGTTGATATTGGGTAATGGATATTTATCGTCAATAGTCTGTTCATTTAAACTTCGGTAGTCAATTACAACTCTCCATTTTTGCTTCCACGAAGCGTCTAGCTTCTTTGGAATGACCCAGATAGGTGAATTATAACCTGAGCTACTTGGACGTATTATATTGGAATCCAACATTTTTTGTATTTGGCTATTTACTTCGCCTCTGTGAACAAATGGATAGCGATACGATTTTGTGTAAATGGGCCTTTCGTTTTTAGTTTTTATTTGATGTTTGACTTTATTAGTAAATGTTAGTGGAGTTCCGTCCTGGTAAAAAATGTCTGAAAACTCTCTGCAAAGTTGAAGTATTTCTCTTCAGAATTTAGGTGATCAATTCTGATTTTCGACAAATCTAGGTCAAATTTTTGTGACGTGTCTAAATAATTGAGATCAATTTCTGGCATTTCTGATAAATTAAATGATTCTACTGAAATCGGCTGAGAAAAATTTGATGTAACAGGCTTAGTAGTGTTATTCAAAATCGTTGTCAACGCAAAATTATTTTTTGCTATCGTAAGGCATTCAGGTATCTCGCAATTATGAAATTTTTGATGAGGAATAACGATTTCACCATTGGCGATCGATGTTTTGATTTTTATTACTTGTTCGGTTCGAGGTGCGACGGTTATCAAATTCAAGTCGTTATAAAGCTGGTGAAATTTTAGTCTAATTTTGGCGTAGGGCGTATGTAAAGTTCCTTTGCTTAAATTAATATCGGCTCTCAATAATTTTAGATTATCTAATCCAATCAATCCATCGAAAATATTGTGAAATTTAAATAGGTAAAACTTCAAATCTATACGATTAGGAAGATTGAAAATTTTCGATGCCGGGATGGATGCACTATATTTGTGAGCGGATTTTTGAAAAACAGTTGATACAACGAATGGATCATCTCTGATTAAATTTGGAAAAAATTTACGAGCAATACTGGGATCAATAAATGACTTAGTTGATCCAGAATCGATCAACATTTTAATTCCATATTCGGGAAAAAGAATGTAGGATAGTTCGCTAGCATTGCTGGCGTTAAGTGAAATTACTTCTGGTGCTAGGTCTTGTGTTCTATGAATGAGTCCTTCTGAAAATTTTGAGGTGGTTCTACGTGATCATTTTCAGGAATATCTTGTGTATAATACTCGCAATACTGATCAGTGAAATATGTATCTGAATTTTGTGGTTCAGCTACAGTTTGATCGCAAACAAAAGATTCGTTACCAGGAACTTCATAGGTGTTATTGCTTTCTATCTCTGTATTGAATAGCTCTTCAGCGATCCAATTTGGTTTTGGTTGTTGCTGGGCTGTCGAATTATGTTCAGGTTTGAAAGAAATTCTAGTAGAAGTACTCATTGGAGTAGTTTGTGGTAAAGTACGGTTAGGGTTAGGTTTGAAAACGTTTCTGTTATTCTGTGTTTGTCTAAAAACTTGAGAATTCGTCGGAAATCTCTGAGGACGATAAACTGGTCTTGGCAAATTTACAGGTCCAGTCGGAAAAGTCGAATTGAACCTAGGTTGAAATGTTGAAGTGTTCGGCTGACTGAATGAATAATTAGTAGGCTGAAAGTATGAAGGTCTATTTTGACTTATCATTGGCCTTTGCATTGGCCTGGAAGTTTGATTCTGGGGCACATTTTGTGATTTTCCAAAATTTTTGTTATAATTTTGGAAATAGCTGACATTGTCTTCAGATATAACGAATTGTAAAGCTTGGCTGAGAGATGTGGGTTTCATACATCTAATTGTTGTACCCAAGGGCTCTCGTAGTCCGCACAAGAATGTTTTCAGAGCTAATTCTTGATATAAATTTCTTTTTAACACTTTTGCTTCTTCAGAATGTTCATGTACGTTTACATGGCTGCATAGCAGATTCAAAATATGAAGACACTTATCATAAAATTTTTGAGGCGTTTCATTTGGCATTTGCCTCAACATAACCAAATCACGATTTAGACAAGTTTCATCTCTTTGATCAGAAAAATTCCTGGTCAGAATGTCTTTTAAATCTGCCCAACTTGTGATATTTTGGATATTCACAAGCACTTTAGCATTTCCTTTTAATTTCGAGATCAGTGAATTTAGCAAATAGATATTTTGGAAATTATGTGGGTTCCGTATATCATAAAAATTTGCAATTAATGTTTCACTCACTGATAGAAACCTATTTAAGTCATTAGGATTTCCGTCAAACTCTGGGACGCAATTTAAAAATTCTGGTCTGAATTGAGACATGCTTGGAATATTTTCAATATTTAATCTAGGTGGTCTTAAAATAGGTGAGTCTGTTGAAAGTGTCAAATTATCTATAGCCTCTGCAATATCTTCCAAAGACATTTAAAATGTATAGTTGCACTTACGCTAATACGAGGATGATCAAGTGCATCACGTTTCTTTCTTTGTCTTTACTTGGTTGCTTAACTATAAGGGGACGATCTTGGTTGGGCGATCTGGTCCTTCTCCAAAATGTTCCGCTTGCAGATTTGGGCGATGTGTGGTCCAAATCCCTGACTTCGTAGGTGGTAGCTGCACTCGGTGTCTTCGATAGACCGGTTCCGCTCGAACTCCCACTCACCAAAGTCTTTAGTCCGTAGGCCGTTTTTCCGGTAAATTCGTCGATACGAAAACTGATTTCGCGGTCAAGATTGATTCGCGAAACAGCCCGAAAATCCGATCTGGCTGCGCCAATTATCTGACCGAGTCAGTCTACTTGCTTTTTAAAAAGATTTATTCTCGATTATCAAAAATACAATTTTATTGATGTATGTAGTATGAGCGCTAACAACAGACTGACTAACTCTGAATACAATAAGACTGGATGAGGCAAAGCGCTGATCCAGGGAAACTCGATCCTCTTCTTTAGTGGTAGGGGTAAATCTTCTGTACTATAACGCAGCGCACGCTAGAAGGCATGCTACGCGCTTCAATCGCTACCACATACATCCCAGCACAATGTGTGTTTTCTTTAGTGGCAATCCCAGAAACAATGAAGGAAAGAAGTTATGTTGACTACAATTAGGCAGTTGTAAGTGGTAATTGGACGAACTATCGATAGTAAATACTTGATAGTGGTATGCACTGTCACTTACAAAATGTATCTGGAAAAAATTAATCTCTGAAGTCTCCACAATTAGCATCACCGACATGTATAAGTAAAACAATTTAATCAGAGAATTTTATAAATATTATCGAGGATAAAATCAAGAGGCGTGTTATCTTTTAAAGTATCGTATCTAACTAGAACGTGCGGTCTCTCGATATCTTGGCATCCCAGCTCAGTGCCTATCATGTTATACTGCCACTAAGCTTACAATTGGCGCTATGGTCTACCCAAGCAAAATGACAAGTATACTTGGCAAATACAAGTATAATGCTTTATCCTGCATTTTATAGATCAGTAAATGATCTTGTCACTCACAGTGTTCAAAACAAACCCAACAATGGAAAATCTGGTGCAATAATTTGTGTATATTCTTGCAGAACAAATATTTTAGTAATAAACTGTGTTATCATTGTTTTCCTACAATCAATGCCCAATAAAGATAATCACAGGTGTGCTGGGGGCTCAAAAAATGAATTAAATTGAAAAAAGTGAGATTTGCAATTAAAAGTAGTGCAAAATAGTGAGTTTATACACAAAAAAGTAAGTCAATTTAAACGGACAATATAAATTAGAAGGTAAGGAACAACAAGAATAACTCTTAGAAGGTCTTTGTTACTGTTGCACTGACGTAAGCAAAATCATTTATACGCATATTTTACAATCATAAAGGAAGCAAAACAAGATATAACATATTTTTCTAAATACGGGAGGCATACTTATTATCTATTAAGTATTCTTTCCCAATTGATTTGAAATTTGATATAGTTATTATAGATGAGTATTTTTTACACAATAGTTGAATAACTCAATCATCAGACCGTAAGACTAGATAGAGTACTTGTCATTAGGAACAAAACGAGGCCCCTATGATGGGTTCCCATCTTCCCACTTCCTGGCTCCATCATCAGATCATCTCCATAATAATATTGCATTGTCAACTGTCATAGATAAACGTCCGCTATTGCGGATTACAATGACGTCACTCTGCTTATTTTTTTATCAATCCCCTTCACTTGTTATCCATAATATGGGGCTGACTTTGGAAATTATAAATCGATATTTTGGGGCGACCGACATATTAGATCTAGAATGAAGTCAGGTTGTTTACTGTCTCTCTCTCCCGTCAAGCCCTTAGAGCCCTTTCAGACGAGGATACCCTATGCGAGATACGCGTATCCGAGATACAGATATTCCATACACCCAAATCGAACCTTTCAAACAGCACTAGCGACGCATTCAGTATCCCGAACGCAAATTTCGGTATCGCTCATCTTTCGGCCGCCGGCGACAGAATGCGTATGCCGCATACAGAATTATCATTATATTATACGGAGCTGTTCAGACACGCATACTTTTTCATCAGTGAATACGGTAGAACATAGACGTTGGGTTTTTCTTATGTTAGTAGTAAATAAGGTTAAGAATTTAATTGGACGTTAATGTAATACGTATATGTATATACGTATAGAAATGGAACGTGCAGTCTTTGATAATGAAAAGTTTATAAGTTTGGTGGAACCAAATCCCTGTTTATGGGATACAGCGCACCCAGATTATTGCGATAGAAATAAGAAACAGCAACGCTGGGTGGAAATTGCCAAACAAATGTGCGACAATTTTGAGGAGATGACAGCAGCACAACAGAATGAATATGGTAAGACATTAAACATAATTTTATTTTAAATACATATTAGACTATTATAAGTAAGTAGTGCAGGCTAAAAAGTTTACATATGGGATTATTTTCATTAAAATTTATTGTCCCAAAAATACTTAGTTCCTATAGATAGATTTTACTATATTTTAGTTAAAACTAAAACACAATCTAATTTAGACATAAGAAACGAATATTTCAGAAATATTAGGAATAAAAATAAATTTCAAAATTTCAACAGCACTAGTTCACATGATACAACTATTCTGACATGGTAATATATCAGTATTCATGAAATAGTCAGCAAAATAGTCACGAATAGCAGTCGCTGATCTTGCAGAACACGCTCCTGTTTTTGCAACATTAGCATCATAAAATCCTTGGACGGATTAGGCATCTTCATGTTTATATCCATCTAGTACACGAACAAAATTATGGAGTACAGTACAAGCTTTAACTATGTCAACAGCAAAATCTATTGACACGTTGAGTGGTCTGTGAAATATTCTCCACTTGTTAGAAAGTATTCCAAAAGTACACTCAATATATCTTCGTGCTCGAGTTAACCGGTAATTATGTATTCTCTTTTTTAATGTCAGATTTTTTCCACCATATGGCCTCATAACATTGAAGGATAAACCAAATGCTTCGTCTCCAACAATAACATATAGGATTTTGTAATCATTCTTTTGTGGCAAAAAATCTGGATTGGGAAGATCTAGCTTTTTTGAGCTTAAGTTCTTATAAAAATGTGAATTCGTAAAAATGCTTGAATCACTGTTTTTCCCATAATCTCCAATATCTACAAATGTGAAGCAATAATTCGCGTCACACATCGCCAGTAGTTGTATTGAAAAAAATGTTTATAGTTAAAATAAAGAGAACCACTATGTTGTGGTTTTATAACCCGGATATGTTTTCCGTCTATGGCACCCAAACAGTGTGGATAATTTGCATTTTTCAAAAAACCGTCTGCGATTTCTAACCATTTTTCTCGTGTGGGCTTTGGTATACATTGTTCTTTCATAAATATCCAAATTAGCTTGCATGTTTCCTGAATTATTTCGCTCGCTGTTGAAATTCCAACTCTGTAGTTATAATGTAGCTCAGTAAGGGAGCAACCAGTCGCCAGGTACCTGAAAATAATTAAAAAAAACTTGTTGAATTTTTCAGGGAAAGATCTACAAAAAAAATGGAAGAATTTAAGAAATTATTTTGCTCGAGAGTTGGCGAAAAGAAAAAAGAAAAAAAGTGGTGACGGAGCTTCTTGGAAAACTTATATATTTTTTGAACAGCTATCTTTTTTGATGCGATGCTCTTCAAATAGAGAGTAAGAACATTTAACTTGTCAAAATATGAACTACTAAATTAATAGATTTGTTTTAGGACCACTTCAAATTTTACAGAGGAAAATCGTACTATCGAAGAAGCTTCGGATCATGAACAAAATGAGTATGTTACTCCTTTAAGGCCTATACATGTACAGAAAAAAAGGAAAGTGGCATCGGAAACCGACCATAACACTGAGATAGTGGGCCTATTAAAGGCAAATCTTGCACAGCGACAAACAAACGATATTATGCTAGACAATGACGGAGACCGACATTTCCTTCTTTCGCTACTGCCGGACTTTAGAAGAGTGCCAATTGACAAAAAGATGGATGTGAAATTGGCAATGATACAATCGATAAAATCTGCCCTATTACCCACTCAATCTGCATTTAATTACAACCATGTACAACATTTGCCGTTTTATCCATCCGCTCCTAATCCCCCTTCTACACAACATCTTCCTATTCATAAGTCATCATCTTCACAAGTGCACGTTTATGGTCATCCTTCTTACACTCATTCTCATTTATCTCCCCATTCGTCATCCAACACTTCATTCATGGAGTTACAATGTTCATCCAATGAAAGAACAGACACTGTTCCCATCCTCTCACCCCATTCCGTTGAATCAACTGCCACCTCAACAGACGGATCCATCATCGATCTTCTTGTTGATTACCTAGGCTAAGACCAAAATTGTGGAGCTGATAATTAATTATTATTTTTCTTGTACTACTTTAAATACAAATAGATTTAGAAAAAAAACATCTATAAGTATTTTTTCCTTACCTTAATGTCATAGATAGTCGTTCTTTTGACGAAATACTTCTACGCATAGTTGTGTCCTTTTTAATTAGTTTGTTTTCCAAAATATTATGAAGTTTCTCAAAGGACTGAATAGACATTCGATAATAATTGAAAAACTTCGATGGATCTTGCAACAAATCTTCATGTAATAAATTATACGTTCCTTTGCTTTCTCTTAATCCCAACATGGGATGAACCCACAAACTACGTCTCCTTTTTAGTTTCTTCTTCTTATTATTTAATAAATACCACACCGCGATACACTCTTCTATTTCCATAATTACAACTGCACTACACTGCGTCTGTTTTGCGTATAACAAGGCGGTATGCGATACAGAAGTAAAAAAGTATCCGGTCGTAATTCTGTATCTCGGATACTGTATCTCGCATACGGTATCCTCGTCTGAAAGGGCTCTTACAGTCGATAACCATATCATAGGGATAACTATAGAAATTATGAATGCCATCTTGCAACGGTCGACATATTTGATTTGAAATGAGATGCCCATATTATAGAGGTAACTAAGGAAATTATAACACACCAGATTGCGGCCTCTGTCATATTGGATTTAGAATGACGTCCGTTTGCTTATGGTGTTTCTCTCATCAAAGTCTTTAATTTGATAATCATATACGATGCAAATGATTAATCGCCATTTCTTAGCATACGCCATATTAAATTCAAAATGGCGGTGATGTATTCACATAAACCAGACAATTATACAAAATTTGAGCTCGATTGGTCAAGGTTAATTGGTTCAAAATTCAGATTCATGATTTGTCCCACATAAAAAGTGCTACAGTTAGTGCAATTTATATTGGAATCCTAGCTCAAATTAAGCCAGGAGAAAATGACAATGTTTCAGGGTAAATTCGTATTTTCTGTCTCTCTAAAAATACTCTGAATTGCCAAACTATCCAAGTAACATTTTATTAGTTACCTAAATGCACGACTTTGTGTTCATAAAACGACTGTGCATTGTATTGCTTACTGTTTCTGAATGTATACATATACAGGGTGTAAAGTTAGTAGTGGATCAATAGAAGTCAGATGATAGAGGCCTCAAAACCCATCGAATGAACCCCTATATGTGTGGTTCGATATATTTTGAAGCCCTCTATCACGTGACTTCCGTTGATCCACTACTAACTTTACACCATGTATATTATAGAGTGCTTTTAGCAAGGATAAATTGAAATTCTAGATGGATTTCAGATAACTGTAGTAATTTCTCATGTAATGTATACTGGATCAGCTTGGGGAGAACCCTGTACATGAAAAACTTTGTCTAGTTAATTTTTATAAAAACATTCTCTTCATTCAATTTCGTGAGACTCTAGAGAGCAAAAATAGTGAACTTTTTCAATAAAGAGTAAACATGGATCAGAAAAAGTGAGTCGCCAGCGTTCCTGTAATCACGTATCACGATTTTATCTTCGTTGACGATATAGCAGTTTTTTAAAAGTAACGTCCAGCCAAGGGCGGATTTAGGCAAACGATATTTAAGGCTGGTAATTTTTCAACCTCAGTGAATAGTGTAGAATTTATCCTATTATTGCTCCTTAAACCGATTGTGTTCTATCTGGTCAATGCCAGCTTAAAAAAAAAAACATGGAAAATGCTCAGAAATCCTCAGAAACGAAATATTATATGAGAACAAAATAAGTATGAGGCATTTATAATTAACTAGTGTAATAATATTAAAGATTTAAACCTAAAAAACTTCTTTGCTCCTTTAACTGAAAAAAAACATTCTGAAGGGCCCCAGACACATATCCCAGTCCATACCACACAAAACAATGTCTTTAAGTGCGTAAACGAGCATGAGACTGAAAAATTCACATTATCATATGGGCGCTAGTCGATACAAAGAAGGATATACCATCTATAGATCACGTCTTGAGACCATCTTCAGACAGCCTATAGACAAATTGCGCACCAGGGTCTTCAAGTGTGTACTAAGCTTGAGGATTAAGACTCTGAACTGCTCATTAAACAAATCAACTAATTGGTGCAAATACTGACACAATCAAGCACTTCTATTATATCAGTAGGTAATACAAATATTAATAGGTATAGTCAATTATTTTTTGAAATTCAATATAGATGTTACAGTTGTTCTTCAGACTTTCATTGTTGAACTTCAATTTATGGCATAATGTTGTTTTCTGTTTTCGAATCGGTGTTGATTGCATGTAAAAATGATGAAAATCGTTGAAAAAACTATATCTGTTAGATCGTGATTATTTTGAAAATGTGTATTTGAACAAAACAAATACAGGAATACAGGGCTGCACATATTCACGTAAAGTGCAGAACCTCTGATTTAAACAAATTCAATATAGCAACATACATAGACACATAAGCGGGAAGAGGTGCCGGACGTGTGGTATTGACTTTGAGCATCGATCGATGCAACAAGTCTCATAAATGTCTATTACCAATTTAGGGGTTCATCTAACATAGTGCTTTGCTGCAACACCAACCCCAAACAAAATCAGTCAAGCTTTACACACGTTTCAAATTACTAATAAGCAACAAACAGAACACATCACTTTTTAAGTGCAATCTGTATAGCTAATATATTACTCAGATTTGTCACGTCACAATATACGTATAAATCGTAAGAATTGAGCTGTAAACATAAGTGATGTCAAACAGGGACAGCGTTTGGAATACCAAAGGATTCGCAATGCTCAGTTCCTATAGCTATAACATAGTATGCCTCTGTCACCATGATGTGTCAGAAAGTAACACAATGGTGTTAGATTACAAAAGCTTCTGTCAGATTTCTAGAAGGGCGCCACTCAGTTTTTGAGATTATGGTATTATAACAATTGATGACTGACAGTAAGAAAATTGGCGATCAGTAGTTTCAAACATAAAGCAATATACTGCAAATATTCATTTTTGAAATTTCAACAAATTCCTGAGACTGAGTAGTATAAATATGGGAGTAAGGACTTACCATTTGAATCACTGTGTGTCAAAAGTTTTATATCATTATCTTTGCAGAATGCTTGTAGTGTGGGAGGGACCACACAACATGATGCCAGATTGATTTGTATAATGCTAGGTTTCACCTCAGCCCAATCATACAGTTGCTTCAATATTTTTTCCTCCACATCTGCTATCCCGATTTGCCTGATTTTGCCATTCTGTACAAATGCCTGGAGAGCTTTCCAGACAGTCTGGATCTGTGCCAGATTGTCTTGTTCTTTTTCCAATTGTGTTTGTTTGAAGCTTATGACTGCATCATTGATTGTGTTTACTTGCAGGGTATAAAATGCTGGAAAAACAGTTGTCCATGATAAAATGAAGTATCATAAATAGTTGCTGCACTTGATGAGATCAGCATAGTTTTTTAGCATAATTTTTTACCATACCATTATAGTTGGATATTTAGATATCCTCAAAAACAAGCTATTCCTGAAAAAAGTACTCTCAAAAGAACAACTTGAAACACACAATAATGAAGATTATTTATTAATCATATAATAGTGAGTGGACAAAAACTGAAGTTACCATCACTATTGACAAAAGTTCAGATTATTTATTACATCTTGTAGTGTACAAATGTATTTCGCCACTGAGCCCTTGCTCTATCAAGGTTGCATAGTCACTTCAATTCCCACTATAGTCAACTCAGTTTAGTACGTTTCCTAATACCTTGGCATACTTATCTTTGCATAATTTATATGGATGTTCCCTAAGTTGTCGTTAGATCAAAGATTAGAAAGTTACATTTATGATACTTTATTATCTTGAATATTTTTATAATCTCCACCTGAGGTCTTTGTACTACAGCTGTAAGCTCAATTTTCTTGTTTCATATGGGCTTAGAGCAGGGGTGTTCATTCAAGTACATTAATTGCTAACTGGTAGGTATGACTTAGGCCTGAGACATACAACTCTTTTTCTGAGCTCGCTCATTTCGTTCATCTCTCTTTAGTGAGTCGTTCGTTCGGAGTCGTTCATTTGAACGATAGGAATTACCGACCGGCCTCGAAGCTGACGAGAGCATTGTGTTGCCTATAGTAGCGACTCACTGAGTCAGAATATACATCATACTATGAAAATGAAATGAAGGGTTAGGGTAGCTGATATTATTGAATTTATTCAGGTATTAATATTTTTCCAGTCTTCCGAAAAAAGAATGGGTATGTGCTTCTGTTTTGAGGAATTACCGAATTCTGAATCAAAATGCAATTTTTGCTCTCAAATCCCATCATTTCAACCATAGTTCAACATATAATTTAGTGAGACATCTCAAAACAAAACAGCCAGGTTTCCTAGATTGTGTCTGTTGTCAGTTCGCAGTTCAGTTGCTGGATACTGCAGACATGCAGATACGCTTTGCACAATTGAACGAGTCATATGTAACAAAAGAGTTGCTCAATCATCACTCACATAGATGAGTCGTTCATTTTGAACGACACATGACTAGTATGACTCTTTCTTATTAGATTCCAAGCAGACGCAAAGCCTGTAATATTATATTATCATCTCTGAACAAGATCTGCTCTTGAAGAAATGTATGAAGATTTTGCACCTTAGGATATACTTGTGCCTATAGGTATGTAAGATTTTACTATTAGAAAATGTCAATGTATTCTTTATTTGAAAAAAATATTTTATCACAACTTGTGTAGATGATGGGTCTCCCTGATTGGCCCTTTATATTATGTGAAACTAGGATTTATAAGATTGATTAAGTGCATCATCATAGAATATTGTGGAGAAAATATTTCATGAATATCCGTACCAGTATTTACATTCAACAATTAATACATCTTATGAGTGAGTGCGTCAACCATTGCAGTTTGCAACCATATTCACAATTTGCTCCATCAAACATACAGATTCCATTAGAGGCAGAAACGCTTATGAAGAAATATATTATTTAGAAGAGAATTTTTGTTAGAATATAATTCTGAATTTAAAGCAGTAGATTCAACATACCCTTGTCAATCGCCTCCTTCAGCGATACTTGATCATCCCCATTCAAAAAAATTTTAATTCCAATCTTCAATTCAGATACATCATTTTCCTTTATTCGTTGTACTAAATCATCATTCTGTCTTGATATAACTACAACATTGTCTAGATGATTATCCAAGGCACCTTGTACATCCTTTAAAGTACAATTAATAGCTTCCACTAACTGAAATTAGAGAGCAATTAATTTTGAGGTTGTAATTAAATATAAGTCGCAGTTTACCTCTTCTGTAGTATTGTGGTTAGCTTTTTTTGTGAAATCTTTAATAGATAGTATATTACCGGTGTTTATAATCACATTTTTCAAATTATCCTTATTATGTTTAGCCATTCTTGATCCGAAATTGAAAATACGAAAAAGCGATACACCGTCACACCACAACCTCTCACGTCAAGTCGCTCGAGGATGTGAAATATCAAAAGTCATTCAAGTTAATCATCCATGAATTTTTTTTACCATGGAACGATCGTTTCAAGTACTATTCCGGTTATGACTTATCCATTTTTCGGTTTACGGGTATGATGTAATCATTATTTCATGCATCATGTGTTCAATCATGTTTTTATTGACATTTTTATGGTGTATTTAAAATTTATTGGTACATGACCTCAGTGCCATCGGTTGGCTGTCAACACTGTTCATGAGTGTTCATCATCCAACCTGATAAGGTAAAGGCGGCATCACACACACACAAACGCGCGCGCCTTAGAGTTGTTCGAGCATTGGGTAGATGGTGCCACAGAAGATAAAGGGAAATTTATGGAAAAATAAACTAAACGCTGAATTTTGTATCAGCAAACGTCTTATGGGCGAACTGGCAACGTCCAGGGGTCCCGCACGGGTATCATGTGTCTTGAAAAGTGACATGAGCTTTGTCCCAAAATTTAGTGCTAGTATCGTACTGAACCGTTCGATTATCGTGAGGTATCTTGTTTATAGTGATGTAAAATAATTAAGTAACGCTTACAAAATAATCGTTACAAATGAGTAACTAAATGTAACGACTCCTACTTTTCGAAAAGACTCGTTACTTTTTATTTGAATTCGTTACTTTGAATGCGATACGGTCTTTTTCTATGTATACTTTTTAATTACTGTTAGTTACTACACTATACATTACTTTAGATACAAACGTTACTGGGATCTAATGTAGCCAGTACTGCCAGCGCCAGCAGCAAGTGACTTGGTTCTTGGATGTAAACTGGGTGGAAATGAAATGATGCGAATATCGTTAGGCTTAGGCAACTTTAGATACTCTTCTATCAAATGAGTTGCGGACTGCGGAGCTTTAGGTTGGCAATGTTTGTGTACACCTGTACACTTTTCATTTGACTTTGAGAGCTACCGGTTGGCGGGTTGTTACTGGTTTGGACGTTGCCGTACAAGCTCGAGCAATAATATAATTATTATTTGTACAAAAATATGGAATCATCCGCCTCCGGTTCAGGAGAATCGCAATCTCAAAAAAGAAGTGTTATTTGGATGCATTTCACCAATATATCGGAAGCTAATGCAAAGTCTAATCTTTGTAAAAATATTTATTCGCATAAAAATGGAAACATTAGCAATTTAAGGAAGCATTTGAAAACTAAACTTCCGATTCTTTCATTGGAAGGAGAAAGGGCAAAACGGCGGGTGGAAGACGAAAATATGCCTAGGTGCAAAAGGAACCTAGTTTCAGGTTCAGGTATGTTTTATTATTATAAGTATTTTGTTGAACACCATTTACAGTGGAGTAACCAGACTGTTAAGTAGGGTAGGGGAGTAACCAGACTGTTAGGGCAGGGGACGCTACTCAACTAAAGTAAAGAGTGAGGAGAGTGGTTCCTCCACGGTCCGCATCTGGTTATGCCACTTGTTAAATACTATTTACAGCGTACAGCCAACGACCAGACGTCACACAACGACGAGTTTAAAATATAAGTACCTTCTACGTATCAAATATCAAAAAAATTAATAGGCAAGGCATTAGACAAAAAATAATAATTGGATCAATCCCAAAGTAATAATTTGATATAATATTTAGAATGTAGGTTCTAAACGAAATGTCCAAATAGTAACTAAACTAACGAGTCCAAAGTTCGAAAGTAACGAGTCCTTACAAGTCCTAAAAAGTAACGAAACTTTGCATCACTATGTTACACGCATGCGCGGCCTGTCGTGGTTCTAGTGTCGTTCTGGACTGTACAAGGTGTTGGAACAGATTCGGAATCGTTTTGTGCCTCCTGTCAGGATAGCCAATGTTGCCTGATCTACCAATTTTTCGGCATAGCTATGAAGAGAGAATATACAAGTACTAAGTGCTAACGTTAAAAGAGCTTCATGTCAGCTTATATATGTGGTACATTTCTCTGATATTTTATATTACAGTTGCCTGGACTGTGATAAAGATGCGTTTGCAATAAATTAAAATCCCTGATGTAGAGTTGTTTATGGACTAAAAAAAAATATGATGCAACGATGAAATAAAATTGGTTAGCTGACTGTGGAAAGAAAACTACTCTACTATGTCTATCTTACAAACTTACACTTTCTAAAGTTAAGTCAAAGAGATATAACTTGAGCATATCTCGTCACCATTCATCCATTCAACACTATTTCAGAGAAGATATCTTCTTCTTGAGGATACTGGTTTTGGTTCTGTGTATTACATTTTTCTGAATTCTTGTGTAATGTATATTTTAAATATATAAATAGCCTTTGGCTAAATTTCGCCCTTATAAAGCCGGTATATTACTTTTATTATTGTAGAAGCCATACATTCACTTCAACAAATCACTGAACTGGTATTTGTCGATCTGGCAACATTGCTGGTAGCTGTCAGAAACATCTTTAACCTAACCGCCATTTGCCGTTTGTCTTGTTTATAGCTGTTCTGCGCATGTCAGTTTCTTTAGTTCTCGTTCTCGGTTCTCGCTTCAGTGCAGGTACAGGTACCGATCTACCGATATCATCATAACAAAACCGTCGATCCCAATCAAGTAGACAGCTCAATGTAAACAAAGCAACATGTACTGAGTTTTTTAGAAGTAGTTCATAGGAAGTACATACCTATGAGGCGAGCGATGTATCTTAACTAATACGGGAGAGGTAGGCCGTAGAAATTATGTGCGGGTCACGGTGACCCGCAGCTACCGCTGTAGGGTTAAATTGCCTTTGGAATCATAAAGTATTTAAAACTTTCCACTCCCGGGGACCACCATGTATTTTAAAAGTTTGGATTTCTTAATATCCCTGTGCCTCAACATTTTACAAGAAGGGCTTATTGTATATCGGCCTTAAGCGTCTAAAATTTTGCATCCATCTGTTGGGAACACGCTTCTACGATTTTTATTTTGATGTGAATTTCGAAGAGTAATCTATTTGTAGTGAATCAAACCACATACAAGGTGGGGCATAAGTAATGAACCGGTTTGTCAAAATAATTGCTTGTTCTGTGGTGGGAGTAGGAAGTGGGGAGGGCTGTCATTGAGGGTGTTGCAACGTGCAACGTCCCGTTTTCAGCTGCCTTGAACGAATCCCCGAAACATAAACTTTTTTCAGCAGCCACGAGGCCCACTTTCACCTCTCTGGGGCTGTCAATAAGCAGAATTTTCGGTACTGAGCTGACAAGTGACTTTGTGGTGTTCGTTATGTTTCAATGCTTCAAAACTTGTTTGAGCCACAATTGCAACAATTGAGTGACAAAACTAATTTAGGAGATATGTGGTTCCAACAAGATGGGGCTCAGCACACACAGATCGGATTTCTATAACGAAATTAAGACAAATGTTTCCTGGTCGACTCGTGTCTTTGAGAGGTTACTTGGGGTGGCCAGCGCGCTCGCCAGATTCAAGCATGTGCGACTTATTTGAAGCAGAAAGCTTTTGAACATCGCCGCCACACTTTGTCGAGGAAACATCCACCATTCCCCCAGGAAAGTGTAGAAAAGTAGCTCAAAACTTCAGAAATAGACTAAATCAGTGTATTGCTGCTGAAGGTCATCATCTTGCTTAAGTTGTGTTCAAAACTAAATAAAAAATGGGTTACACACAAATTAAAATAAAAAAACTATTAACTCTGTAAGTTATTCAGTTTTTCTTTTACCGGGGACTTCTGCCCCACCCTGAATATAATTCTGCACAAAAAAACTTGGATGGAGCGCTTTCTATATGGGAATTTGTTTTTCCAAAATATTTTCCAGCAATATCTTGAAGTCAAATACAGAACAAGTGACGTTGGAGAATAGACCACAGTAGATAGGATAATGAAAATTGTTTAGGCATGCACGATGGTCGTGCCAGGGTTAGAAGGCGACGTGGTGAAAGGAGGAATCCACAGTTTTTTTGTTGAAAGACATGTTCATCACACTGTTGGAGTTATGGTTTGGGGTGCTATAGCTTATGGTTCCAGGTCACCTTTAATCTTCATCAGAGGTAACATGAACGCGCAGCGTTATATCCACGAAGTTCTAGAACCCCATTTTTTACCCTATCTTGACACCCTGGCAGATCCAACTTTCCAACAAGATAATGCCAGACCACATGTTGCAAGAGTCACAATAGACTTCTTTCAACATAATGATGTCACATTGTTACCATGGCCACCAAGATCTCCCGACTTATCCCCAATTGAGCACGTGTGGGATATGATGGGTAGGAGATTGCTCAATTTGCAACGTCCTCCTCAGACTCTAGAAGCACTTCGAGAGGAGTTGGTGGTTGCCTGGAATGAGATACCACAGGAGGACATTGACCACCTGATCAGAAGCATGCCTAGGCGCGTTGGAGAATGCGTAGCACATCAGGGTGCATCCACACATTATTAAAGGTCAAAGGGCTTTAAAGCAGTGCAATCATTTTGAAATTTTTATCATTTACTTATTATGCTTCATTAAGTACTTATACAAAATTTTATTAAAATAAAACCATTTAAACTGGGTGTTCGGATTTATATGTCACTTAGTATATTTGCGAATTTTGAGGTAATCACGAAAACAAATATCAGTGGCGTAACAGCAACATTATAATTATCCCACGGCTCACGCATCAATCATGGACAATCAATTTAAATGTTGTACGAAGGGGCTCTCGTGTATGTTTTGCATCACATGCTTCTCAGCTTTTCATAAGAGCTGTCCCGAAAGCAAGAAAAATATTGTTGAAGTAATCAAAAATACAATCTATTGCTTAGAGATATGCGAAAAAAATAAGAAAGTCGAAGAAGTAAAAAATAAACACAATTTACAATGAAAATAAACATTATTACTGTGAATTAGAAAACCTTAAAGCAGAAACAGAAGAGAAACTCTTAAAATATGAGGCTGAAATTGAAGCTTTGATTAAACAATCAAAGGAGAAGGATGAGTATACCTATTACCAGACTGCGAAGAAGAACAACAGATATTGAGGATGAGGTTTTTGATGCTGAAAGAAGTTTTACCATTACTATCACATATCAGCGCAATGTTATTGAAAAACTTAGCAAGGAAAATGAGGAACTCTGACGAACAAATTTTGCCTTGAAATCAAAATTAGAATCTGATGAAAATCACATCATTGTGCTTAAAAAACAACTTAAGGCTTAGGAAACAATTAAACATGAAATGCTAATCAGTATTGACACTCTCAACAAAGAAAACGATCTGCTCAGTAAGGATATTAGAAATCTGGAAAAATACTTATGTATTGAAGATGACTCAGTAGTAAAAGCAAAGAGAGGAAAGTGATGCAAAAACCCAATGTGAGGGACAGATCTTCAATATACTCTATAATAGCTTACATCAGCAGCTAAAGAAGGATCCTACAAATCTGTTTTCGAGTTTTGAAGAGATGTCAATTTTGAAGCAAGCTCCAGTCAGCCAATCTAGTAATCCGTTTTCAACATCTGGGCCATATAACAGAACAAGAAGGCCATCAGTAGTAAAAACTCGAGTAAACAATTCAGTTACCACAGAAAAGCAATATGACGCAGAAATCAAGAAGCAATCTGGTATTGTTCCGGCTGTCAGTCCACGATCCGCAAATCAAGACTATCAATGCGAGACAGTGCAAAGAAGAAAGAAGAAGGGACAAAGAGACTCACGCTAATGAAATGTAGGGCTGTCCGAACCAGTCGGAAACTTCCATGGGACGGCACCTAAAGTAGTGATGAGCGATACCGTTATTTCCCAATCACATTGTTAAGTGCGATTGTGACTCTTAGATATCAGTGATTTTAAAGCGTGACGTGATCACAACATTTGCAAAAAGTGCACGTTGGGTATGTAAAAAGAATATAAGTGGCTGTGACCGAGATTCATGTTAAATATTGATATAATATGACTCAAATTATTGACCCTATTGATTTTAAAAAATGTGATAATAATATTAAAATGGTTTATATTAAAAAAAGCAAGAATGACGATGTATAATAAAATTATGAAACAAAGCTAATAATAAATAAATATTTATTTTTAAAAAATGAACAAAATGTATAAAATATGCGATTTTTGGTGATGAATAGGAAACGAAAATAAGAGACATTCTTATACAAACATTAAAAATAAATTAAAATAGTATTTCTGCTGCTTAATAGTAACTAAAGATGAAAACAACAAAATGTGAAAAATAGTAAAAAAATAATATAATAAAAGTAAACATATTAGGAACACAAATACAACAGTCTTAGTCTCAGACTTTGCAATATTTTAAATTTGAATTAAGGAATAAAACCATTTGAACTTTTTTATTGCTCAACCTATTCCGCGGTTCAGAAAGGATCTGGCCTGCTGTGGAGAACAAACGTTCGCATGGAACGGAGGTAGCTAAAATGCCCAGTTTTTCCTGTGCAACTGTAGCTAAATAAGGGAACATTTTCTTATGGCTCCGCCACCACAGAAGAGGATGGATCGCTCTTTCGTGGTAATATTTCTTCCTCAAGGTATCTCTGAAGTTCAATTATTGCCCGTGACATAGATGTTCCTTTAGGTTGGGTTTGGGCCACAATTTTATCGAAGTCACCAAAAATATCTTCTTCTGCATCTTCTGGAGTTTCTTCGATAAGTTGTACTTCCGGTTTTTTCTGATTTTCGCGTGTCACTTCATTTATTTTTTCTACTATTATTTCGGTTACCGTCTTTTTATGTCCTCGGCTGTATAACGATTTCTGAATGCTAAATTTTTGAATCTGGTATCAGGATACGTGCTGACGGACAACGTTTAACTCTTCTCAATGCTACCAAGACGTTTTTGTAACTCTGTAAAAAACTTTTGTACAATATCACTTAATGGTTGTGAATATTTTTTTTTAGTTAATCTTTATTAGTCTGTTACAGATTGGTACGACAAAAGCACCAGTACAATATTTTTCCCCACTCAACGTTTCAGTCGCTCTTTCAAAGTGTTTTAGTATTTGACATAATTCTTTTATAACTTGCCATTCTGCAGACGTAAGAGTAGATAGCTGTTTATCAATAACGGCCAACGTACACTTAATAGCCTCTTCCAACTCATCAAATCTTTGTAACATGTGAAACAAAGAATTTCATCTTGTTGGTACTTCTAGAATTAGCTTCAATGGATTTTTTCCCAGGTTTTCCTGATATTTCAGGAGCTTGTTATTTGAAATAGTACTTTTTTTAAAGTGTATGACTATTTCTCTGATTTTTTCTAAAACACTCAATGTTTCATCATTCTTTATACCATCTTTGACAATTAGGTTAATAGTATGTGCAACACATCCCATATGCCACCAGCCGATTTGCTGCAATGCCTTCTGTATATTTGGAGCATTATCTGCTACAGCAAAGATACCCCGATTTTCGATTTGCCAGTCTCTTGTAACCCTTTTCAGATCTTCAGCGAGGTTCTCAGCTATGTGACGCATGTCAGATGCGGAATATTTCAGAAGTACCGACTTAAAATTGAATTCGCTGTCCAAAAAATGTGCTGTTACACCAACATAACTAACGTTGTTAATTGATGTCCAGGCATCTGTTGTAATTCAAAACGTTCTGCCAGTATTTATTATTGTTTTTTTTATATCGAAACAGCCTCGCAGGCAGAAGCCTAAATGCCGGAACACCGCGGCTGCTATGATGATCCCAAAGAAATTTTGTTAATACGATTTTTGAACTGCCCAAGGTTAGTAGAACTGGGAAAAGCTTCCTCCCGTAGATTGTTCCACAATCTAGACACCCTCGGGACAAAGGAGCGGTCGTATCGGCCAGTTCTGGATGTACGAAGCTTGACACGGTTAGGATGGGACGCCGAAGTCAGGCGGGTCTGTCTGGCAGGCACATCGCGCGGCGGCATCATGGAAGAGAGCTCTGAGGAGCAAAGTCCGTTGGTGTAGCGATAGAAAAGAGCCAGATCGCCGACGGCCCGCCGTTGCGAAAGAGTTCCGAGACTGTCTGTTAGAGAAGAGTCATCGATCAGTCGGACCGCCCTCCTCTGGACAGCATCGAGCATGGACAATGTAGTCGGGGCGGCAGCACCCCAAATGTGTGAGCAATACTCGAGGCTAGGCCTTATCTGGGCCTTGTATAGAGTGAGAAGGTCATGCGGAGAAAAGTACTTCTTAGCCCTAAACAAATAGCCTAGCTTTTTCCCAGCAGCTGCAGCTATTGAAGAGATGTGTTCGTGCCAGATCAGGTCCTCGGTGATCTGGACTCCGACCAGCCGAAATGAATGGCTCTTTGGTAGAACTCGACCGTCCATCGAAACTGTATGAGCGCTAGGACGCTTTTTGTTCGTCAAAGTACAGTACTGTGTTTTGGAAGCATTGAACTGTACAAGATTGTTGCGTCCCCAAGCAGTGATAGCCTCCAGGTCTCTTGTCAGAGAAGAAGTCGTCGCTAGTCTTCTTTTTTCCAGCTCAGCGGCAGAGATCGGCTTGTCACTCTGAATTCCTGCATGTAGAGTGCTGTCATCAGCGAAGCTGTGGATTGGGTTGATCGTGCAGGAATGGAGGTCGTTGATATGTAAGAGAAACAGTGTTGGAGCCAAGACCTATCCCTGGGGAACACCCGCGTTGACGTTGTGGGATGAAGAGGAGAATCCGTCAATTACGACGGATATCTTGCGGCCAGAGATAAAGTCAGCCACCCATCTGCAAAGCTTTTCTGGGAGGCCGTAGGATGGAAGTTTGCTCAAGAGGGCAGCGTGCCACAGCTGATCGAACGCTTTCGTGATGTCAAGAGCAACGACATGAGCCTCACCATGAGACTGGATGAGTTTACTCCACAGTTTTGGTATTAGTGAGACATTCTTCATATAAAGCAGGGATCAGAGTTTTAGAAATGATATGTCTACTTGGCAGCTCATATGATGGATTCAATGCTAATTCGAATTCTGTGAATCCGATATCATCTACTACTGAAAAAGGTTGAAGGTCTTTAATAAATAAGCCAAGCAACTTTTTATCTAAATTATCTTTGCTTCTAACAGATATTTTTGGAGGTACACGGAAATAATTGTCGACCCTGGTTTGATCTTGATGTGACTTATTTGTTGAACTTTTGACTAAAGCCTTCCACGGAATTAAGTGATGAAACTTCTGAAGTAGATGGACGATCGTTATCAATACTTTCTTTATTCTAAATTTTAGAATAAAGAAAGTTCTAAAATAAAGCATATAGGTAAGTAATATGTATTTTTTATTATTGAATAATGACAGTGTTGCAATACCTGGCCATTTTCTTTATGTTGGCCTACCACTGTTGACCTCTTGCTTTCCAAAAAAGTGATTGTGACCGTAGGATGTTTCTTTTGTATGTGCTATTTAAATTTGACGAGCTCGTCTTATATGAAAGTTTTGATTTACACATAGTGCATATTGCATGACTTTCGTCTATCGGTTAAAAAAATGTCCATATTTCACTCGTTTTCTTTTTAGCCGAGACGGTGGCCATTATTTTTTTACATATGCGTAGATGACTAAAACTATACTCAAACTTAAAACTTTTAGTAATTAAAGATGGATCAGATGATGCATTTTAATACAAAAATAAATAAAGATCAACATAAGCTCTTCAAAAAAAAAATATATATACTTACCCGTATCGCTTATCGGCCGAAATCATGCAAATCACATTTTTAAGGTTCACGATATTCTATAAAATGTTACTGTTAATCACATAACAATCTATTAAACTTCCAGTTCCAGTATTTTAAATCGCCGAGTAGCAACTAGCAACCAACCAACCAAAGAGAACGAAGACCACAGTGTCAACAAGGTTGAATTTCGTTTATCGTCATAAGAATAACAAGGGAAATTAAGCGTGCCGCGCCTTAAGGAATCTCCGTCTCACTCTCACCGCTCCCAGCCAGCGACGGCAGGGTGAGAGATTGTGGGTTGTGACTGCGATCGAGTCACACTTTAGAACGAGTTTTGGTAACAGTTGTGACTTGTGAATTCTCGATATCTGTGATTAAATCACAGTTCGTGAAATATCGCTCATCACTAACCTAAAGTATATTTACCTGCACAATGTAGCTCTGCAATCCAAAGAAGAATATATACTAGCCTAGGTTACCAAAAATACAGGCAAAAGTGGAGAAGAATTAATTGTAAAGAAAGTGTTATCAAACAATAAGAATTCTAACAGTTTTTTGCTGGCCGCAGATTTCAAGTACAAGGAGTATGTTCTATGACCCGCTGTTCTGGCCACTGGGTGTTCACTATAAAAGGTTTGATTTCAAGTTGTACTATGACAGGTACAAAATAAAAAACGTGTTAAAAGGGGATAACACCGACGGAATATCAAATTCAGCTGAAGCTCTCGCAAGTGACAGCAAATCACCTAAACCTAATTCTTTTTTAGTACGATAGATTCGCACCATTCATCACGAATTTTTCACTCAAACATTCAGTGTTTATCTTAAACTAGATGTACTTGAAACTGTTGCTCATGCGCTTGTTGATTTGGACATAATATGTATATCTGAACATTGGTTTTCAAATTCAGATATTCAAAATGTAATTTTTCTAAATTATATTCTGGCCTCTTATTTCTCTAGGTCGAATCATATTCATGGAGATGTGTCAATGTTTGCAAAAACACAAAGGCAGTGCTTGGTATACCTTCATTAAAACCATTTTCTGTTGAATGTCATCTAGAAGTATTTCTTCGGAGAAAGAAACATCAACATCGTTTACATCGTCTCCGTTGAATGTGTGTTATTTGTGGTTTTTGGGTTTTTTGACATTGAAAGTTGCGTGTGCTGTTGCGGTGTGGTTTGAAGTTGAAGCTGACGCGTTGTTGCCTTGATTTATTGAGGTAGAGGCTGTGTTCCAATTTAGAATGACTTTAATCTGCCAAATATGCGAGTCACCTGTTAGGTAGAAAACAGACGGATCGACTTTTGTCGACTCGACCGTCGAGTCGGCGGTCGAGTCGACGCATGGTGTAAATAACTTTAACATATATATAATGAAACACACAGATACTCGACGCGGCGCCCCGCCGCTTGAAGTCGAGTCGACATATGATTTACCCGCGACTTTGCAGCGGCACTCGACGCAGCATCGACACATCATGCCATGTTCTGAAGTGTATCAATTCAGACGCATTTTATTACGAAATTCACACACGTAAGTACTGAATCACGCGATGGAATATGTTGGATCACGGATTTTATAAATTCCGCTATCTTCTCAAATTAAAAGATATTTATTTTGAAACAATATCTTTTTTTTAATTTTGTATTCATTTAGATTTTAGGGATGGCACACGAAATAGACCCAGACCTCATAACAGTATTTTCTTTTCTTAATTCTTGTTCTATAGCAGTGAGAAGTTCATAAAAAGAAAACTGGGACATTCTTGTGAAATTGAATAATTTTTCTTCGTCCTGTTTTAGCTGTGGCCACAATATAGTAAAAAAGCCTTTCTCTTTGCGCTGTGAAATAATTGGATGAATCCAGAGACGCCTCCCTTTTTTTTTTTCATTCGTCTCCGGTAAAACAAGTACAGTAGCATTACATATTCATCATCTAGGTCTAGGTCCATTGCTTTTTTGATTGAACACTACTAGCAAACCTGCTCTCGTTGCCAGGGACCGTGGGCCGCGTCGAGCTTACCGCGGATACGACACGCGACTGCCTCCTCGACGAAAGTGGTCGCCCCGTTTGAACAATTTTTTCGACCGTCGACTCGACGGTCGAGTCGACGAAAGTCGCTCCGTCTGTTTTCTACCTTACTCGAAAACAAACGTCCATTTTTTGTGGTGGCCCGTGCAAAAAGGTGGTACACGTTTCTTGTATCTCTGCTGGTTCAGAGGATTTACCTACACCGATAAAACTGATTCCTGGGCTGCCTTGGAAATGTAACAATTGTCTTTCCGCTGATACATCTACTGAGGATACAGATCTTGGTCATATTGTTGAAAGCAAAATTAGTCATGCTTTGGATCCAGTTGTCCTGCAGATAAATCAACTTAAATCGGCTGTTGAGCAAGCTGCATGGATGAAACCTGAGACTACAAGTGCTGACAGAAAGGTTTCATATTCCACTTCACTATTCGTCATTGTCTGTCAGAGCGGTCCGTAGGACCTTTGCTCTTGGTTGAAGTCTTTTAAGTCAGTAGGTCTGTCAGGTCTGGTTGCCCAGATACCAAACAAAGTCAGGGAGAAAGAAGGGAAGAAGAAAGGAAGGAAGGAAGGAGGGAGATCAAAGAAAAAAGAAGTGCATCAATTTGAGGGGTGCCTTGGCATTGCTAGTTAGTATTCGGCAATTTTAAAGTGATCCTAAAATTAATTTTGGGATTATAATTTTGGTTGGACCTAAAGTTGCACGATTTAATTTTGTTCACAGTGCGAGTCGCGGCCTTGTGTGCTTGCGAACTTGCTCGACTATGTAGTCTACTGACTCGCGCAACAAAGGGTTGTTATGCGATTCTGCTTGACTGTAACGTAGCTGCGCTTGTTGTTTGATGTAGCCCCTTAGGTAAGGGATGTCAAGGTCTCTGTGAAGGGTCTCGTTGGAAACATACCATGGGGCGTTAGTGATTGTACGCAAGGTTCTGTTCTGCAAAACCTGCAGGCTACGCAAATGGGTTTCATATTCCAGTGTTTTAAGAAACAAAACGGTGCCTGCTGTCATAATCAAACCTAAAGAGGTGCAAGATACTTCAAAGACGAAGACTGATATTCTATCAAAAATAGAAAATGTCAAAGATGGAGGCATCCTCATTGGTTGGAATAATGTTGAAGATAACCTCAAGATGAAGAGAATAGTCCAGGAAAAGTTGATTGAGTCTTACCATGTCAAGGAAGTTGGTGGTGTCAATCCAAGGGTTCGTATCGTTGGTATATCTACTGAATACTCAGCGGAACACCTGCACACCCAATTAATCAGAACGAATGATGGACTTATTGATAATCCTAATGCATGTAAAATTATAAAAATTCTTCCTTCCTTCCTTTAAACGAAATAATTAGAGGTATCAGGCTGTTGTACAAGAAGACAAAACCTCATATATGGCAGGCAATAGTATTTATTGGGTTGGATAGCTGCAGAATTTTCTATGCTGTTCAAGTATATCGTTGTTTCAACTGTAATGGTTTCAATAATTCTTCTAAATTCTGCAAAACAGAGCGCACATGTCCAAGATGTGGTGGTGGAAATAATGCTGTAAAGACTGCAAGTATGCTCCTTTAAAGCGTATCAATTGCAATAGGTCGTCGAAGTAAAGATAAAGCTGACGTTAGCACTGATCAAGCTGCCTGGGATATTAAAAATTGCTCCTCTTTTTTGCGTGCCTGCAACAAGTTGCAAGCCGATATGTTGAGTATCACTTAGCAGCCAATTTCCTCTGATCCTATTTTTGGTCTTTGGGGTCTATTAGTTCATTGAAAACTTCTTCAGAATTTTTAAAATATTACCAAAATGTTAGGGGACGAAAACTAAAACCTCAGCTTTTTACAACACTGTTTGCGCAAGTAATTTTGATTGTTTGACTCTAACTGAAACCTGGTTAGACTCTTCTGTTATTAATTGTGTGTTATTTATTTATATTAAATTATATTTTAAATTTCTCTCTGGTCAACAAAACCCGTGGAAGTGGCGTACTTTTGTCAATTTCCGATAAATTTTTCTCGGTATGCTTAGAAGTGCAATGTAACATACCCGCCGTAGGTATCCTTGGAGTAAAAATTTTATTTGGGAAAACAAGCTTGTGCGTACTGGTTGTATACTTTGAAGTTGAGTCATTAATTTTCAGATAATGATTGTAGAAGGAAGATAAACCAAAATATGTGTGTAAAAATAAAATAAAAATTAAAAAAAAATTTTACCTTGTTTTATAAAGTATCCTCCCGACAAGTATTTCAGTGCGGACCTGTATTTGATCGTGAGGTCCCCTGTGAGGTCTTAAGTCACCTGATTCACGAGCCCGTTGTACTACATTAACAAAGGCACGAGGGGTTGGTTGCACTCGATTGGGAAACCGATCCGCATAAACATGTGCCATTTTTTATTTCGTGTGAGCCACGCAACAGACACTATTCACACGCGACTGACACTGACTGTATGTATAACTGAACTGAATAAAATAATTGTAAAAACATCGTTCCAAATTCTTTCGCTTTTTTGTTTCCGATGCGATGAACCGATAAGGCGGATTATATCCGTTGTCGCCAAACACGAGCACATGATTATTGAGACAGGGCGGTACTCAAACTTCCAAAGGGCTATAACTTTGTTACTTTAATTTTACCAGAAAAATGGTAAAGGAAAAAACATTTCTTTTGATCAGATCTACTCACTGTTAAAATAAATGACTCAACTTCGAAGTCACCCTGTATATTTCTCCTATGGAACCTCTTTCCACAAATGAAAATGTGTTTG